CGTACCCTGGAGACCAAGACTTTAGCATGTGGGCCTTTAGGAGACACTTCTTCAAACCACAGCAATCATTGACAATACTGATATAGTAAGCACCATGGAGTACATGCATTTTAATTTCTGAGAAAATAGTTCTTATTAAAGCAGAAGTCCCAGCTGTTGTTTATTAGCCTGAAGACCTTGAGCAATTCATTAGACCTCTCTCAATTACAAAAATCCCTCAACCAATATCATGTAATGCAGAAGAGCTCTTGAAATACCAATATGCCATATGAGTACAAGATACTTATTACTATTCTTACATTATCATGAAGACGTGCTTCAGGTGCATAATAAGCATTGTCTTTTATATGGGCTCTCCATAAAGAAATCTTGAGTATGCATCAAGTTGTTTAGCTACTACTCAGCTTGTTTTTGCTTTTAATGTTTAATCTGTTGTATGACAGTCACTGAGGACACAAGGATGAGCAAGTCACATTGGCTGGAGCTCAGTCTACCAGGAAACATGCAAGGGATAGGAAAACATTGTTGGAAACAGAGCAAGGGCACCAGGTGACTTATCAAGGACCTATGGAAGGGAATAGAGGGGCAGGGGTAGAATAAGAGTATGACACCTGAGTCTTACTGGGCAGTAGAAATTTTCCAAGTAGACCAAGGGTAGGGAGATATTCCAGGCAGTTAAGGAATTGCAAAGGGATGTTCCTGTATGAGGGGCACCTACCATGAGGTAGAGGCAGAGGTGTCCTGGGCAGTCAGGCACAAAGGGCCCCTCAGGTGCTACTTTGTAGGATTTGGACATTATCCAGTAGCTTATCATGGATGCCACTGAAGAACTTTAAATGTGAAGAATTAGATAATAGTGTTTGTATTTTAAGAACATCATTTGACTGTACAGAGAATGGAGAGAGGCAAGGAAATCACTTTTGGAGGCAGTTGCAGTGATCAGCAATATCATCCTAAAGCACTAAAACTCAACACCAGTACACCATCCATGGTAGAGCAAAATAAAAAATTTCAGTCAATCACTTAGCTCCTGGGTCTCTATGGGAGTAACACTAAACAATCTCAAACAGTCTCAGGAGAGAATGTATACCAGTCACAATAAGCTGCACTGAAAAAAGTGGAAGGAAAGGACAGAAACTCATTTAAAAGAAGTGAAATTAAAACTTTGTGTCTCTGCCATGTTATGAGGCAGAAAGAAGTCACTTTTTCTGGCAAAAGTCTTGGATTTCCTGTCCTCCAGACCTGGTCTCATTATGTAGCCCAAGCCTCAAACTCACGATCCTCCTGTCTCAGCCTCCCAAGTGCTGGGGTTATAGGCATGCACCACCACACTTGGATCCAAGTCTTTAAATAGTCTGTTGAAATATTTATATCGTATCAATTTCTTTGTCTTGTGAATAGTACATGGATGTCAGCTAACTTATGTAATGAGTTTTTCATGCTCAGAAATTCTTCGGTTTAAAAAAAAAAAATCATTCCTTAAAACACTAGGTGCCAGACATTTGCTGCCTGTTTTTCACATATTATCATATTTAGAGGAGGAAAAACAAATTTAATAAAATTCAGTGTAATAACACAAAAAAAAATAAAATAAAACCCAGAAATCACTAATGTGAATCAAACTAGAGCTCCTTGCTAAGGCTTACAGTGAAAATGATGAAACCTGCTCTTCCTCATCATGATCACAATGTGAGATAATGTTTATGAGAGAATTTTGAGTGATTTACTATGTAAGACTGATAAGGAACTAAGAAAGGAACTTTAGAAGTGAGAAGACATTTCCACTAGAGCAGAAGCTGTCAAAAGGCAGGAACACCATGGCCTTGTTTGCTGGCTTGATAGTGCCTTATACACGATAAAACTTCCTATGGTCACCAAGTGCTGTATGATCTATAGGCATTAAGGCACCTGTGAAGTGGGTGGAATGCTCTCACCTGTAACTCACAGACAGGAAAATCAGACGTAGAAAGATTAGGAGCTTCTCCAAGACTGGCCGTCCAGCTGATGAATTATAGAGCCAGGAGGGATTTAAAAGCCCAGGCAGTCTAAGTGTAGACTCTGTTTTTAAACACCATACAAATACACCAGTTGGAGGGAGAGGATTCCTGAAATTTTTAAATGAAAGGAAATTTTAAATGCTATTTTGCTAGTTTCAAATCCCTTTAAGTAACCAAACTATTTGAGAAATTATATCATGCATACCTTTTACATTAATAGGCAAAAACCCCAAAACCTTTATATGTAAGTATGTATTTCTAAAAAGCTGGTTATTTTTTCCTGAAGCTAGAAAGTAGTTATAAAATGATTTGGAGAGGTAAGCATGCAAGAATGTCTGGGAAAACTCTAAAGATAAAAATACTACTAAAATCAACAGGCGGTGGAAAGGAGGCATACTAGATGTTAAAATGCATTGTAAAACCTTAATTAAACTAATATATTATTAGCACTTACATAAACAAATAGAAGAAAAAAAATTCAGAAACAGACCTAAATACATGTGAAAATTTAGACTTTTAGGATAATAATCACAGTAAAAGATTGGTTTTAGGCTACATAAATACAAGAAATTTATCTTCCCTGATTCTAAAAACTACTTACTGTAGTCTTTCCATAGAACTCCCATAGAATAAAGATGAGATACAAAGATGTACATCTTTGAGATGTAAATAGTTTACAAGTAAAATTTATTCTACATCATTTCTAAACAATTATGAATTTGCCCAAATATATACACTAACATTAAGCAAAAAAAACAAAACAAAACCCCCAGAGGTAAATAACTAGGGGAAGAGAAGTAACAAAGGCAAAAGATCTGTCAAAGGTTAAGACTGACATTGAAAGACAGCTTATGCTGGGTATTGAGGGGGTGGGGGGGGAGGGAGGGGGCGGAGTGGGTGGTAAGGGAGGGGGTGGGGGCAGGGGGGAGAAATGACCCAAGCCTTGTATGCACACATGAATAATAAAATAATAAAAAAAAAAAAGAAGAAAGACAGCTTAGCAAACCTTTTATTTATCTCCTGCCAAATGGTAGGAATTCTTTTAGATGTCAAGAGCAAATAATGCCCCTTCCCTTTAGAAAAACCCACTACTTAAGTGGGAGCTGATGTTTAAACAAGAGTTTAAAGAGTTTAAGGTCCACAATGGAGGTAAACATGGGGCCAGGGAACACTCAAGATGAAATAATTTTATTCATTAATTCATTTATGGTGTTGGGGATGGAACACAGGGCCTCATCTGTGCTAAACAAGTGCTCTCCCACTGACCTAGTTTTAATGGGTGAGATAAAGTACATCAGAGAGGAATGAGAAAACTACCCTAGCAAAAGAAGATAACATTTAAATCAACTGTAAAGGAGTAGGATAGCCAGGGGTGGCGGGTCACACCTATGATCTCAGCACTCAGGAGGCTGAAGCAGGAGGATCTCAAGTTCAAGGTCAGCCTCAACTACATTGTAAGACCTTGTCTCAAAAACACAGTATTTTGGAATAGGGTTTACCTGGGAGAAAAGGATGTTGGGGGGTGGGGCACAGAGGGTACATTGCTAACATGGAAATGAAAGGAACACAGCATAACTCGAGTTTATGGCACTTGTAAAGAATAACAGGGTGGGCAGCAAAGGTAGGCTAGAAACAGCTGCCGCCTGAACAGGTCTGCCATGCCCAGAAATATTCACTTGGTCCCATAGGCATTGGGAAGCTATCTGATCTGTGATTTCCAAATAGAGAGGACTGTAACTGGTATAATAATATAGGTGTAATTGGCATAATATAAAAAGAGTGGGGAGGGAATGGATTTAGGAAGAAAGTTAGGAGTTTCCAGTCACAGCCCAGGTGACAGTGCTGGAACCTGAGGAAATAGCAATAGAGGTGTCACATTCAAGAGACATTTTTTGGCTAAAACTCACAAGATCAGTTAAAAAGATGGAGATTGGAAGTAAGGAATGGAGGTGACACTCACTGGATGAGGAAACCCATTTCCTACTCTCTGATCTGTTTCTGGCTGGAACCCCATAGATCTCCCTGCCTCTGCTCCAGTCCACACACTGTGGATAGAGAACTTCTTATATGTGTCCCCCTAATCTCAGTGACTCTTGTCAGCATTATGAGAAACCTGATCCCCTCATGGATGTTCCCTCCTGTGAACTCTGTCTTCCTCCTAAGTCACAGCTTCCTCACCTGACCCCCATACACTGGCCTTCACCAACATCCAAACCATTCCAAGGCTCCAAAACATGACCCCTCTTTACCAACTTTCTTAGCCCTCTTGTGCTTTTGCCTCTGCCTAAAATGTTTTCCCTCCCACCAGTATTTTTGTACCATTCAAAGTTTCCCATGCATGGTGCAGGCCCAGTGTAGCCGCTCACATATTTGTTAAATGAATGAATGAGTCCATGAATGGATTATAGTTCATCTGAGCTTTCTCTTCTCTTAGAAATCTTTCTTGACTTTGTGGAGTTTGCTATTGGTTTCCCTTCTTCTGTACCCTAGTTCTTACCTCCCCAAGTTGTTCATTCTGTCTTAGTTGACTGTTGCCTGTCTCCCATCCCTCACAGAATGGGAACATCTTAAGGAACAGGATATTCTGTTTTTCTCATTAATGTAGGTTCTAACATGGTGTCTAGTATACATTAGTCTCAAGAAATACTGCAAAGTAATCAGATGGGATTGGGGTGAGGGGCTGGGGAATCAAATCCATTAACAAAGTTTAAAAGGACACAGTCAACAATGGAAAAAGCAGATTGATTCTCCTGTTGTAGCCATTGGATTTGATTCCCTAGGGCTGGAGGGAAAAGGCAGTATCTTGAGGACTCAGACTACTCACCTTGACAAAGGAGAGAATGACATGTGTTACAGTAATGGCCACTGTCATGGCCATTTACTCATAAGTCCCCAATGCTGGTGTGTGCCACCCACCCTACCTGCCTTTCCTATCCTTTCAGAGAAGAATCGCCTCTTTACATCACCATTTAATGCAACCTTACATTTTCCTTTCTGTTATAGAATAAAGATCCCAAGATGGCTCGAGTTGCACTGGAATCTCTCTACAGATTACTTTGGGTTTACATGATTCGAATTAAATGTGAAAGCAACACGGCTACTCAGAGGTAAGGAGTTAGCTTTTATTGGCAGTGACCGTGTCATTGAGTTAATCATTGTAACCACATTACTCAGACACTTGGGAGGATGTTTTCTTTTATTGCTGCCTACCGTAACCCATCTGGAACTTGTTCAGAGAGACATTCCAAAAGATCCAAATCCTAAGAACATTTTCAGGCCTTCCTTTGTCATTGGCTTAACAGCCTTTACTGAAACTCCAGCCTCTACCAGCATTGATGGGTTCTACCTCCAGGACTGCATTCACCACTTTTACAAAGGAAATACCTGCAATTTTCTAACTGCCTTTAGCTATCCAGAAAAACTTTTCATAGACTAATTATGCTAATGGAAAGGGATGAGGTGGTTTGTTTTCCTTTTCTGAATTCTCTCTGATACTTAGATAAGATGAAACATCTGCCATTTTCCCTTAAAGAACTGAAGCTCAGCCAATCTAGCTTGTTTTCTCTTTTTCCCCCTTTGTCTTCCAGCCGACTTATAACCATCATCACCACACTTTTCCCCAAAGGGTCCCGAGGTGTGGTGCCAAGGGATATGCCTCTGAACATCTTTGTGAAAATCATCCAGTTCATTGCCCAGGTAATGGAGAAGTTTCTGGCAATGAGAATCTTCTAATTGTTTTAAGTAGCCAGTATCCTCCTTATGAGGTACTAAAAGGTGAAAAGTCGAAAATGATATCTTACGTGTTTAGACTTTTCTGAAAGGTTTGGAGTGTTTTCACACATAGCCTGTTCTTTTGTTTCAAAACAAATTGTGTCATGAGTACATCAAGTATTTTCACCACCTGATGAAGAACCTGAGAGACAGAGTTTAAGTGACTCATCCAAGGTCACAAAGCCTATTAGTAAAGGAGTCTCTTGACTCTCCCCTCTTTTCCTGATTCTTGCTCTGGATTCTACAAGTAAAGAGGATGCAAAGGGTCTGATGTTTGGAAGAAAGTTAAGGGGGAAAAAAGGCAATTTAGTGAAGTTTTAGTAAATACTGATGTTCTAATTTTCCTCTGTGAAAAAGAATTTTATGTGGAGATTAGCATTACCAAGTTAAATTTATTCTTTGCCAAAAACTGTTCTAACCTGTTTTTGTATAGCTGTTTATACATGTATTAAAACATGTATAATACATGTTTTATAAACTGGTATCGGTAATATTAAATGTAGTTTTTATGTGTAATTTACTATTCAGACCAAGATATTTTTTCTTTTATCCTTTTTTTTTTTTGGTATTAAGGGTTAAACCTGTACCTCATGCATGCCAAGATATACTCTACCAGTGAGCTACATCACCTAGTTCCAATTTTTTCTTTTTAAAACGCTTTGGGAGTAAATGATTTTGCTTCCACTTTGACCTCTGTACTTACAGAGGAGCAGGAAAAGACTTTTATTCCAGTCTAGTCTCTGCCATAATCCGCCCTTTAACCTCAAACAACTCAAAGAACATCTTTTTTCTTAGTTTATTTATCTGCAAAGTAAGAATGGAAATGCTTGCCTGGTATGCCTCAAAATATTATGTTATTAAAGGGAAATGATAGGAATTAAGATACTGTTGAAGTATAATTGATGCGATATAAAGATAAGTTACTTACTGTGAAGGGAGCTACTTTGCAGACTATTTAATGTATATTTCTCTCTGTGTTAGGTACAATGAAATACCTCTGTAATATGTTAAGCAAGGGCACTACTTGCTCTATAGGTGGAAATTTTAATTTTAACTTTTCTATACATAGTTATGAGGTGCTGAGACTCTGCTTTGATTTTTCTGGAACATGTTGTGTAAAATGAACATGTCATACCTTAGTAGCCACTAACTTGAATTACTATAATCTGTCTTAAATGTTCTCATTTAAGTAACCTTAGAATGTCTTATTTCTTGATTATTATTCTTAGTTGCAGAATTGTTTGTTACAGTGAGAGACAGAGAATTTGTAATACTAGGGAATAGAATATAAAATGGTCATTTTGCAGTGATTTTTAAAAGTACATTTTAGGCTGAGTTTCAACAAGTTGCCAGCATTTGGATTACAAATAGGAAGAATTGGGGCTCTTTCTAAGCCTGGACCCCCAGATGTTGTGATTCTTTTATTTTCATCTTGTGCCATCCATCCTGTGCTTTTGGAGCTAATTTGGTGTCTTATGTAAGGAGGGCACCCCTGCATCCCCTCACAACATATAGAAACAGGAACAGTTCTACCAGGCACTCAGATGGGTGGGATCTTCCCTTGGGGTTTCTCTGTGACCCATAAAATAGAGCAACACCCTACTGTTTTAGCAACCACCTGTTTGTTACCTATGACGAAAACAGCCATTTCATGTTGAACTTGTATTTTAGCATTTTCATTTTGTTTTCTTATTTTCCCTCCAGGAACGTTTAGATTTTGCAATGAAAGAAATCATTTTTGATTTTCTTTGTGTGGGAAAGCCAGCCAAAGCTTTCAGTCTCAACCCAGAGGTATGAAAGATCCTATTAGGTACTTCTAACAGAGCGTGTATTCAAAATTATACCTTTCCTTTGCAACTTTGGGGACTAGAGTGAGGAAAGACTTCTCTTAAGTCTTAGATTTGTTTCTTCTCCTGTCTAAATTCAGACAGGAGTCTAAATTTACCCTAGATGGTAGGGTCTTAGATGTAAAATTTTGAGTGAATAGATTTAACATGATAAAAGATTGATGTTTACCATATTCTATTCTTGTATCATGGAGTAATTCTTGCACAAAAACAATCTATTACAACAAGTCAAATTATTTTATTTCAAAAAAAAGTATTTTTACTTATAAATATATTGATGCAGATGAGCAAATTTAATATTAGAAAATGATGAAACAGAAAAGAATTAATACATGTAATAATAAAAATATACCAAAACATAGTAAAATTAAATAAATAATGTGCAAACGTTTCTGTGACAACATCCAAACTCACGAACCAGGTAGATTGTGGAAAGGAGTCCACAGTGGGTTTTACATAATAGGATATAGACTAGTTGGGGCTGTGAAAATGAACAGCACATTTAATTTTAAACTTTTAAACTGTCAGCCAACAGAAATATGCCTTGCAAGCTTCCTCTTGGCAGCCCTTTTCCTGTGGGATTATACTGGACCAGAAGACAGAGAGTTGGATTTGCTACTTTCCACAGACACTGATGCTTTTGTAGCTGTGTGACATTTGCTTCTCTGACAACTTTCTCACTTGGAAAATGAACTAAATACATTTCTAGCTCACTTCACAGGAGGGTGATAATGAGAAGAGCACATTATGAACCAGGAAGGAAGGGAGAAAGGGAGGGAATTACATCCCATAACAATGTTTTAAAAGATTATTTCTGTCATCACTGTGGTATTGTCTGGCTTCTTCATCCTGTCAGTGAGGAAGCAGGCCCCAAGCCCAGAGGCTCAACATAGGCAGCTTATTAGTAGCAGAGGGACTCCGGGTATCCCTGTGCTCCTTCCCACCACACCTGAAGCCTCTTCTTGACAGTAAGGTTGTCACACGTCTAGCAACAGAACAAGAAGCCTCAGAATGGGAGTTTCTGTCTGGTGGCTAATAGCCTCCCAGGCTTCCGGAATGGCTGCGGCCAGGGTCAGCAGGTCAGTGGGAGGGGTAAAACCTGTGCAAAGCCAGAGACTTGGCTGGAAGGAGGCCCAGAGCTGGACAGTAAAGTCTTCTCTTGCTGGGAAAGTTCTCAGTGTATTTTTCATTTCTCAGTAGTCAGAGTTCTACTGTTTTAACAGCCAGTTCTCAAAATTACTGGGCTACTTGTCTTAAAGAACATGTTAAAACTGCTACCATCATTATCACCATCTACAAAGTTTATCCTTGGTTCTTTTTTTCAAATTTTTCATTCAACCATTAATGAACTAGTTAACTTCTCTCTGCAGAGGGCTTGGAATTGTGATTTAAAAAAAAAAAAAACTACCAATAGGAGAAATGTTTTGGATATTGCTTACCATCTCTTGATCTTGTAGAGATAAATAAAAGAATGTATTTATTAGTTGTTTGTAATTATAAGCCCAGAGGCATATCCTTGACCCCATTCGGCAGGAGACACAGGATAGAATGGTTAATGAAGCAAATGTCATATACCTAATAAAATGTTCTGTGGGCACAGTTTCTCAGGAAATAAACCCAGAATTGGGTCTTCAATAATATTTTGGAAATAGTTGGTAGAATAAGGCCCAGAGAAATAAAGGGTTATCCTACTACAAAGTGTTTTACACCACTCAACAGCTAGGTAATTTCCAGGCAATTGGTTTGATTTGGTTTGGTGTGGACCTAGATGACTTACTACATTCTCTCCTGTTATGATTGAGAATTTGCTTATCTGTGAGAAGAGCTGCTAGGTTCTCATTCTCTCTCACACGCTCTCTCTGTCACACATACACATACACACACGCACACACACACTTGCTCAATATTTTGGTACTAGGGATTGAACCCAGATCATTGCTCATATTGCTTGAGCTATGCCCCCATCCTTTTGGTTTGGTTTGGTTCTTGAGACATGGTCTCACCACTCCCTTTGTCCAGGCTGACCTTGATTTACTGTCCTTCTACCTCCACCTTTCAAGTAGCTGGGATTATAGGCACATATCATGACGCCTGGCTAGTTTCTCTCATTTTTGCCTTGACCTAAAATAACATGGAATGGGAGGTCTTACTCAGTGCTAGAGGCAAGAAGAAGAAATAAAAGGCTAGGTAGGTTGGAAATGAAGACATAGCACTGTTTTATTCACAGACAACATGATTGTCTATGTAGAAAATCCCAAAGAATCTACGGAAAATCTACTGGAACTAATAAGTGATTTTAGGAAGTTTGTAGGATGCAAGATTAATAAATGTATTTATATATTATAGTAATTAACAGTTAGAAATTAAGTAATTTATAATAGTAATGAAAAACAATGCTTATCAATAAAGCTGATAAAATAGATATAATACTCTTATACTGAAAACTATAAAATATTGAAAGAAATCAAGACCTAACTAAGTGGAGAGAAACAGTTTGTGGCAGATGAATGTTGTTAAGAGTTCAGTTGTTTCCAAGTTGATTTAGATACTATAATCCCAAAGATAATCTGAATTAAAATCTCTACAGTTTTTCTATAGAAATCAACAAGCTGATTTTAAAACTTGTATGGAAAAATCAGAAAAATAAAGTGGGACTAGAATAACCTGATTTCAAGACTAATTATAAAATTATACAGCCATTATAAGGATGACTATAAAATACCAGGAATAGAAATAAAAGTCCAAAAATAGACCCACCCACACATGGTCAATTGATTCTGTACAGCTGGTCTGTGTTACTTCAATGAATAGTCTTTCTAATAAATAGCACTGAGCAATTGGACATCGACCTGCAAAATAATAAACTCTAATCCATAGTATGCTCTGTAAACAAAATAAACCCCAAATAGTTCACAAATCTTAATGTAAAACCCTTTACTATAAATCTTCCAGAGAAAAGTAAAAGAAAAATCTTAGTGACCTTCACGTAAGCAAAGATTTCTAGGACTTAAAAATCACAAATCATAAAAGAAAAAGTGATAAATTGAACATAATTTTTTCCATTTTTATTAGCATATATTAGTTGTAGAAAAGGATTTTGTTGTGATTTTTCCATATATGCATCCAGTGTACCCCAATTAAATTCATTCTGCTTATCACTCCCAGTGTAATTTTTTTAGTTTGTACTTTAATAAAAGATATTGTTAATAAAGCAGAGTCACAGACTCATTTGCATAACACCTGATAAAGTTTTTCTATCTAGAATGTACAAAGAACTCTTGAAACTCAACAAGAAAATTTAAGCAATCCAATTTAAAAATAGACAAAAGCAATAGCCTCAGCCCATGAAAAGATGTTTCACATTATTAGTCATTAGGGAAATATAAGATAAAAATGACACAGCTCTGGGAGGACACAGAGCAACTGGAATTCCATACTATTCTAGTGAGTGCTCTACAGAGAGCACGCATCTTGCTGAGTTCTCATTCAGAGACAATATCATGCCTTACCTCAGCTCATTGCCCACATGTTTTCATCAGTAACCATTTTCATAATATTGACTTTTAAAAGTTTATTCTCAAATGTGCTGGCCTTTGTGAACCAAAAGTCAAGATCTATAATTCAGAATAGATGTTTATTTTGGGGGTTCATGTTTGGAGCTCTGAATGTTTTCACTCAGTCTTTGTTAATTAATGAAGTGTGGTGTCTCTCTTCTAGGAGACAGAATAAGCATAGAGCCTATTGCCTACCTCAGTTTACCTAAATTGTATCTGCTTCACAGGATGACTACCTGCCCATTTGACATTCCCCCCAACCCCCACATTCCCTGAACAGAATATGGTTTGTGACCATCTCAAAAGTGTACTCCAAATTTGATGAAAGTATTCCTGTTTGCTTTTGTGTGATAGAGCAACAAATAGTGACAGAAACTTATTTTCATAGGTTTGGCCTACACTCTTATCCCTTTTAAACTGTTTTCCCATACTAAACTAGATGACAAGCCAAACTTCCCTAAAAGATTGATGGCTTAATTTCACCACTGTAATTGGATCTTTCCTTTTATCATGGGCATATTGTTTCTTACAGAGAATGAACATTGGTTTACGAGCATTCTTGGTAATAGCTGACAGCTTGCAGCAGAAAGATGGCGAGCCTCCCATGCCAGTTACAGGGGCCGTGCTCCCTTCTGGAAACACATTGAGAGTAAAGAAAACATACTTGAGTAAAACACTAACTGAAGAGGAAGCCAAAATGATAGGTGGGTTTCAAACATGAGTTAAACCTGGGCATGAAGTCTTCAAAATCACCAGTGAGACAATTTTAATGGGATACAGTTTAAAAAACATCTTTGTAAAAGTCTGCGATGAGACATTCCAAGGTTAATTGTGTTGATTGATTCATGATGTGTTTTGTTCTACTGCCCTTTAAACTTTTAGAACTTCCTGGTAAATATTTTGCCATTTAAATGTTAGACTTCTATCTGGGTCCTTGTAAACTTCTAACATTGATTGCCTACATATTACAGTAAGTTTCTAAGACATCTGTGTGCTTTGGTAAATAATCTTGTTTCTTGTTTATAATTCACTCATTCATTTTTATAGGCATTTCCTTCCTTTTGTTTTCCTTTCAGTAACATTGGTCTAATTTTTTTTAAGACATGCTGAATGTACAAAATAGGTTATGTTGTAAATCTAATAAGTGGAAGATTTTCTTTTTAATTTAGCTATCTCAATCCAAAGGGGTGATTTCTTTTTTTCATGCTCTTGTTTATTTCTGTACCCAAACTTAGAAACATATTACAAGTTCTGTTAATATAGTTATGGGATCCCAAAGATACAAGGGAAATACATGCAGAAACTCTTTGCTTTAAAATATTAATAAATTATGCAATGCTGAAATGACTTTAAAATAACTAATAAATGAGAAATAATTATTAATTATTTCATTAAGGTACAAAGTTATTTACTTTTCATTTATTTTATTTGTATATATATATATATATATATAATCATATGTATCAGGTATATAATAAAAGCAGTAAAAACAATATGACTGAAATACATTTTCCTTCATTTTAAATTTTATGGTGTGAAGCCATTTTGTTTTACACAAAAAAGAATCTGCACATACATTTCAGAGGACAATCTGAAGTTATTAAACTCTCACTCCCAAACTAAAGGATTATGTCATCCTTCATGTTGATTTTCTTATGCTAATCAGAAATTTAAAATTTTTTAAATAAAATTTGGTATTACCTTGTTTAACTCTTGTGGAAAATACTTCCCATTGAAGTATTAGAATTCTTATAATTTAATTAAATGATTATTTGGTGAATACCTTCTAAATGCAGAGCCCTGTGAAGAGAGAGATTGAATCAAACTCGGCCCCTCTGCTCAAGGAAGTTATTAACTCATGAGGTTCTTCAGTAAAAACTGGTATGGATAAACCAGGATGTCATTCTTTGATAGATTTATTAAAAGCTGTAACTATTGTACACATTTTGCAGGAATGTCCTTATATTACTCTCAAGTACGAAAAGCTGTGGACAACATCTTAAGGCACCTTGATAAGGAAGTAGGACGATGTATGATGCTAACTAACGTACAGATGTTAAACAAAGAACCTGAGGACATGATCACGTGAGTACAGGGAGCGCTGTTAACAAGGAGGGACTGATAAACCCAAAGAGAGAGGTAGAGATTCTTCTTCTTCCCATCAATTCTGGTTTATTCTCAGAATCAAGAATTCTAAGGAGTTTTAAGGATAGTATAAAAAAAATTCTTTGGCAGTTTTTTTCTAGCTATAAAAATAAGTTTAAATTTGAAGTTGATCTATTTTGGCTATATCTTGAGTAACATTAGGCCAAAAAGTTAGAAAATGACGCTTACAACTCATTTACTGGTTCACGTTGTTCCGAAGTAACATTTTGTTCCCAAGCTGTATCACCACCCATTTGATACAGTGATATCACCAATTTACAGACCTTCCATCTTTACACATCTCAAGTTGGCTGGTCCCTAGTGACAGTTTCTATTCAACAGTTTCTGTGAAACTGTGCCATAGATTTTAAGAAAGCATTTGTAGTTTTAAATGTAGAACTCAAATGTTCCTACTCAAAATCTAAAGAACCACAGTTGTAATTAGATCGCGGCAGAGGAAACTTACACAACTTGTATTTGTTATATTTGATTAATCACGACAGGAACTAAGATTAGATTGTAATTCTGTTTTAAGAAAGTTTAAGCCTTGTTGTTGGACAATGAAATGAATTATACTTAACATCTGTGGCATAGATTTCCAAAAATGTAATTAGGAAGATTTCTTTTGTCATTCAGCATATCTAACCCAAAATACCATAATTAATCTTGTTACCTATATAGAGAAATTCATGTTGTGATTGTACATTTTTATTGCAATGGTAACATGTACTCATGCTTAAACCAGTTAAAAATGCAGAATGATTATAAATACATACTTAGTAGAATCCAAAGTTAAAATAAGAGCCTTCTCCTCAGAGCCCCACTTAAATTCTGTGACCATTCCTTGGCTTCTTCATAGGATTCTTTGCAGACCTCTCTGTATGTCAGTATAATGTATATAAAATACAATACACCTTGAATTATAATGGGGTCATATCATAGTAAACCCATCATGAGTTGAAAAGATCATCAGTCAAAAATGTATTCAATACATCTCACTTAACCAAACATCCTTGCCTAGTGTCACAGCACACTGTAGAGTGTTGGTTGTTTGTCCTGTGATCACAGGGCTTCCTGGAAACTGCTGCCAGACAGCATCACAAGAGAGCATCAGACTGCATGTCACTAGCCCTGGAAAAGATCCAGATTCAAAATTCTAAATAGTTTCTACTGAATGTGAATCACTTTTGCACCATAGTAAAGCCAAAAAGTCATAAATCAGGGACCACCTTTTTTTTTTCCAAAAATAAGATTCTATAATATGCATTATCCTCATGTCATTTGAGACTTTTCCACCAACATAATAGCAGAATTGAGATTGACCAAATTAATACCATTTGAGATACTATTATAGCTTTCATTTTTTATTCACAAATTGCCAGATTATAAATAAAACTTTAACATTATTGTTTGATGTTCCTTGAATATATTAAAGCCACCTTTGGTTTATAGTGCAGAAAATGTAAAATTTTTGAATTCTTCCATTTGTTTCCTCTAAAAATAATAAGGAAATCAAAGTGCTTTAAAGGAAAACTTATTTCTAATCAATAGACATTCTCAGATAGGTTCAGAACCAAAGAGATATATTAAAAACCATAAAAAAGGCCAAAATCTTAAGGTTTAGATATAAATGTAAATTTTTACTTATGTTTTAACTAATGCCTCAGGTTTTTCTATTTTTTTTATTCATTTATTCACATGAGCATACATTGTTTGGGCCATTTCTCCCCCCTACTCTCCACCCCCATCCTCTCCCCAGTTTTTTTTTATGAGAACTATTCAACCATCTTAAGCCCCCAAATAAGGTTAAGAATGTATTTCATGCTAGACTTTAAGCCTTTCACAGATCCGTGTGTGGAAAATAACTCATTGTTCCATTTCTACAACAACAACAAATAGGAGAAATGTTAGGGAATTATATAAGCACTTAGGAGAAGAGGGCGGAGGCCACACAACACTAATGGGAAGAGTCATCAGAGCTGGTATTTGAGGTTGGTCCACCACTTTCCCAGGCCCTGCTTATGGTGTGAACTTGAACACTGAGCATTCCGTGTTGCTCAATTTCCATTCCTTATTTCTTTTGTGACTAGTTAAAAATAAAAAAACAGAGGAAGAAGAAGAAAATAAAAATATTTTAATGTCTGTTAATAAATTTTCTTAATTATGTTATTTTGGGGGATTTCACATGCTTCCCATAGAAGCCCAGAGAACAAAGACCTCAATAGTTAGAGGAAGTCACACAACAATTAGTCTCCAATCTAGGCTTGCTTTATCAACTTAGAAGTTCAGCTTACACTTTAGGCCAGACAGAGTCATCTGTTTTTCAACAGATACAAAAATAATACCAGCTGTTTAAAACATCTGGTGAACAAGCTGAGAGAACTGCTTGGACTCCTCACTGTTGAAATGGACAGTTAGAAGTTGTAACGCTGTTCAGCTATGCAAATGTCACTTGAAGGCTTCTCTCTCCTGTAGCTGATTGGAAACCACTGTGCAACTGCTTCCTCTCTGGAATCTCATACAGCTTATACCAAACATCCGTGGAAAAAGAGAGAAAATAATGTTATGGTTTGCAATGAAAGCACAGTGTTTCGGTAGTCAACATCTATGTGTTTCATTTTTCATATGAACAGTTTTGTATTCTGAGCAAACATACAAAAACACAGTAGAAAGTAATGTCACAGAGCAAAGTTGCCATTGGATTATGGTCCCTAGACTCTAGAGAGAGTGGATTCTGCCTCATGCATTTCTATTCTGGCCCTGGTTAATGTTCCAAGGAGGGATTACATCTATGCCACTTTGCATTTTCATTGTTGTGTCTGTGTCCTACGATTATATTAATTTTATACCAATTTTATATTCTTAGAAGATTAAATGATCACAGTTTAGATGTGCTGCTATATATTGTCACATAGATTATCTGAAAGACTTGATGGGTAGTCTAACTTTGCATAAATGTTATTGATTCAATAAGTTATTGATATAAACAACTTAAAATTTAAATAACTTATCACAAAAATAGTTGTCCCTCAGTATCTGTAGAGGATTGGTTCCAGGATCCCCCCACAGATGCAAAATCTGAGGATGTGCAAGTCTCCCAAGTAAAATGGTGTATAATTTGCATATAACATAAATACATCCTCCCTTATACTTTAAATCATCTGTAGATTACTTATATCACCCAAAACAATGTCAATTCTTTGTGAATAGTAGTTACAGTTTTGTTTCAGAAATAATGACAAAAAAAAGTCTATACATGTTCAATACAGACATATTTTTTCCAGAATATTTTTGATCCATGGTTGGTTGAATCCAGGATAGAGATCTTATGAATAGGGAAGGCTGACTCTACATTTTTTTCCTTTACATTTTCTAATGATACAGAAGGTATTATTACCATTAAAAATTAATATTGTCAGGAGAGTAGCTAAAAAGAGCGATAGATCCTCCACAGTGGTCAGTATAATTTTAAAAGTCAGAAATAGGTACATTTCAGGATTTTCCTGGTCATTATAAAAAACTATTTTAGAGGCAATTAAAAAAAAAAACAGGGTTGGGGCTGTAGTAGAGATGCATAGCTCATCAGGAAGAGAAGTTTCTGGATGTCACACTTGTGAACAGCACCATTTCTTGTTTATATTAAAGTTCCATTTTCAAATGCTAAATATAGGAATGACTATAATGCATTTCTTCATGGGAATACATTGAGGCATTTCTGTGATTACAGTGTTTTAAATGCATCCCACAAGGATCTCTTCCCCGGTAACCCAACTGAATGGCAGGCCTGTGGTAAAATGCTATTCATATCAGCGTTGTTGGGATAGGTGCCACTGTCTTACATCTAGACTTTTTAAGGTTTTATTCAAGCTTAAACATTTCAGAATAATATGGAGCCAACACCAGGCTGTGATTCAGAAGGCCTGATTGACTTCTAGTCTTTGTTTTCAAGAACTTATCAATTTTCAGGTTTTTTTTTTTTTTACATTTTTATCTGCTCTTAAATATTGTCTTCAAACTCTAGGGGTGAGAGAAAGCCAAAAATAGATCTTTTCCGGACCTGTGTTGCTGCTATTCCTCGACTGCTTCCTGATGGAATGTCAAAACTTGAACTTATTGACTTGCTGGCCAGGTAGGTAAAAGCTGTAGTGGATATCACTTAACCAGAATTGATTTCAGTTTTTTGTCATGATTCCTAAAAAAGAAAATAGAGCGATTATTTATAGTTGTCAGATATGTACTAAATTAAGTGCTACTCTGGGTTCTATGTATGAGCAAGAAGGAATAAAGAAATGTGGTTTTTAAATTATTATTTTCCCTATGTCAAAGGGGCTTTAAATCCAATTTAGAATAAATACATGACCTCATAAGGTAACTAATGACTCAAAGCCTGAAACTGTGAAAACCAACGGCACAAAAAGTAGATACTTGTTCAGTGTGCAGCACCATTACTAGGGACCAAAGAAGTCAACAAATAACTCTGGCATAAGATAGAATATGAACTGTCCTTTGATAGGAAGGTAGAATTCAGAAAGGTAAACTGAGTAATGTGGAAGGAAGTCCATTCAGCATCTGACTCCCACTCTGAGGCCAACTCCAAGGGGCCAAAAGAGGCCGATAACAGGTGATTCTGAACTAGCATTGACACTTAAAGAAAGCTGCCCAAAATCATATTTATCATTCTCTCCATCCTCCATAGGAATGCAATCCAACTTAAAATTTAATAAAATTTCATTACAGTATAGTAACTTCGTATTTCCTGCTGATCCAAAGCTCTCATTGATAGTTACACATACCTTTAATTTAAAAATCAGAAGTGCCTGCAGACTGGAGGCATGAGTCAAGCAGTAGAGTGCCTGCCTTGCAATCTCAAAGACCTGAATTCAAACCCCAGTACCACCAGAAAAAAAGAAAGTGTATTTATTACCTAAAGGCAATGTAGAAAAGCAAAAATCATTAGACACGTGGAATGCAATGAATGAGGAAGAACAGAAGTCACCTTGGGTTGGGGTGAAAAAGAAAAGTTTGGAAACCCAAGCTTAGAAATAAGCTTGGCAAGGTAGATTTTCAATAAGTCTTAAGTATTGATGGAGACGTTTGGATGGATGAAGTTTTAAGTAGAGGAATAACATGATTTAAAAAAAAAAACACTTTAGGCTGGTTAATCTGATAATGGTTGAATAAAGAAAAGCATAGCAAGGATATCAAAAAGGATAGCAAATGTGAATGCTGATCAAATGAAAGATATAGCATGCATAGCCTAGGTGACCCCATTCTCTAGCCTTCTGAGAACTTCTTCCCATCAGTATCCAAATAAAAAACCCAAGCTCCCCAAATAATAGCTCTTACAACCTGATTGTCCTTCGCTTCCTCCTCCCCAACACCACCAGCAAAAGGATGATGCTGTCTGTGAAGGTTACTGAAGATTTATTCCCTTCAAACCACTATTCCACACTTTGGTGCTCTGACCAAGCCTTGTACCTTTAGCTGGACTTATCACCTATCATCAATCACAGTAACCTGTTTTTGACTGTCAATAGCCTTTAGCCCACAGGCCTTTCTCCTTTCTGTTCCATGCTTAGAACATTAAGAAGGATATAAGGTCTTAAACAGTCAAAATCTAGACCTTTGCTGAAGCCTAGCTGCAGAATGTGAGCCCAGAGCTCATTGGTAAGCAGCAGGAAGAGGAAAAGAAGAAAAGATAAGCCTAGATTGAAAAAGAGTTTCCATTTCTGGGGGAGGAGACCCCAGAGGAACAAGGGGTAGATTTCCAAAGAATAATAAACGCAATAGAGGGCAGGGGAAAACTAAGGAGTGATATAAGGTCATCCACACTAATATTGAGTCTCCCAGGATGAGGGCAGAGACTGAGAACAAAGAAAAATGGCAACAAATTCTAGAATGACCCTGAAACATAAAGGAGCCTCCTTCAGTTTGCTGTGGACAACAGTGAAGAGGATGGCAAGACTCAGAAATGTATTCCCATGGAAAACACATGGCCACTCCCTGCAGAAGTAGTATGGGAGAATGGGAAGAAGAAAGAATTGTCTAAAAAGCTTTTATATTGCTTGCCATCTTATTACCTGTGTGATCTAGACAAATTACTTAAACCCTCACCGTATTTTTTTCTTTGGTTAAGTTGGGATGATACTGCCTAACTCATAGGAACTTTCAGAGGACAAAATAACATGCTCCCTCATTAATCAGAGGGAAAGGATTTCTGGGTGGGGGGAGTTTCACTTAGTCTGAAGTGGCAGGAAAGTTTACTTCATTCAGTGAAGACCTCACTAAGCCCTTTGAAATAACAGGTTTTTTGGATGACATACAGAATATTGGGAGAGCCTCTAATTCTGTTTCACCTTGGATCTGTGTGGAAGGCTTCTTACCTCTGAAGATCACCTTGGTAGCCTCATCCAGAATCTGCAGACGATGGTGGTACCAGACATGTAGGGAGGGAATTCTGTTAGACAGTGTTGGATGTGAATGCTATTTATAGATGTCCTGTTTATTATTATGTACTTTCTTACAAAACCCGAAGCCATGGGTACTGTTTTTTATGAGGGAAAAGAACAAATAAATATTTTTTGAGAGTTCAAGAAAATGACTGAACTCAATAGGAAGCTCGGGAAGAGGCCTTTTTCATAAACTTCAAAAGAAGCCAGAGGCTGTTCTCCTCAGGGCTGGAGCCAGGACCTGCATGCTGGAGAAAATGTGCCTTTTTAGATCCCCCCAGGAGGGTCAGATGACAAAAATGAAATAATTCATTCACAATAAATTTGGGTTTCAAGTGCCACACAAGATGTTTTCCTCACTTTGTGCCCCCAAAGTCCAGTCATGTTTGGGTTAAGTTGACTTGAGACAATACATGTGGTGTGATCAGCGAGAGGTGAGATGATTTCAGACACTTCACACTCACATCCATGATGCATTTTTACATAAAACTTGGTTTTCTTCCTAATTGGCAAAATAACACCAGTGTTCACTCAGCCTCCCTGTTCACTCAGTGTTTCCTTCCCACCCAGCTTGTAAGGAGTTTCAGGGACGTCCCACATAACTGCCCCCAGGGCCCCATCCCAGCATTTCCGGTTATGGCTGAATACCACAGACACTGAAACCTCAGACTTGCCCTGGTATGTAGAACATGACAGCAGTGTATGGAATGAAGCTGGCAAGCCTCCTTCTCCAAGCTACTAAATTTTTGGTTTTATGTATATTGCTCAGATAGCTCATAATAGGGAGTGTGAGGAATCTTTCCCTGCAGGCTCTGTGGGGGCAACGAAGACCTTTCTGACATCATGGTGAGATCCCTGGTATTACCAACTTCCCTCCCTTAGCCTGCCCTGCTCAGCTGTCTGGGTCCGCCAAGGATTCTCCACATAGAAGAAAGAGCTTGCTTCTCTCCTGGAAGCCATCATCTTTTCTCTCTTACTCTTCTCCCAGGTGTGTCCTGCTCCTTCCTTTGTCTATAGAAGGACCTGTCCTTTCTCATTCCTATAGCTCCTTCCTGTATGAAGGGTTTGATGTTCAATATTTACTCTCTCCTTTCAAAAATTTGACTTCATTAATATGATACTGACCTCATAGGGTTCTAAGAATTAAATAGTGCATATAAGTCACTTTGCATAATGCATGGTCACTCTGCATACATTAGTTATTCTTTTGAGATATATTCACATTTGACTATTATACAATGTGTTTCACCTACATTATGTTAAAGCTGAGTACATACTCATCCCCATTCTTAGCAAGGACACTGAACTTTGGAAGAGTAAAACTGGTTGCCCAGATTTACAGGATTTTCCTGAAAGCAAGTATCATGGTTTTTGTGCAAAATAAAAATACCTTTTATTTGGTATTTCCTTATAATTTGTGGAAATGGTTGAGATAATACGTATATACTTCCACAATTGTCTGTGGTAGCTGAAATATGTTAACCATATTGCTTTCACTTTTCACTAGATCTGTGATGTGAAAAGTCGCTGGCTGTTTTATTTAGCTGAGAGAACACATTTCAATCGTATCTATTGCCACAGGGGTTCATTTGCTCTCATTTTAATTGAGATGCAGTTCAAAGCACTGCTGACAGGGAGAGCCCTCTCTTTCATGCTCCTCAGACTTCTTGTGAGCTAGGGCAGTGGTCAACAGTGGGCCTGTCAGCAAGCCCCGCTGCTGGAAACCCTTGGCCCTGGGCTGCCCTTGGTGACTTTAAGTGGCAGCAGCTTCTTCACCTCTTCCTCATACTTGTTTAACTTGTCCTAGTTTAGAGGGGACTGTTTCTCAAAATATGCTTTGTCAAACTGAAATCACCCCCTTTCCATTTTAAACAACCAAGTCATTGAGAGCTACTAAGCTGATCACGCGGGAACCTGCAGCTCACCTTTATGCAAGTGGTTTGTGTTAAAAGTCACTTGTCTGATCTGACTACCCAAGTAGATGACTTGTCCAAGTTCTGTTTTCCCCATTTCGGAGCGTGTCCTTATCAGTCAGCAGCAGCCTTGTGTAAGCAGCACCTTGCTCTAGAACACTGCAGATGTGGCTGCAGGACCGTCCACAGGGGCATACACAGCCCGTGTGGAATCTAGAAACATGTCTGCTCACTCCCCTGAGCAATTACAACCCCTCCAGCCTGGGCAATGCTCCTGATGTCAGCTGTGGTTGAGGTGGGGATGCTTTCCTGCTGTGTCCCTGTGAAGATGCTGTAAACCCCTCCCAATGGGTTTAGTTTTATTCCTTATTTTTTTTGTTTTCAGAGAGGGTATTACACTTTTGCCCTGGCTGACCTCAAACCGCAATCCTCCTACCTCCACCTCCCAAATAGCTGGATTACAGATGCACACCACCATGCCAAGCTTGCTTTGTTGAGAGAGGATCTCACTAACTTTTTGCCCAAGCTGGACTCTACCATCACCCTCCTACTTCTTCCTACAGAATAGCTGGGATTACATGCATGAGCCACTGCACTCCCACAGTGGTTTTATTCGGTGTGTAACCATGTACCTAAGACTCTGCTTTGAGACTCCTAAGAACCAGATCAGCTTCTTAGGAATTTTGCTTGAGTCCCCCATACAAGTTGGTCTTCTTCACAAGTTGCTTCTCTTAAAGTTTCTATTCTTTTTTAGCTACTGCCACCCAACTCTCTTGGAGTATAATTTTTTATTATAACTGTACTCATTTATTTTGCAGCGACGACCTGTTCCTTTGTTGTGTATAGTGGCACACGCCTGTAATTCACTCAGAAGGCTGAGGCAGGAGGATCACTAGACCTTGTGTGGTCTAGTTTCTCTGTGGATGGCCAAGCCAGGAGTTGGAGGTGCCCTTTCCTCACCCCATTCCTTGCTGGACAAGGAGAGTTAAGAGATGTTATTGTGCACTTCTTCCTTGCAGGTCCTGAGCACTTGGGATAGCTGAGCATCTTTCTCATTTAATTCTGAGGCTCCTCTACCTCTTCGGTTAACAATAATCTTGTCCTGTCTCATGTTTTGTGTAAATCTTACATGATTCATGAGGTGATCTTTGATTACCGACAGTAAGAATGAGAAATATCCAAGGAGAAGAAATGGCAAGAACCCCGAGAGATAGCTTTCTGTTCATACATACACTTCCAGAACACAAAGAGTGAGCCTCCTCCTTCTCCTCCACACTGGGCTGCCACAGTGACTTATCCTCACTCTCAGTCCTCTCATAGTCTGTGCCGTTTTCTTCTATAGACATTCCACTTTTATCATCAGTTGGGCCTTCTGAACCTGAAGCCCTTTCCCTGTTCTATGTCTTCATTCTCCAGGAATATTTCAGTACACTTTCCCGGTATAGCATTTGAACAGTGTCATTTCAAGAGGCATGGCCACACAGAATGCCAAGTGCTACCCAGGCCGTGGGCTTCCAGGATCCTCCAAAATGATCCTGCATGTGGGCTTGAAGTTAAAACAGATTCCAGCTTGTTCATGAGAGCAAAGTTAGATGAAGAACAGAATCCCTCTCATTTGGAAAGCACGAAGTATTAACCCTTATTTATAGGCTTCATCTAAATAGACTATGACATGGCTTTGATTCTTGGTGCTTACCTGGTTTCATGACTGTTTTGTTTGTTAAGACTGCCAAAACAAATTGCTATCACCTGGTTGCTTAAACAACAGAAATGTATTGTCTCTTAGTTCCAGAGGCTAGAAGTCCAAGACCAAGGTGTGGGTAGGATTGCTTCCTTCTGAGGACTATGAGAGAATCTGTTTCAGGCTTCTCACTTGACTTCTGATGGCTCAGTGGCAGTCTTTGGAGATCTGTGACTTATAGAAGCATCATTCCCATCTTTTCCTTTACCTTCACATGACGTTGTCTGTGTGCTTGTCTGTTTCCCAGTGTCCTCTTAGAAGGACATTAGTCATGATAGTTTAGGGGCCTACCCTATTCCCATATGTCCTTGTCCTAACATGAAAACTTTAGTGCCCTTATTACCAAATGATGTCACCTTTTAAGGCTTGGGGGAAGGAGGGGTTTAGGATTTTAACATACAAATTTTGTGGGGAACACAATTCAACCTGATGTCATTCCCACTGGTTAACATTAAGACAGTTGATTGCAATTCCTGGTTAGATTTTCTGTAGTACATTGAGAATTTGTATTAGTCAGTGCTCTCCAAAGAAACAGGAACAATAGGATAAGTGCATTGAAAGATTTATTATGAGGGATTGGCTGACACAATTATGGAGACTGGCAGGTCCAGAATCTGTAGGAGAGACCACCAGTCTGGAGACCCAAGAGAGCCAAGCTTCTGGCTTGTTCCAAAGGTGGTATGCTGTAGACCGGGGAGGAACACTGGTGCTGCAGGTAAGGTCGAAATGCTGCCTGGTGGAAAATTCCACCTGCCTCCCTCAAGGGAAGCCAGTCTTTTGTTCTGTTCAGGACTTTAACTGGGATGAGGCCCATTCACAGAACAGAGAGCAATTTGCTCTGCTTAGCCTGCTGATTTAAATTTTTTTTAACTAAAAACAAATTTATTTTTTTAATTTTATTTTTATTATATTATTGTTGTACTGGGGAGGGTACATTGTGACATTTACCAAAAGTACTTACAATATATTTTAGATTCATCTCATTCCTCATTCTCCTTTATCCTCCCTCACCCTGCTGATTTAAATATTAATCCCATCCCAAAACACCCTTGCAGAAAACACCCAGAATAAAGTTTGGCCAAATATGTGAGCACCGAGGCCCAGCCAAGCACATAGATAAAAATTGACACAGCCCAAACAATGTATACACATATGAGTAAATGTAAAAAAAGATGAAATAAAATTTTTAAAAATTGACACAAGAGCTCTACATAAAATTGTGTTGAAGAAATCAAATCTGCTACTGACTGAAATATGAAGGAAGTTTGGAAACTCTCACCTTAGACAATCCTTAACTGGAAGCCCAGTTAAAGGCTTGTTTTCTTTTAGCAGCTATGATGTACTTCAGAACTATAGATTAAAAACATAATGCTTCCTGAAGAATTACCTCAGCTCTTCCTTCTCAGTGTCTGTGTAGAATTCTACATGCTTTTGAGACAGGAAATACATTCCCTGGCTCAATGCAAGTCTGTAAACTAAAGAGCCTTTCGGCTGGTTTCTATTGTCTAGACCAGTTAGTGTACTTTATCTTTTAGAAATAAGAAAGGCACTTGCTTATGTTATCAAGCTTTTGAATGCTGCCTACTCAGCAGTGTATCACCAGGGCAACTTCAACCAGACTTGCTTTGTGAGAAAAAAAAGTTGGTTTAAGGATTGGAAGTCCTGGCTTGGAATACTGGCTCTTCCCTTTAGTATCCATGTGACTTTGCGTAACTTCCTTTATCACTCTGAGCCACAGTTTCTTCTATTTGTTATGGATAATATCTGCCCTGTTTGTGAAGGCCGCATGGACTTGGCCATGTTCTTTTCTGACCCTGAACACCTCTAGGCTGCTGAACCCTAGAAATTCTGACTTCTAAATGTCTTTGATCTCTGTCTTGCCCTTATTCTTCCTCTGCCTTGGGTGGGGCCCTTGCCACTTGCCCATGTCTTTGCAGTGACCTCCTGCTTTCCCAGGGTGTTCATGTTGTTCCTTCTTCAAATTCTCCTCCCTATTCCTGCCTGACAGGTTTTTTTCAACTGTGAATTGAATCACGTCTCTCCCCCTGTAACTTCAAGTATGATATTTGTTATCTTCTAATAACAGTAGCTAGTTAGTTCCTGAGTGCTTTCTGCGTGTTCACTGTGGTGGAAAACCCCAGGCATGGGCATCCTGGTGAACCTGACAAGCCAGTTTATGAGATGTAGTTCTTAGTATCCACATTTTACAAATGAGGGATCTGAGGCTCAGAGAGATTAAGCATACACTAACCCAGGCATTCAGATACCAGAGCCGTAACTCTTAACTCCTTCCCTGCTCTGTTGCCCCCCTCAGTGGCCCACAGACCCTACAGTGAGCTGCCCTTGTCCTGATCCCCAGTGCTGTTTCACACCTTCTCATGTAGGCTCCACACCCAGGAGACATAGCTATGCTGGACCCCATATCCTACCTAAGTGCCATACCCAATGGGGAAGATGCTGAGTATTAGGAAACTCTCAGTATTAAATAAATGGATGAAAAATCTTAAAAACATTTTCTGTACTGATGTCAAAATTTAATATGATTGTGATATTTTGGTTAAGTCACAAATACACTCACATTCTTAACTTGAATCACTTGAAGTTTCTTGGCACTATCAACATTTTGAACTAGATAATTCTTTGTGGTGGAAGCTGTCCTGGGCACTATAGGGTGTTTGGCAGCTCTCCTAGCTCCTACCCACTAGAGAGATGCCAATAGCACACCGCAAGTTGTACAAGCCCGAATATCTCCAGACATTATCAAATATCAGTTTTGGAAAGCAAAACCAATTGAGAACATTGGCCTAACTCTCATTGTTCAGTTGTACTGAACTTCTCCACAAGTCCTTTCACTTTTCCAGTACTCAGTTTTCTTACCTTTAAAAATAGGACCTAACACTAAGAATGTATTAAGAAATATTCCTCTACAGCTGAATTCTGAAACACAAAAGGAGCAGCAGAAAACTGATGAAATCTGAATTAAATCTATAGTTTAGTCCATTGCATTGCACCAATGTTAATTTCTTAGTTTCAATAAATGTACCATGGTTTCATGAGCTGTTAACATCAGGGGTGTCTGGTAAAGGTTCTGTAGAAACTCTGAAAGGAAAATGAGTGACATCAATGACCTTCTGGTCTTTCATTTATTTGCCAGGCTCTCTATTCACATGGATGACGAACTACGGCACATCGCACAGAATTCTCTCCAGGGTTTGCTTGTGGACTTCTCCGACTGGAGAGAAGATGTGCTCTTTGGCTTTACCAACTTCCTGCTCCGGGAAGTAAATGACATGCATCACACACTCCTTGACTCCTCCCTGAAGTTGCTGCTGCAGCTGCTCACCCAGTGGAAACTGGTCATACAGACGCAAGGAAGAGGCTACGAACAAGCCAGCAAAATCAGAAACTCAGAGGTGATTTGGCCAGTCTCACCACCTATATCTAATACTATATCTAGTGCTCTACAACTTGAGCCAGGACCCCAACCCCTTTTTACTTTAGTTTCTTTTCTTTTTTTTTTTAATTCATTTATTCATATGTGCATACATTGTTTGGGCCATTTTACCCCTCTACCCCTCACCCCCTCCCTCTCCTCCCCACCCTCCTCGCTTCCAGGCAGAACCTGTTCTGCCCTTGTCTCTCATTTTGTTGAAGAGAATTTACTTTAGTTTCTTTTTCAGATAGGATCTTATACTTTTTGCTTCATACTCAAGATCCTCCTGCCTTTGCCTCCCAATTGGCTGGGATTATAGACCTGAACCATCATGCCTGGCCCTCTTTTGTGTATTACACATGGGAATGAATGGCAACCCAGGGAATCTGCAGTTCTTCTTTCCACCTATCTAGTACTTCTTCTGGTACTGGCTGTTAGTTCTTCCACCAGCATACATTGTGACCAAGAAACTCAGGGCCTGATACACCATGTCAGGTTAGACTTGTTCGCACTGACAAACCCATGTATGGAGTAGAACTTGCTTTTTACAGAGACTTATGATTACAAGTCTATTTGTAAGTGCAAGTGACTGTAGGACAGGGAGCTAGCACTAGTTGTGGATATGAATATGGATTATAGGTACAGATGTGGATATATAACAGTTAGCTGTCCACAATGTTTTTGTTCTAGTCAGCAGCATAGTGGTTATTTTAATCCAGTATCCCCAAATTAAAATGCAGGTTTATGGTTTCTTGTTCCTTTTATGCCTCAATCATGAATGGTAGGAAGTAAGTAGTGGCGGCACTTTGGAGAGCACATTGAGGAGTGCTATCAGAGAGATCCAGGGATCTCAGTGCCAAATGGCAGGCTGGCATTGGCAATCAGCAGGCAGAGACAGGTCTGGCTGGAGAGGAGTGGCACCGAGGGCTTGAGGACTGCAAAGTCTCAGGGCAGCACAGTAATACCCAGGGAACAGTGAGGATCCCGGGTGGCTGACCTCAGAAACATCCCTCCTGCATGCTGCACATGCAAAGGATGAGAGCTAGAAAGACAGGTTATTATGTATGCTTGGAAAAATAAAAGCAAAGGTGGAATCCGCCATCTCCCGTAGTTGCTTTTGATTTCAGTTTACTTGGTTGCAATTTAGTAGCTTTCAGAACCCCTCATGTAAAAGTAAAAAACTTAAATTAGAGTGCAACGGACAAACAGGTAAGCAGGTCAGAATACAAGGTATAATGTTGGAAAATTCAAACTAATGATATCTTTTCTTTCTTTCTTTTTTTTTTTTTTTTTTGAGACAGAGTCTTGCCACATAGCCAGGCTGTCCTCAGACTCAAGATCCTCCTGTCCTTGCCTGATGAGTGCTGGAATTATAGGCATGTGGCACCATGCCTAGACTATTTAATATTATCTTAAAGTCTGCAGAAAATTTAAGTGAAAACAAACTAGGCCTCTTTGATTGTCTATGTAGTATCACCCCAAATTGTATGGCTAGAAGCAGTTTTGTTTTACCACTATTAACAGCCTTTGAAGAGTTCTTCTCATCAGATTTCACAGATGGTTGATGTTATTCCAAAACAACAAATGATCTGAGAAACAAAAGGATCTAGGATATTTCATGAATAATAATCAGTGCAGACATTTCTCTTACAATTTATTTCAATATCACAAGATCAAATGCACTGAAAGATGTACATTTTTATTTCCATTGTCATTTTGATGAATACAGAATGTTGTTCTTATTGCATGGCAGCTGATTCCAAATGGCTCCAGCCACAGAATGCAGTCGGAACGAGGCCCTCACTGCAGTGTCCTCCATGCTGTAGAAGGGTTTGCTCTGGTTTTACTCTGCAGCTTCCAGGTGGCCACACGCAAACTGTCTGTGTTGATACTCAAGGAAATTCGAGCTCTGTTCATTGCCCTGGGTCAGCCAGAGGTATGGATTATTCCTATGAATTTTCCCATTCATTTCTTTCAATAGTTTTGGAATCTGAATTTTAAATTATAAACACTGTGTTATTATCTTGTGTACTTTTGTGTTACACATGGTGTCAGCACATAGCTGTTGGTGCATTCTTGGGTTTTGATTAAGTAATGGCGTTCCTGATCTACTAGAGGTACGTCATGTATTCTGAGAGCAGTAGACCATTCCTACGTCACTAACGGATGGTGCTTTGCTAAGTGAAGAATTTTGATTAATTTAGGTTATGGATCATTTTCTTCATAGTGTTCAGCATATGTCTGTCTAAGAAGGTATTAGTTTTACATTTAAAAATAAATTTGAAAAAATAATACCATTTGAAAAGATTAAAGTACCAGTCTGGCTAACTGGAAGTTGTTTCATCTCAATGATGGTAGAAAAAAATGACCTCGGAGGAAATATGTCAGCTTGAGATGGGAGAAGGAAGCCAGTCATTAAGCATGATCAATTGCTGCTAACCTCTTGTACTTGGTCAAGTGCAGTATAGCCTTGTTCAGACATTATAGCCTGTGGCTGCCAGCATATGTGGTCAAGCCCTGTGCATGAGTTAATGAAAGAAAGACCAGCTTTTCATGTCACCTATATTTTTTATGCCACTTGCCGTTTTGTTGTTTTAGATCACTAATTATCATTTTGTGACCATCAGTATGGTCAGTCTCTTTACAAATCATCTGCAAGCTCATCACAGTCCTTTCTGTTCCCATTTCTTCAGAGATCTCTCTGATCCATTTCAGGACCACATCTCTGTCCTCCGGTAAATGGATACTAAGACATGCTATATTTCTGTGGTCATCCATTAAGCTTCTAATTATAATAACAGTGATAATAATTTCCATGCAGGTGTCTGGCATGGTGCTAAGTGCTTTATACGTGTTATCCATTTAACTCTCACAATAACCTAAGAATTAGTTTTGTTATTATTCCAATATCCAGATGCTGAGGTTGAGGACAGAGGTTAAATGCCTTACCCAAAATGAATAACTAGGCTGTGGCAGAGCCTGAATCCAAAGTCAGATCTGTACATGTCTAAAGCCCCATGTTCTTACAGCTATGCAACCAAACTGTGTCAAGGATGTCTCTCAAAGGTTGTTTTCTTTGACCAGACACAATTTTTTTTAAAGAATTTCCATTCATTTTGAATACTGACCTTGCAAAGCTTTCCTGCAAGACTCTAAGTGAATCATTTTATATTTCAAAGTTTCTTTAAAATAAGAGATGATATGAATATTCATATACGTGAGTATGTGTGTATATTTTTTTCCTTTTTTGTTTTAAAAGTACTGAAAGACCTCGTTATTTTTCAGACAAGGTCTCTATGTAACCCAGGATGGACTTAAACTTCAAATGCTCCTTCCTCAGCCTCCCAAGTGCTGGGATTGCATCACCACATCCAGCGTATACGTATTTTTCATGTAGAATTTTCAGTAAGATACTCTCTATCACTGCCCTTTCCAGTTTGCTGTTTATAATCAAAAAGCTGAAAAATATATGGTTATTGCAAAGAATGCATGGTCAGTCCCCCTAGTCAACATTAATCAGTTATCTTATCTGACCAGTGACTTGAAATAAGCAGCATTTGAGTAGTCTGACAAAGAACATTCTTGAAGGGTTTCCACTCCTTTAGATTAATGACAACACAAAGACGTCTGTGACTATGATTCTGGTGTTTAGATTCTTGTGTGCATGCCAGTCTGAAATTCAGGCGTGTGTGTTTTCAGAACAGTGTGAAATTGGAGCTCTAATTATCTTCCACTGAAATTTGAAAGGCTACGCTCAGAACCACAGGGTCTTTTATTCACTGTGTTTCACCATCTTGGCACTCACATCTCTATGAGAAAACCCTTATCACTGACTGGCAAGCAGTTTTCCATGTACTAGATGGGGGCGGTAGGGTGGATGGGAAAGATTCATTTTCCCATGGAGAATAATCATCTCCCCTTTCTACAGGATGATGACAGGCCGATGATTGATGTTATGGATCAGCTAAGTTCTTCCATTCTTGAAAGTTTCATTCATGTAGCAGTTTCAGATTCAGTAAGTACACATTTTATCCTGATTGCTAACAGTTCTTAACATATGAAGTCTGGATCTGTCTAAAAAAGAGGGTCAAAGAAAAGCTATGTGTACAAATTTGAGGGTTTCATGTCAGACTAATAAACTGATGCAAAAGTACTTAAGGAAAATAGACTGGCTTTTCAAATGATGGCTTAGGAGAAATTTGGATGACTTTCAAACAAAATTTTAGCCTTAGATATACAGATAATATTTTGTAAGTTTCAATTTCAAGAATTGTTCAGAATTCTTAAGGAAAATTAATTTGCCTTTGTCATTATATTTAACACTTAAAATGTACTTTGTACTTAAAATTTCATATTACAATGTTAATTCTTAATATGTAACTTCTATGTATGCATTACTTCATCGTTTACAAGATGCTTTCTACCTCATTTGACCTTCACAGTTACTGAAACTCAGAAACTTTTAAGTGGGGATTGCTCAGTGGTAGAATATTTGCTTAGCGTGCACAGACCTTGAGTTCCCTCTGCAGTACTGTTCACAGTCATACACAAGGGGAGAGCTAGCACAGACTTGCCACTGTTTGGACTCGGGGTCTAGCAGAGCATTATCTGCTACTCAGATACATTCTTCCTTTTAAAAAAGCATATTGGCAACTTTCAACTTCCTGAGCAAGTAAGTTGAAACTGATTTTAGCTATCTGACTTTAAAATGAAATCACAGTAAATGAACTTGGATTCATTTCAGCCAACCAACTGGAGAGAAGCAGTGCACTCTAGGATGACTGGCAGAATCACATTGCTGGTGCCTGATGCAGATACTAGTCAAATATAGAAATGAATACAAAACCTGAAGACATCTGTGAGCGCTCCGTGCCCTTTTCTAACAGAGATTGAATGCAGATTGAACATAGGCCCTGTTTTTTCAGCGCTGGGGATCAAACCCAAGGTCTTGCACATACTACTAAGATACATACCCAGCCCTAGTATCCCTGTTCTTGCTTATGGTCATAATAACAATGATAATTACTAAACCTATTAGCAAGGCTCTACAGACTTTAGCAGTGTTAGTGAAGAAGTCCTATTCATGTCTTTTAAAAGTTCAGTTATTTTAACATGGAATGGAGTAGTCAACTGTTACTTGTTTTACATGCATATCTTACTTTCCTATAGGTAATATTATATTGTTGATGTCATTTCGTTCTCTGTTTACCAGAATTAGAATTCTAAACCTGGGTCACTAGGTCAACAATACTGACGAATTGGGGAACAGTGCTAGCTTTGATCAGGTGCTTCTATATCCATTCTCTCATGCAATTCACTGAACGATTGGGTGAAAGCAATATTATAATTCCGAAGTTGTAAATGAAGTAGGCAGAGAGTCTGAGATGGTCAGTGATTTTCCCAGATCACAGGCTTTGGGCAGAGCCTATGTTGGAATCTCATCTTCAGGCTCTGAAGTACCAACTCTGCCCCTTCCAGCCCATGACTCTTCAAGGCAAGTTCTGTAGCATGGTACCCTTGGGAGCTCATAGACCCAACAGATAAAATGTATCAGTCTAAATGCCTAACAAACATCAATGCAATTTTCCATCTTGCCCCAATAGATAGATCAGTTGAAAATTGGTGTCCCCTAAACATTGATATTTAGACTTAAAAGAGAAAGAAATTAAATCAATAAATTGAAATATAAGAATTTACCAGCATACATACATATATATATACACATATATATGTATATATATTTATCTTTCAAGCAGGATTTAAATGTATCATCTTGGCTTGATATCATAGGGCAAGAATAAGCAAATATCTCAAAAAGCATCAGCAAAATGACTTTCATAAAAAAGAATATGCTTAGCCATTTCTCTAAAATCAAAGGAAAGATATTTCCGTCTAAGTGAAGGTTAAAAAAACAGCTTTTATAGTGTGTATACACACACACAAATTGCAGAGATAAAAGTACATTTTTGAATCTTGGAGATGAATACTTCAGCATGTTAAAATGGTAAATCTATGGACGAGTTTAAATGGACTAATTTAATGTGTTGCTCAACAAATATTTAGTGAACAGCTTCTGTATACTGATGCATAGCTCTGTGTGACATCAAAAAGCTATTGAAAAATAACCTTGATCCTTGAACTTTGCGCTTAATCTGCTTCTTGGCTGGCACAGGAAACACAGATGACTGTACCAGTGTCATATGTACAGTCGGTGTAGGATAAGTGTTTCAGATCCAAAGCTGTCCCTTTGCATGGGTGAGTGGGAAAGGCACTGTGGAAGAAGCAGAGTCAGTCTGAGCCTGGTAAGAATGAATCATGTCTTTTAAGATTTGATCCTCTGCCTACTTCTGTGCTGCAGGCAACGTTACCACTGACCCATAACGTGGATCTTCAGTGGCTGGTGGAATGGAGCGCAGTCCTGGTCAATAGCCATTATGATGTGAAGAGCCCTTCCCATGTCTGGATCTTCGCACAGTCTGTCAAAGACCCCTGGGTCCTCTGCCTCTTCAGCTTCCTCCGGCAGGAGAACCTTCCCAAACACTGCCCCACGGCCCTCAGCTATGCCTGGCCTTATGCCTTCACTCGGCTCCAGTCAGTGATGCCTTTGGTGGACCCAAAGTAAGGCACCCATGTGTTTTCCTCTGTCTTGCTTGCTTTACTTTTGCTGTCTTAAATTTTCATTTTATATAATAGGTTGGATTATAGGCCTCTAATTTCTGAATTTCCTGCTACAGAATTCTTAACATTGAGTAAAAGCACATAAAAGTTTTTGTCTAGAGCAAGTATTTTTTCCCTTAACAATCAATATGACTGTCTGAGTATAGAATCTCAGGTTCTTAATGATGAAAGGGACTGTAAAATTCTTCTGTTTGCCTCCTCATCCATTGCACATATTCCTCAGACTACATCCTTGATGGACAGCCACCTTGACTCTTTGAGTACCTCCTTTGGTCTTTATTTAACAAGTAATATTTACTCTTGCTTTTCATTCTGTATTTCTAGCAGCCCAATTAATGCCAAGAAAACCAGCACTGCAGGCAGCGGAGACAACTATGTTACCTTGTGGAGAAATTACCTTATTCTCTGTTTTGGAGTTGCAAAACCCAGTATTATGAGCCCAGGACACTTAAGAGCTTCCACTCCAGAAATAATGGCGACCACACCTGATGGTACAGTGAGCTACGATAACAAGGTGACATGACATGCTTCAGAAGAATTATTCTGTAAGGTTTTTTTTTAGCTTGTTTGTCTACAGTTCCCAGTGCAAATTGCACTATGCCTGCCATCTGGAGTATTACGGGATCAGATTTTCATACTACACATTTCTAAATTCCATTGAGCATTTATGTGAATTATTTGTTACTCCTCCCTGGCAAGTGGAGAACAGAAGATATAGAGAAGTTGAGAAACTTACATAAGACCATAGCTTGCCTGGCGCCAGCGGCTCACACCTGTAATCCTAGCTACTCAGGGGGCAGAGATCAAGAAGATCATGGTTCAAAGCCAGCCCCAGGCAAATAGTTCTCAAGACCCTATTGATAAAAACCCATTACAAAAAGGGCTGGCAAAGCGACTTAAGTGATAAGCGTGCCTGGCTAGCAAGTGTGAAGCCCTGAGTTCAAACTCTGGTGCTGCCAAAAAAAAAAGACCATACCTTGATTTGTTTTTATTAGTGTCCTGAGTACTACATTTCTCTCACACCTCATGAAGTATTTACCTTTGAACCATGCCTTGATTAAATTATTTTGTTAAAGATAGTTTTATAGATTTAAATGCTTTAAAAAAAAAGGAACTGCAGTGGCCCAAATAATGTATACACATGTAAGTAAATGTAAAAACAATAAAATAAATTTTTTAAAGGATATGTTATATATGTTTTTTTCTTTAGAATTTGTGTCCCAGATGTGAAATCCCTTCATTGTTCTGTATTAATTTATGCATTTTTTTCTCCTTGTCCCAAAATGATGGCAGTGCCTTGGGATATGGCTCAGTCCTTTGAAACTGTTATAATGGAATCATCATGTGACTAAAAGAGCCATCAGTTACCATGATACCTCCTTTTCATTTCTAATCAACTTGTTCCAGGCCATCGGCACCCCATCGGTGGGCGTTCTGTTAAAGCAGTTGGTGCCTTTGATGAGACTAGAGAGCATTGAGATCACAGAATCCTTAGTTTTAGGATTTGGAAGAACAAATTCCCTCGTTTTCAGGTACAGTAGTCCTACTGAGTTCTAAAGTATACACACCGCTGCTGTTGTAGTTGTCTTTCTGAGCGTGAACCTAAGTATGTGTGTCAGCTGTGCCTGGAGAGCTGATGGGCTGCATGCAGTTTCCTTTATGTCTTCTTCAGTTGAGGTACACATAACAAGCGTTGCTTGTAACTGCCTCACATTTCACATTTAGCTATTGCAACTTTGATTATATCATGCAGATTTTATTTCACTTGCTAACTTTGTCATAGATAACTATAAATGAAGATAATACCCTATCATTCCCCAGTTAGTCATACTATTCAGAGATCATAACATCAAAATAAGAACAATGTGTGACCATCAGCCATTCACGAATTCACTCTGAAAAGTGATGCGTGGATAGAACCTTTCTGGGTGTGTTCAGCTAGGAGAGTTATCTTTCTATAAGGTACTTTCTCTGCTTCAATGGAAACAGCATAACTGGCTTTCTGGCTTCCTTTATTTTGTATCTGCAAAATAAGAATTCAAATAAGAATTCTATCTGATACAACATCAAAACCTTATAAAAGAGGCACCATAAAATGTTAGTTCAAGCTGTTTCTTTTTCTAAGCAAGAAAAGTCTATAGGTATAAAACAAATATTAAACGGGAATTGCCATGCAGATAGAAAAGGGAAAGCTGAGAACATTGGTGAAAAACTCTCTATGAAAAAAATAAAGATGATTGGGGCTGGTTGGAGTAACTCAAATTACCTGCCTAGCAAGTATGAAGCCCTGATCAAATCCCACAACCACCAATAAATAAATAAATAAATAAAGATTAATGAGATATTTTAGAAACAACTTACTGATTGGAGTCAGATTTTTACTCTTAGAAAAGGATAAGAATTATAGGTTCTGCTTACTTGAATGCCAGTTAACCAGCATTTTACCAGTTATTGGTAAATTACTTAAGACTAAGCATTATATATATATATATATATAACACCCTAAAAGAAGGTAACAATAACAATTCCTTTCCCAAAGAATGTAAAGTCCTTTTACATATCTGACCATCTCAGCATTTCTACAGGTAGGTAACAATCAGCTGACCAGCCACATGACTCTGGAAAATATATCTAAGGCCTCAGTTTCCTTAACTCTAAAATTGGAATCACAAGTGTATTTCTCTAATAAAAATTCTGGCATAATACGTGTGAATATGCACATAGGAAATATTTGGCAAATGGTAGCTGTTAGGTAGAGGAGACTGTTGATACTCCATTTCTTTGATAAGGAAATTCTGGCATCTATATTGGAGAAATCAGGATTTGAATTCATTTCCTGTCTCTCGGTACAGAATGCCCTGGACAGAACTTCCTGTCCTTGGATTTTACTGAAGGGTAATGTCTAGTAGTACAGATATCCTACCAGAAAGTATAGTTTTCAAACATGATACTGCACACGAAAAAAATTTTCAATGAGAACCTTGCTATTTTAGTATTTGCCATAATTTGTATTTATTACATAGCTCTGAAATTGAGAGATTTCTTTTTTTTCCATCATATTTTTTAAAGGATATAGAGAGCTGTTAATTTTTTGCCATTACTAGGGTTTGAGCTAAGGTCTTCAAGCTTGCTAGGCAGGCCCTCTCCTGTTTGAGCTGTGCCTCCAGCATGAAAGATTTCATTTTTAAAATCATCTGTAAATCAGCCTGCTGAACATGGGTCCCAAAGGTGACTCCATTGTAGTTATATCTGTCTCATTTCTTGCAAATGGGCTGGAAATCTCTTGCGTGCAGACTCAAATTGTATTTATTTTCAGTTTCATAGCTTGTAGGGAAGTGCTCTGAATTTAGTAAGCACTTGGGAAATACTGTTTAATTGTTATAATGAGGGTGTTTGTTTGTTCATTTGTTTGCCACAGAGATCTCAATCAAGTAGGCAAGTATTTTTTGAGCCCAAAGTATGTGCATAGTACTGGTGTTAAGACCTATGATACAAAACATAGGCCAAGATCTGTTTGCAGTTCACCCCGTAGTGGGGAAATGGAACAGCCAGAGTTTCAATATCAGATGCAAAGTGGAAAATGCACGTTAGGCTTGAGTGGGTACATTTGGTGATAAGCTTTGTGTTAAAGACAATAAATTTCAAATGTTATCTTTTTCCTCCATAGAGAATTGGTAGAAGAACTTCATCCCTTAATGAAAGAAGCTCTAGAAAGAAGACCAGAGGTAAGATTCTGAACTTAAATAATTAAGGCTTGGCTTACCTGGACAATAGTGTGAATTTAAATCAAAATCTATAGTTCTCCCTAAAAGAATACAAACACCCCAACATGTCTTTAACAATGACTCATGATATTTTAACTTCTGGAATTTTCATTACTTTTCACTGTTTAAGTGCTTAGTATAATATGGTTACTATTTTAATAGATTGTATTTTTTAAATGTACAAATACAAAACCACTTACATAGCCATATATATTTTACTACATTGTTTTTGAAAAAGATTTGAGTTAAAATTTAGTTTGATTTTTTTTAGTTTGGGTGTTTGTTACTAGGAGCCAATGGCCGAGAACAGTATTTGTCTCGTTTAGTATATGATAATATTTCTCAACATTAATTCCCCTGTAGTTAATCCATTTCAGAATTCTCTTATAATCTACCAAGATTTTTTAAATAAGTAATAAGGCTGAAAAAGAAACTTCCTAAGTGGTAGATAGGATACAAGATGTAGCAAGATTTAGTGGTTTAAATAACAAGCAGTGTTACCTCTATGACCAGATGTAGTGGAGATTCTCAGCATCCCCTGACCCCTTCTGCTCATTTCAGATGCTCGACCCTTCCACAGTCATGGGGAGTCCTAGGGTAATGGGGCTTGTTACCTGTTAACATTGGTGTCTTATGGCCTATAATAGCATTATCTTCAAGAATTAGGAGGAAAGGAAGATGTGTGTCTTTTATGTGTAGAAAATTGAAAATACTAGATTATGACCTTCTTTCATACACTCTCCTAAAACAAAGTTCATATTTCTGTGGCCATCAGTGGTGTTATGTCTTTCTACACAGAACAAGAAGCGCCGAGAACGGCGAGACTTGTTACGGCTACAACTACTTAGGATTTTTGAACTTCTGGCTGATGCTGGAGTGATAAGTGACAGGTGGGATCAGAATTCTGCTCATTTGATCTCTCTTCACCACAGAGGTCTTTTTGTCTCTTTTTCCATCTCTCTGTCTTCCTTTGAAAACATTTTATAAGCTTGCTTTTTCTTTTTTCATATTCTACTTATATCGCCCAGAAGGACCACATTTACTATACGAATTCTGACAGTGAATTCTGTTTTTTATTGATGCATGTACTATTTTCATGTAAAGATTAATTGTCTAAAAGGTTAATTTTCCTTTGTTCTAGCACAAATGGAGCCCTAGAACGGGATACCTTAGCTCTTGGAGCTTTGTTCTTGGAATACGTGGACTTGACCCGAATGCTCTTGGAAGCTGAAAATGACAAGGAAGTTGAAATTCTTAAAGATATTCGGGCACATTTTAGTGCCATGGTCGCCAACTTGATTCAGTGTGTTCCAGGTGCAGGGATACATCATTTCAGATTGCCTTTTGGGCTTGGGAAACCCTTCATGTTCCCCTTGAGTTCTAGTAGCCTACATGCAAGTCTGGGATGGAATCATTTATTCTGAGATACTTAGAAATACATATGAAAACAGGCCACCCTAACTCAGCAGAGTCACCAAGGGAACAGTAGGATTAAATTTGGTTTTTTGCTATCTTTGTTTTGGTTCTTATCTGAAAATGAACTTCCTGGAATGGAAGTAATTCAGAGGAAACATTCACATAAGGTTCTTTTTTTTTTTCCAAATTACCTCTGTGCTAATCTGTGAACACGTAATTTCAGCGATAGTCCTGCTCTCTGACTCCTCATAATCAAAAACTGAATTTTATGTAGCTTAATATATTTTACAGTTGGTTAATTATTAGATTTTTGAGAATTATCTGTCACAGGCCCTATGAGTATGAACTGTTTTCATTCTGATAGAAGCATAGGAAACAAAATAGCCAGTCAGTTTGGTATAAAAATTACTCTAAAAGTTTTTGGTATAACTACAAAATGCTACATCTCAACTGTTTCTACTTTTTGTTATTTTCATGTTATTAACTTTCTTACCATTATCCTCATCTTTGATGACCCTAAATTAAGATTTGAGTTGCCTTCTTCAGCTAAAGTACAATGAAGGCAATCTACCCTGTACTCCACAGTTCTTCCTGCTAACAGGCAGCAGCAGTCAGGAACACTCATTAACTGGGAAATTGTCATTTTCTTAGGGATTGATTAGAAAAGTGTGTCGGTAGGTCCCCTTGTCTCTTTCTACTTCCTACTCTGAGTCCATATCTGCAACATGAAGAGAGGAAGGAGACACACATAGGAAGGAAAATCATGTTGAAATGTGTTTACAAGTCAGGTCTCACTACCTAAATAAAGAAGGGCCAGGCATGGTGGTAGAAACCTGTAATACAACACTCTGGAAGCTGAGGTAGAAGGATTACAAGTTCAAAGCCCACTTGGGCTACATTGTGAGTCCCTGTCTCAAAAAAGACAAAAAAAAAAAAACATAGAAGAAGGAAGGAGAGAGAGAGAAAGAAGGAAGGAAGGAAGGAAAGGGACTTAGGGACCTAGGGATGCAGCTCCTTTGTAAAGTGTGCTTAACCTGCACTAAACCCTGGATTTGATCCATGGCATCAACAAAAAAAAAAAAAAAGAAAAGAAAACTAGAGTTAGGAAGTGCAATTTTCCTTTCCTCAGAACTTGTGACTTGTACATAATAGTGATATTCTGTGTACCCGTGTTCAGTCTAGTAGACCCTATCTCTGTTCTCCTAGTTCACCACCGAAGGTTCCTCTTCCCTCAGCAAAGCCTGAGGCACCACCTCTTCATCCTGTTTAGCCAGTGGGCAGGACCCTTCAGCATCATGTTCACGCCTCTGGATCGTTACAGTGACAGAAATCATCAGATTACCAGATACCAGTACTGTGCACTAAAGGTAGGTGATGTTTTCCTCAGTAGCTTCTCCTTCATCAGCCTAACCACCATGCCTTAAAAATAAGGTTAAAATAAGTAATAGGGTACCATATAAGAACAGATGAAAAAAATCAAATGGACACTCACGTATAAATACATAAATTAAAATTCCAAACTCTTAAACATAGATGGATAGATGTGGCTAACTTTGGAAATATCATACTTGGATCACAATTGCAAAATGCAAAACTTTTTCAAGTTCCCACTTTCGTCCAGTCTTTCTCTTACCTGACAATCATAGGGTTTTCTTTCTTAACCCTCAAGTAGCCACATTGCCAATTTACTTCCTGTCTAAAAAATAAAAATACAAATGGATGTCACCTTAAGTTCAAAATCAACCAAGAGCCACTTCCCTTTTTAGTCTCCTCCTATCCTAGAAAAGTGCTGGAAGTGAATTTCCACACTCTGAAATCTGTAGCAGCAAGGTCTTATAGCCCACTGTCCTTTAGACAAGTGACCAAGTGCTCTCATATGCTCTGTGGACCTTTGGCTTGAAAGGGTCAATTTAAAAGATGTTCATCTTGATTGTCAACTTGATTGGATTGAGAAGAGACTAATAAATTAATAAAGTACACCTCCTGTGTGTCTGTGAGGACATTTCACAGAGGATTAACTAAGATGTTGAGGAAAGCTGGAAGACCTGCCCTGAATGTGGGCTACACCAACCCCAACCCCTAGCACAGGCATATTCTCATTCATTTTCTCTCTGTCTCTCTCTCTCTCTGTCTCTCTCTTTCTTTCTCTCTCTCTCTCTCTCTTTCTCCCTGCCCCCCACCTTTCCCTCCCTCCCTCCCTTCTTCCCTCTCTCTCTCCCTCTCTCCCTCTCTCCCTCCTTCCTGGCCACCAGGATGCGAGCTGCTCTGCCACCCCCTCCCTGCCATGATGGACTGAAATGTCTAGAACCATGAGCTAAAATAAATTCTTCCTCTCTTAAGTTGTTTATGTTAGGTATTTCATCACAGCAACACAAAAGTAATTAACACAGCCCCTGATGGTCAGTTGAACCTGCCAAGTTCAACTTCTCTCCATCCCTTCCCACCTTAAAGGAAGTAAAGTTTATTTTCTTCATTTTCTTTGCCTTTGATCAAAAATCATAATTATTTCTACACATTTCCATTTAAGTCAGTATATTAATTAGCTAATGTACTTGTCATAAAAGCAAAATTTAAACAGCTGAATTTATCTTATAAGCTGAATTCATTCATTTGAAAGCATTGAGAGGATCCTTATTTGAAATGTTATAAATTAGTCATTTTTCTTTAAATACTCTTTTATCACAAATATTTGTTATAACCATAAAAGTACATATCCACAAAGCTAATTTTCTTAGCGTTTATAAACACAAACACTTTTGTAATACATTTTTGAATTGAATCTATCAAGCAATGCTTTAAAATCTTGGAGGAATAACTTTTTTAAAACAGCCACCATCTCAAGGGCAAACACAACAAGGGGATTGGACTATGAGCATATGATAAAAGTGAGAGCACACAAGGAAGGGGTGAGGATAGGTAAGACGCCTAAAAAACTAGCTAGCATTTGTTGCCCTTAACGCAGAGAAACTAAAGCAGATACCTTAAAGCAACTGAGGCCAGTAGGAAAAGGGGACCAGGAACTAGAGAAAAGGTTGGATCAAAAAGAATTAACCTAGAAGGTAACACCCACGCACAGGAAATCAATGTGAGTCAGTGCCCTGTATAGCTATCCTTATCTCAACCAGCAAAAACCCTTGTTCCTTCCTATTATTGCTCATACTCTCTCTACAACAAAATTAGAAATAAGGGCAAAATAGTTTCTGCTGGGTATTGAGGGGTGGGGGGGAGAGGGAGGGGGCGGAGTGGGTGGTAAGGGAGTGGGTGGGGGCAGGGAGGAGAAATGAACCAAGCCTTGTATGCACATATGAATAATAAAAGAAAAAGGAAAACGAAAAAAGAAAAAAAGAAAAATGTAAATTAAAACTGTAAAAAAAATAAAATAAACCCCATACCAAAAAAAAAAAAAAAAAACAGCCACCATCACCTATAAATCTAGTACTTCTGTTCTGTAAGTCATTTGGGTACCAAGACATGATATTCCAGATTTTGTCTCCATGTCTCCCTGGTTTTATTTTCAGGCAATGTCAGCAGTATTGTGCTGTGGCCCTGTTTTCGATAACGTGGGCCTTTCTCCAGATGGCTACCTGTATAAGTGGCTTGACAACATTCTGGCTTGTCAAGATTTACGAGTAAGTAAGAGGCAAAATTGTATTGTTTTTACATATCTGAGGCTCTGCCTTAATCGAGTTACTGAACTGTGCAGGCGTTGTTCATACACAGTCTCTTCCACATCAGTACACAGCCCAGATGGACATGTCGTTCACATTACTCTGTGAAGAAACAGGGTCAAAATCACAGTAACTTTTACCAAAATTGATTACGAACTAGGTCATAAACCAAGTCTTACCTTGATTTAGATGATACAGGCTATGTCCTTTATTCCCAGAACATTAAACCAGCAATGAATAATAAAAAGGTAATTTTAAAATATACTTCTAGATAACTGGTGAATCAAGGAGCCATCAACAATGGAAACAGGAATTTTTTAACTGAAGAATAATGAAAATACTGAACACTAAATTTTAGGCTGTAGACAGAGCCTTTCTTAGGATGAAATGGATATAATGAAATGTTTATGTCAGAAAGAAGAAGGCTGATGGTGACCAATGATGCAACACCCATCACAAGATGTCACAAAAGAAAATAGGATATCCAACTCAAAGTACCAGGAAGGAAACACAAACAAGTACAGAAGTTACTGAAAGGGGACAAATTTAATAGTGATGATCACTAAAAACAAAAGTTTTATTTTTTAAGACTAATAAAGTTAAAAAATCCAAGGCAAGTCTGATCTAGAGAGAGAGTAAGAGAAAAGGCACATGGAAAGGCCACATCACTGCAGATACTGCACACATTCAAAAAGACAACATACGAAAATAAAAAAATTCCTAGGAAAACAAAAGGAAGAAAAAACAAAACACAAGAAGAAGAAAATGAAAATCTGAGTGGTCATATAAGTATTAAAGAAATTAGTAAATTGCAAGCTGCCAGGTGTGGTGGTGCATACCTGTAATCCCAGCACTTGGGAAGTGGAGATCAGGAGGATCATGGTTTGAGGCCACATGGGTGAAAAGTTAGCAAGATCCCCATCTCAACAAACAAGCTGGGCATGTGGCACACATTCGTAAACCCAGATACACAGCAAGCAATTGGATTGTGGTCCAAGGCCAACCCTGGGCAAAACTTGAGACCCTATCTAAAAACTAACTAAAGCAAAAAAGGTTGGAAGCATAACTCAGGTGGAAGAAGTACCTGCCTTACAAGGCTCTGAGCTCAAACCTCAGTACCACCAAAAAAATGAAAGGAAGGAAGAAAGAAAATATTAAGATCAGATGATTATGCTGGTGAACTCTACCAAGCATTTAAGGAACAAATTGTACTGATTAAATATAGATGCTCTTGGTGGAATGCAAATTATTATAACCACTATGGAAAGAAGTATGAAGATTCCTCAAAAAGCTAAAGATAGAGCTACCATGAGATCCAGTGATACCACTCCTGGGCATCTACCCAAAAGAACATAAAACAGGATACAACAGAGACACCTGTAAATGTCTCTTTTGGAAGATAGAGCCAGAAGATAAACATATACACAAAAAACAAACACGTCCATACACAAACTCATATATGGAACATGTTTATCAGGGTGGAACTACTCTGGAGCTCGGGGAAAGAGGGAAAGGAAAGCGAATGATAAGGCATCAACAATATCATAAAACATAACATCTGTGAAGGTAGAGGATATTAGGATGTGTATTGAAGCTGCTGAAACCTAGAAGGTAACACCCACGCACAGGAAATCAATGTGAGTCAATGCCCTGTATAGCTATCCTTATCTCAACCAGCAAAACCCCTTGTTCCTTCCTATTATTGCTTATACTCTCTCTACAACAAAATTAGAAATAAGGGCAAAATAGTTTCTGCTGGATATTGAGGGGGTTGGGGGGAGAGGGAGGGGGCGGAGTGGGTGGTAAGGGAGGGGGTGGGGGCAGGGTGGAGAAATGACCCAAGCCTTGTATGCACATATGAATAATAAAAGAAAAAAAAGAAATAAAAAAAAAGAAAAGAAAATGGAGGGTGGGAAGTAAAAGGGTAAGGGAGAGTAATGGAAGAGGTTGAAGGGACCAAAGTAAAGTATATTCACAGCAGGGATACATTCAGAATCCCCTTTGAGCATCAACTTAAATATTAATAACAAAAGTCAGGACTAAAATAGGTACAGTGTGGGGAGGGTACTAATGGGGGTGGATGAGTGAATGAAGGAGATTAAGGTGAGGGTATATGGACTTCATTTACTTATATGAAAGAGAAAAAGAAGCCTCTTGTAATTGCTTTAAGTGGGGTGGGGAGGGAGTTGAGTGGGAGAGGCAATAGGGGTGATCTAACCAATGTACAATATAAGCCTATTTGGAATTGTCAATATGAAGCCCCCCCATATAATGAATATATCCTAATAAAAAATTTTATGATAAATAAATATAAATTCTTAAAATACATCAAAAGGAAAGATATTTCAATAATTTATGAGACCAGCTTTACTTGATATCAAACTGGACAAGGATACAAGAAGAAAGAAAATTAAAAGGCAGTTTCATGCATGAGCATAGATGCAAAATTGCAAACAAAATATTAGGAAATTTCATTCATTGATATATTTAAAAAGTGACACAACATGATCAAGTTGGATTTATTAAAGATCTGCAAAGTTAATGTAATGTGCAGTTTATATATCAATTATATCAAGTATATCCATCATATTAATAGAATCTTTAAAAGTATCATGTGATCATCCCATAGATCAGAAAATGCATTTGATAAAATTCTGCATTTATTCATGAGCAAAAGTCCTAGCAGAACTAAGAATAATATAGAATGCCCCTCACTTGATAAAAAGGTATCTTTTAAAAGAAAATACTTTACATATAAACACCATACTTAATGTTAGTATTGAGTATATTCCCTTTGAGATTAGAATGACCAAGAAAGACCAACATTATACCAGAGATCAAATCCTAACCAGGGCATTATGAATGAAAAGATACAAGGAAGGAAAGAAAAGAAAAGATATATAAAATGCAAAGGTCAAGGAATGAAAAGATACAACAATGTCATATTCACATATGACATGATTGTGTATGTAAAAAATTTAAGAACTATACATAAATTCAGTGAATTTAGCAAGGTTGCTGCATAAATAGGCCAAAATAAAAAATTATATTTAATATAGCAGGAATGAGTAAAGAGAAAATGAATTTGTGATATTGTACCATTTATAATAGTATTTTTTAAACTAGGAATTAACACTAAATACTTAGGAATAAACCTAACAAAAATATATGTGGCCTCTTACATAGAAATATATAAAGCATTAGTGAGGAAATCTAAAAAAAGATATAAAAAAGAAAAAAACATACTATGCTCATAAATGGGAAAATTCCATATACAGATGTCAGTTCTTCACCAGCCTCATTATAGAGATAGTGCAATCCCAGTCAAAATCCTAGCAGTGGATTAGAGGTGTGTTCAATCAGTAGGGGGCCTGGTTTGCAAGCTTGAAGCCCTGAGTTCAAATCCCAGTCCCACCCAAAAAAAAAGCAGTTAAAAAAATCTTAGCAGTGTGTTTGTGTCAAATTGACAAGTCTCTTAAAATATATGGAGAGAAGGGAGGAGGTGTGACTTAGTGGTAGAGGACTTTCATAGTATTCATGAAGCTCTTGTATTGCCAAATGTCCAGTACTGTCAAACACACACACATATGGAGAGAAATGCAAAAGATGAAGAATAGCTAATTTTGAACAATGTAAGAAAAATGAGTGGGCCTGGAGGTATGGCTCAACTGGTCGAGCCACGTAAGCACATGTAAACCATGTAGTAAGCTCAGAGCTCTGAGTTCATCGAGAAAAAAAAAAAAAGGTGAGAGAATTTACTTTAGCAGAAAGCAATACCCATTACAAATTTATGGAAATTAAGACACTGTAGTATTGACCCAAGGACAGATAAATATACCAACGTAGTAAAGTTGTGAGGCCAAGAAAACCATTCACATATGTGAGCACTTGATTTACTTTAAAGGTGGCACTACAGACCTGTGAAAAAGAAAGACACTTGATCCCTTCCTCACACCATAGGCAAAAGTACATCACAGGTGGATTGTAGACCTAAATATAACAGGTAAATTATACTAAAGTTTCTAGAAAATAGTACAAAAGAATATCTTCATTCCTGAGTTTAAGGCAAGATTTCTTCAACAGGCTGCAAAAAATGTATAACCATAATAAAGAATAAATTAATAACTTTTGTTTGCCAAAGGTACCATTAACAGGCTAGCCATAGTGTGAAATACATTGTAATATATTAGCAAAGGATTCTTATCTAAAATATATAAAGGACCCCCTCAAATAAATGACGTACAAACAGACTCATTAGACAGATGAGCAAGAAACTCAAGCAATTCACAATAGAGGTTATTGAAATACCAGTAAACTTTGGAAAAGTTTATCAGGTTCTTTGCAGTCAGGTATCTTAGTTCACTCAGTAAACTGTTACAAAAGCCCACAGACTGAATGGCTTATCAACAACAGAAATTTATTTCACAGGGTTCTGAAGGCTGGGAAGTCCAAGATCAAGATGCTGGCAGATTAGGTGTCTGATAAGGACCCACTTTCTTGTTATAGATGATCATCTTTTTGCTGTGTCCCTACATGCAGAGTGGGCAAGTGAGGTCCCTGAGGTTTCTTTTATAAAGCTATTAATCACATTCATCAGGGCTCCTCATGGCCTAAACACTTCTCAAAGGGCTCTTCTCCGAATACACAAGAAACAAAATTATATACCATTTAATTCCATTTGTATGGAGTTCAAAACCAACCCAAACTAATCATGCAAGTCAGGATAGTGGTTACTTCTGGAGATCTGGGGAGAAAAGGGAGACTAGTAACAAGATAGCTCCGTGGGGAGGTGTCAGTGGAGCTGGTCATGCTGCCCATCCTTCAGTATCCATGGGGAGCATTCCAGAACCCTTGCAGATACCAAAATCTGTAGTTGTCCAAACATCTTATATAACGTGGTACAGTATTTGCATGGAACACACTTCCCACTGTATACTTTAATGTCTGTATTAGTCAGGATACCTAATAAAAGGTAAGTGCTGTATAAATAGTTGTCACACTGTATTACCTAGGGAATAATGACTAGAAAAAAGTCTGTATGTGCTCAGTATAGACACAATTTCCCCAAATATTTTCAATCTCTGGTTGATTGAATCTGAAGATGCAGAAACCACAGATCTGGAGGGCAGATTGTATTCTAGTTTTTAACCTGGTTGTGGTCACACTACCAAATTCAGTTAAGATAATTGCTTATGATCATGAAATGATTAATGTATCCTATTCTATCTTATAAGATTTTTTATTACTAATGCCTCAATTTAAGAAGTTTCCCCTAAAACTGAACTTTTTCTTTCTCTTTCTTTCTTTCTTGACAATAGTGGGGTTTGAATTCAGAGCCTTGCACATGCTAGGCAGGCACTCTACCACTTGGGCCATGCCCCCAGTTCTTTTTGCCTTAGTTATTTTATGAATGGGGTCTCACATTTATGCCTAGGCTAGCTCAGACCACAAGTTTCCTTTATGTTTCCTGTATAGCTGGGATTAAGGGTGCATACTACCACATCCAACTTTTTATTGGTTAAGATGGATTCTCAGGCTGTCTCAAACTGCAGACCTTCAGATCTCTGCCTCCCAAGTAGCTAGGATTACAGGCATGAACTACAGCAACTAGCCTGATTTCTTTTTTATTTATTTTTAAATTGATATATAAAATTGTACAATGTGATGTTTTGAAATATATATACATTGTAGAATGGTTAGGTATAGTTAGTTAACAAAGTCATTACCTCACATAGTTATTATTTGGGAGGAGTGACCATTTAATATCCACCTTAGCATTTTTCAAGAACACACTATATCATCATTAACGATAGTCCTCATTCCGTACAGAGATCAGTTGCACTTACTCTCTCTAAGGACTGTATTTCTTTTTGAAAGATTGGCAGCTAAGCCTCACATGGTATATTTAATTATTAAACATCATAACTGAATTCCCTCTGATGTTTTTTCCTTAAAAGACTTAGTATACATGGAGAATATCCTTTGGTATATTTGATTATTAACCAAATAGTATTAATAATTTTCAGATTTAAAATGCAAAACAAGAAACATTGCCAATAAATCTTTTACCATCTTTCAGAGTGAAAAAATGAGAATGAGCTGCTTCTACATAACAGATTTACATTGAATCAAATTTATACATTTCAGTTGTCGGTTGTAACATTGTACCCTCTTAAAGAAAAATATGTGGTATGAAAATTAATCCAAAACAATGCTCACATTTCACTTTCAATTTATGCAATATATGTTGGCTAAACTTGATGTTATGACTTTTGTCAAGAGCATTCTTTCATTAACTATAAATAATTTATTTACTCCACGTATTCAGGTTCATCAACTCGGTTGTGAAGTTGTTGTCTTGCTGTTGGAACTTAATCCAGACCAAATAAACCTTTTTAATTGGGCCATTGACCGATGCTACACAGGTTCCTACCAACTTGCATCTGGCTGCTTCAAAGCCATTGCGACTGTATGTGGAAGCAGGTATGCATTTTAGTATATAAACTATTCCCTGTAATTTTGCATTGATTTTTCTCATTTGGACAGGAGAGATTTGTTGTCATAATGCCCTTTCTTTGAATTTCTCAGAAAACTTACAATGAAGTATAAGAGCAGAATTTGAAAATGATAAAGACGACACATTAAAGTAATTAAAAGAATGTGCATGAATGTTTGTGACAGGTGTGAACTCTAAGCCCGTCAGCCACCTGTAGACCAAATCAAACCCAGGAAGCAGGCTATACTATTTAAATCTCCTTTGTGCAGAACTTCAGAAAGGAAATGTGGTGCCTTGGGTTCTACAGATTACAGTTTTTGGAAGGGTGCTGAAGGCTGAGCCCAGGACAGCAGGCATGCTAAGCATGCACTCTACCACTGAGCTATATATACCTCCAGCTCCAAGATTATACTTTCTAAACCACTGCCCCATATAAATTAATAGTTTAGTGAAGTTGGTCAGCACTAAGATTTTTTGAGTGAAATAACTTCATAGCTAAGATGAGAGGGTTAATGAAGATCCATCCAATTGCTTAAGCTATTAGAGAATGCAGCTGACTTTGGGAAGGCTTGTGTAGACTATCGATTCTCCTTTTTATTAAATGTTGCATTTTAATAGCTATCTTGAGCTCCTGGTTCAAGGGAATAAAAGTGAATTAGTTTTCAATTCCAACCTCTATGGGTCTAAATTAATATGAACAGTATTTTCAAAGACATCTACTTTCAATAAACCTAAAATGAACATAGTTTAAAAGGACAAGCTTCCCTTTAAATTTTTTATCTTTCTTTTATAATAATAGTAGATACCTTTTCAAGTTTAAAGCTTTCACTATCCTTAGTCTTAGTAGCAGAATTTTTCTTATATCCTTTAATCTCCATAAAAGTTATAGCAGATGACAATAACCTCAACTGTCCAATGTTTCCATCAAGTTTTACTACTCGATACAAGCATTAGTAAAAATTATGTATACCTATTCGACAGTAGCAAAATAATAGTGTTGCAAAAATCTCTTTCTCCAGAGAGTTTTTATTTTAGACATTTCAACATTCTAAAAATAAGGCTTTGTTTTCATGGCCTTTTGATTGTAAAAAATGTAGTTACAACCTATGATTTGGAACCTCTTTCTTTGACACAAAGAAGAATAATAAAATTTTCCTATTTGCTGTGTTTCTCCCAGTGAACTTGATTTGAACTATTTAGTCAAATTTATTTCATTGAATGATTATCTCATAAAATATCACACAACATTCTTCTGACTACATGTAGGTATTTTTCCTTAGGGAAACATAAATGCTTCATGAATCTAGCATTTTGAATTTCGATAATACTTATAGTTACAAGAATATTAGTTCCTAAAACCTCTGTTCCATGTAGACATTTTAAATTATTATCCTAAACTATTTTGGTCTCTAAGACCATTTCTCACCGCAGATCAGGTTCAGAATTTAAAGTTTCAGCTGTTGCCTAAATTTGGTCTTTCTCCTAAGTTCTCAGCCTGTATAGTCTAGACGGGTCTCCAGATAGGCTTAAGCAATCTGCACTTATATTTTTAGAGCTCTTTTTTTTTTTCTAAAGCAATTCTGGTCTTTTCAGTTCTTGCTTTGTTTCTGTAAGAAACAAAGATAAGGTATTTTCCTTATCTTATGAAATATGTTCCTGAAAAGTCATGCCAAACTGAACCACATCTTAAATTTCTCAAGTTATCTCTATAGTAACTCCTACACAAGAATCCTTCTTGTAAAATAAATGTCTCCTCAAGTAGAAGTAATCATGTGCTGGATTTATTTTTAGAGAAAGATGTCAGTTCGTAAGCAGATTAATTTATTAAGGACCATTTATAACTGACTTTAACTAAAAGATTGAATTTTTTAAATGTTCTTGTCGATTTCAGTTTGCTCTCCTGAGTTTTAGAAGACAGGAATAGCCCTTTTGCATAGTTAATATATTAATCCCTGTATTCATTAGATGTGGTAATTGGAAAAAAATGGTTCTCTACATTCTTTTTGATTTCTTTAATAGCAGTAAAGGATTGTGGGTGTGTGTACATGTGTGTGTGTGTCTATGGCAAACTCACTAGTCTCCAGTCAAAACAACATAGCTGGGTTACGCTGTGACTCTGGGTGAATATTTATTAAAAGCTATGAAAGCAACTCAGCACTGTAATTTACCACAAAAGATAATAGCTTACCTGTCAGGCATCCTTAATTCCAATAACTGTTTGCCTTCTGTGCATGTACTTATTAGCCTTACCCTTAACTGGAAATGATACCAGTATGGAACAGATAAGGAAATTTTGAACAAGACTAAAAGGCTGCCCAAGATGATGAATCAATATTAACACTATATTAAAAGTACAGGCCGTCTCTGATCGCTAGCTAAACTCACCAGAGTTCTCTTCACATTTAAACACTTAAGAATTCCATCTTTTATTTTTACCCTCCAACATAATATGAAAATATACTTAACAGATGTTTCTTGAATTATATTTATAATCCAAGTTTTTATTTTTAAAGAATTTTTGGAGTTTCTTTTCAGGGATGGAGTTTTTATTGTATGTTTGTTTTACTCTAACTTTCTATAAGTCTTTCCTAGTTTAAATCAAACAGAAAATTTGAATTCTTAAAAATAAATATAAATCTTCATTTCTTGAGGGAGTAACATCTATAAACAAGGAAGATAAGCAAAATTTATGATTCATGAATCACAGTCTCACTTCCTAAGAGTGACACATGGCTTCATTTGTTTGTCAGCCAGCCAACATATCTCTAGAGAGCACAGAGTTTGGGGGATTGGGCTGTGTATGGAGACTGTCTCAGGTTCAAATCTCCCCTCTCCTCTAATCAGACTGTGTGCTTTTGAGTGAGTACTACAAATGTTTCCTCCTTTGTAACATGGGAATGATGATAGAGTAAGGACTAAACAAAACCAGTCTCTTGATCTAAGACCTTATACGGGGAAGCACCTTATAAACACTGTTATTATTCACTAGTTATTGGAGGAGAAAAGTATGAATGACCCCCCCTTTTTCTGTAAAATCTGTTTCTCTTCAGAATACCTCAAAGTCATCCTGAGCTTGGTTTTTTAGTTCTAGGTAAACTGGGCTGGTGGGCATTTCCCAAATTTTTCAGGATGTCTTGTTTTTAGATAGTTTGATATCTTGTTTCATTTCTGTGTCATATCTATCTCTAATATTTATTTTATTATTTGGTTTTCTTTTTCTGTAGGATCACAGCTGTGTTAACTTTTTTAACCTTCTGCTACCTATGTACAATTCCATTTCTAAGCCTATTCTAAACATCTAGGTGTAGATATTTTATCGGTGCTTAATTGCGCATTTGAAATGTTTCTCACTTTTTCCATATCTAGCTTTCTTTCGCTTTCTCTATCTGTTTTCCTGGCAGTGTTGTTCCACATGAATTCCATAGCTCAGTCGTAAGCAATTCTGCGAATTGTCCTAATTACATGTTCAAGTGCATGGTCCTGCATAAGAGGGAGACTTTGTCTACTCTTTTCCTGCCTCCAAATCCCCAGTGACCTAGTAATATTTTCCAGTGCTTTTTGCATTTTTTTTTTGTAGTACTGGAGGTAATGTCCAGGACTTAAGCTTACTAGGCAGGTGCTCTACCACTTGAACTAGACCCCCAACCCAGTGTGTGTGTGTGTGTGTGTGTGTGCATTAAATCCCAGTGTTGAAGGCAGAGCTTCAGTTAGGGCATCTCTGTTGCTGTAGGACTTGGAGGGAGTTTCCTTTCTATTTTCACAGTCACAAAGGTCTGTCTCTCGATACTGCAGTTTGTAAGGATTCCAAATTAGAGTGGCCTTGTCGTGTGTTATTTGGGCAGTGTGAGAGGCTGAGAGAGCTGTGGACAAGAGCACGAATTCTTTGCAGTTGGACATACCTGGGTGTGTAAGCCCCGCTGGCTCTTCATGAGCTCAGGCAAATACTTCACTTCTTTTGGTCTCTCAGGGCTCTTATGAAGAGCAAATAACAAACATAGATCAAGGCCTTGGCCTAGCACCTGGCACAAAGTAGCCACATCATAGCATAAATAGCACCATTACCTTCCCATCAGCATAAACGTCACCATCATCCCCTCCAACATCAGCATAAATGTCACCATCACCCCCACATACACCACCATCAGCACCACAGTCATCTGCAGGCATTCCACAGTTTCCCAACAGACTGAGTCCATTTAAAAATAATATATTTCTAGAGGCTGGGATAGAACTCAGTGTAGAACATTTGCTTAAAATGTACAAAGCAGAGAGAGAAGAAAGGGAGAGATTGTAGAAAAGTATGAGAATACATAGTCCAAATTGAAAATAGCCTCGCTGTCTGTCAAGGAATATCAGAGGTTAGGCTCCCCAGAAAACAGATTCTGGGATGGAGAATCTATTTTAAGTGCAAGAAGTATATTACAGGTGCACTTGGGTACCTTGTCTTTGAGGAAGTGAAAGAAGTAGGACTTGGAAGTAATGCAAAATTCACCATCGTCCCCCTTGGGGCTGCTGCTGGAACACAGCACATGGCCTTGGCCTAGGCAGATCTCTTTGACTGCAGGTGATTTTCACAGATGGAGCAAGCTTAGAAATGTCAGCTACCAACAAATTAGTTGGAGAATCAATTGCATTAGTCCTGAAAGGAAGGCTAGGTGACACACCACAACACCTATTACCAGAGTGGTTTTTCGTGGTATGTCCACAGCATGGAATACTACATAGCTGTGAAGAAGACTGAAGTAAGCCTCATATTCAGCAAAAAAGCAAGTCATCAAACAACACACACAGGCACCGTGGTTATATTTATAGGGTCTGGGAATATAGCTCTGTGGTAGAATGCTAGGTTCTTATGTGTGAGGCCCTAGGTTCTGTCTCCAGTACTGAAAAATTAATATTTAGCATCCTGTGTGTTGGAGGAAGGGTATTTAGAGGAACATATTTGTACATATTCTTAAGAAAGAGGCAAAGATGTCAGTAGTGGTTGTCTTTGAGATTGGAGCAACAGATGGGGGAGAGAAGTCTTCTCCCTTCTGTTCATCTACCTACAAACAGCACCCACTTGCCAGCCCTAAGTAGAGGGCTGAATCCCTCACCTGAATCTTTTAAAGAAAAATGTATTTTTCTCTACTATCATTAGTATCAGGACAAATTAATATTTAGATAATACAAAAAAGTGGAGAATCTTTCTCATAACCAGTTCTCACTATTGTCTGTAGCTGAAGTTATGGTAAGATGGAATGCCTTCGTACTAGGATTATGCCTAAGAGCTGATTTTTTTAAATGGAACGTCTTAGACAATGTTATTATATAGAATCAAAAAAGGAACACCCAGGGGAAGTGGAATAGTCTTTTACCTCTGGGCTATTTTCTCCCTTCTGAAGGTTGCCTAAAAATAAATATGAGTCACCTCTTTCCACTTACAGACCATTCACTCCATTGTTCATCTACCAGGGGTTTTCTATTTATGACTTCCTTTCAGCTATACGCATATAGAGAAACTATGTCATCTTTAAATAATGCTGCATAACAAGAAGATGGATCCAATTTCCATATTCCATTTGATTATCCTCATAATCTATTCTCTGTCATTTTATCCCCCTAGCTCCATCCCACGCATACAGTCATGAATCCTGCTGATGTTATCTGTTTTTCAAAGGTGACCTCTTCTGTCTGTGCCATCCCTGCTGTGATTCCAGTTCCCATCCAGATTCTTATAACAGCTTCCCCTCTTGGCACCCTACAATCTCTCTTCCTCACAGCAGCTAGAATGATTCTTCAAAAACAAGCATCCCTCCCTACTGCAGATCCTGTCATGGTTCTCTGAAACTTTTCAGATGAAGTTCTTTGATGGGTCATTTCTGAACACACCAACTGCTCCTCCTAGACCTCTACTTAGTTCCTTCATTCAGTCTGCTACACACAGATTCTTTCCTTTTATGGAAGATGTCTTGCTGCTTCATTCTTAGAGTACTTCAAAATGCTTCTCTCTCTGCCTGCTCTACCCCTGTAGAGCTGGCAGCTGTAGCCTGTGCCTCCAGACTCAGTTTCCTTGTTTCCTCCTCACTATAGCCTCCCTAGCCCCACAGTCAATGTAGACAGTCATCAGTATTCTTGAAGCCTGCATGGACACTTCCATTATCGCATGCATTAGAACCACACTGTACAGCTTGTCACCCTAACTAAGCTGGAAGCCAGCTTAACAAACCTCATATCATCCGTACTTCGCACGTTGTTCCATACTTAATGAAGTTAGATGGATCAAATGAAAATATTAATTCCTTGAACTATGGAGAAATTTAGTATACATGTCATTTTCTGTTGTCTTCATTTGTGTTTGGTTTTCATTAAAATCTATCTGCAGCAGATAGATTATTGTATTCTTTTTTCCTGGTGTGACAATATTCCATTTTAAACAACAAAAAAATAGACTTGTTTTCCTTCATCTACTAGTAAAGAGGAAAAAAGGAGGCTGAGAACTAGCTGAAAGAGCATAGAAATGTCATTAGGACAGGATCAGTGTGCCATCCAGAATTTGAAAAGGTAATAATCTGTCAAAATTACTATCTTATGAAATACGGTTTTTCTTGTTTTTGTTTTGTTTTTTTAGAAATTATCCCTTCGACATAGTGACGTTGTTAAACCTTGTTCTATTCAAGGCCTCTGACACCAACAGAGAGGTTTATGAAATCTCCATGCAGCTCATGCAGGCACGTATCATTCACTGGCGTGGGACTTCTCCTTCCTTGAGCTGGGAATGCATTTATTAGTTGCTGCATATCGTGGTGGATATGCAGAACAAGAAAACACATGTGTAATGTTCTTAGTGGTACATAAAGCATAGTGGTTGGCTACTGCTTCACCTGTAATTCTGTATTAAAATAAGCATGAGTTGGTTCTGTTACTCCTGACACCCAGCTAACCTTTTTCATACTGTTTCTTACTTTCCTACTTCTGTACAGATCCTTGAAGCAAAGCTTTTTGTATACTCAAAGAAAGTGGCTGAGCAAAGACCTGGCAGTATTCTATATGGAACACATGGCCCGTTGCCACCCCTCTACAGTGTGTCCCTAGCCCTCTTGTCTTATGAACTGGCCAGGATGTACCCCGAGCTCACACTCCCTCTCTTCTCAGGTACCATACTATAGTCAACAGTGACGTGTGTGATCATTTATTCTGCTCTAAGTAATTTTCTTTTTTAAATTCTAGCGTCATTTTAGAATCGAAGGTATCGATGCTAAATTTGTGATTACAACTTCAGTGGGCTAAATCCAGTTATATCCGAAAGTAAATTCCAGACTATATCTAAATGTGAAAAAAGATGTGATTATAACTACAGCTATAAACATACACGTGGCATGAAAAGACTCTTAGATCAATAGAAATACTTCTACATTCATTACATATGTGAATTTCCCAAAGGAATTAAATATGGGCAGTATGACTTAGACTCCTCTAATGGCTTATATAATTACCATGAGTTGTTTGTTGGTGGTGGCATTTTGTGGCTTTTGTCCAGCTACACATGGAAGTTGTTGAGAGTCTGATTTTTGGCACAGCTTTCCAAGCAGTGTTCATGAATAACTTGTGAGAATCCATTCTCAAAGAATTGCATTTATCAGTTAAATTCTTGACTGAGCTCATAGGCACCTGGCTGAAAGGCAGACTGTGGTGCCTGAATTTATCCTTGGTCCTCAGCATTCTCTGTACCCCAACCCAATCCCTCCTCCACACTGCAATTCATCCACTATGCAAATGAAAGTGTGTTTCAGCTCACACTTCTCTGTCCAATTGTCCTAAAATACTTTTTGATAATAATAGCTTCCATTTATTGAGTTTATTAACATGTTAGGCACCTATATGCATTGCATTTATCACTCCATCTTTATAACCCCAGTATAGTGGGGGGGTTTCTTTGTTTGTTTGTTTGTTTGTTTGTTTGTTTTGGTGGTACTGGGACTTGAACTTGCACTTGCTAGGCAGGCACAATACCACTTGAGCCACACCTCCTGTCCTTTGTTCCCAGTGTAATTTAGTGGTTAGACAGAAGCCCTGGAGTTAGCCTGGCCCTGCATGTCAGTAGCTCTTTGACCTCGGGCAAAACACAGAACCTCTAAAATCTGTTTCCTCATCCTCAAGATTAAGAACTTTCTCTCAGGGTATGAGGATTAGAATGAACTAGTGAACCAAGTAATTGGCCTAAGCCTAGCATGGAGTTATCACTACCACCATCACCTCTGTTTACAGATGAGAAGGTAATGCTTAGAGATGTTAAACAATTTTCTCAACACAATATATCTAGGTATCCCCTTAGTGTTTGACCTATATCCAAAACAAACTGCATTTGTTTTACATCTATAATCCAAATTAACTCTTGTCTGTCTTCCTCCAAGCCAGTCCTATAAGGTTGTTACTCCTTAATCTTTTTTTTTTTTTTTCAGTACTGGGGTTTAAACTCAGGGCCTACACCTTAAAGTACTCTAACAGCACTTTTTTCTGTTTCATTTAACAGAGCATATATTAAGTACTTATTGTGTGTCAAAACAGAAGTCACATCTTGGGGAGATGGTGGCAAATAAGACAAGATCTCTTCCTTCAAACCAAAAGCTTCAATGTGGTTGATGTGCTCACTGCACAGAAATGAATATAGAAATCTTTCTGACTGGGGCCACCATGAGAAGTGGACTGGAAGAGAAGAACCAATTGGGGTTGTAATACTCACATGCATGGAAACAACACCAGGAATCTCCCTGCATAGCTATCTCTTGTCTCAAACCAGCAAAAACACCATATTTCTCTTTTTATCTTTTATGTTTTTTCTTCCACAAAATCTGAGAACAGGAGGGTGGAACAGGTTCTGCAGGGGAAGGGGGGTTGGCACTGGTAGGAGTGGGGAGGTGGTAGGGAATGGGTAGGAGGATGAATATGGTGCAAACAATGTATACACATGTGTGTAAATGCAAAAATGATACCTGTTGAAACTGTTCCAGGAATCAGGGGAGGGGGGGATGAAAGAGAGCTGCAGAGGGGGTGAATTCAAGTATGATATATTTGATACATTGTAAGAACCTTTTTTATTTTATTTTATCATTTTTACATGTACTTACATGTGTATATATTATTTGAGCCACCTCCCCTTCCCTCCCCCCACCTCCAGGCAGAATCTATTCCTCCCTCCTGTTCTCCGACTTTCGTTGAAGAAAAAACATAAAGATAATAAGAAAAACATGGCATCTTTGCTAGTTTGAGATAAAGATAGCTATACAGGAAGATTTCTTGTGTTGTTTCCATGCATATGTGTATTAGAACCCACCTTGGTTCATCTCTACCAGACCTCTTCACTGCTTCCTAGTCCACTTCCCATAGTGGCCTCTGCCAGGTTAAGATTACTATATTCATTCCTACACAGTGAGCACTTCAACCACATTCAAGTTTTAGGTCTCCTTCCCTTTCCCTATCCCTCCCATGTGTGGTATCCCCTTAGTGTTTGACCTATATCCTATATCCAAAACAAACTGCATTTGTTTTAGGTCTATAATCCACATATGAGGGAGAACATGCGATTTTTGGCCTTCTGAGCCTGACTAACTTCACTTAAGATGATGTTCTCCAGTCACCAGCCCTTGTGTGTGTGTGTGTGTGTGTGTGTGTGTGTGTGTGTGTGTGTGTGTGTATTTGTGTGTGTGTGTGTTTCGAGATAGGGTCTCATGAACTAATTCCCTGGGCTAGCCTCAAACCTTGATCCTCCTGATCTCTGCCTCCTGAGTAGCTAGGATTATAGGTGTGAGCCACTAGCACCCAGCTCTTTAACCTATTTTAAAAATCCTCCCTTTCCTAACTTGCTTTCCACCTAAGAACCCTCTACTCCAGTCTCATCTAATCTTCAACCAACATGCTCAGCCCTCTCGTAAGTCCTTGCTCCTACACATGCTGTGTCCTGTGCTACATCTGGCCGTCCTCCCTCTCCTGTGTGAGCCTCACCATCTACCTGAGGCAGAGTCATTCACATCCTTGCCCAGTACTTGAAACAATGGAGAGATTCAAGAAAAACCTTTTACAAAAGCAAATGAGTTCTCTTCTTAGAAAACTAAAAGTTATTTTTATTTACTACAGCCAACATTTGAGTGCCATACATGTGCTAGACACTGTGCTTTGTTCCTAGGAATACAGTGATGAATAAGGGCCTTTCCTATCAAAGGTCCAGAGACTAGTAATAAGTAGATGTGTGATCATATGATTGTGATACAGTGTGGTAAATGCCTTTTTTAAAAAAGTAGTATCTTGATGTATGATAAAGAAGCCACCGGACTAATGAGTTACTGGGCCAGTAGGATCAGGCAAGACTTCCCAGAGACGTTGATATCTGAGCTGTAGTTTGAAAGAGAAGATATTTCCAAAGCAGACAAGTAGTTGATGGACATTGCAAATGAAGCAAACATCCTATGGCTTGACTTAGATGAGTGAAGTAGCATGATGCATTTGGGAGGTTATATAGAGGTCAGTGTAGCTAACATAACGTGCAGACAGAGGAAGCTAGAAATGGTCATGCACAGAAGGAGAGGCAGAGGTCAAGTCTTAGAGGGCCTTGTAGTGTACACTAAGGAGTTTGTAGGCCAGCAATCTCCTGTATGTGTCCTTGTCTCCCTTCAGAGAGGGCATCCACACAAGCTACTGGGATTTTGAAAGCCACTGATGAATTTCAAATAAGAAGAGCAGGTCACAAGATCAGCATGCATTTTCGAAAGTCAGACTGCAGTGTGGAGAGTGGATTAGGAAACAACCAGTCTAGAGTAAGGAGACCAATTAAGAAGCAAGGACAATAACCCAAGGAGGAAATGGTAACTTATAAGGGCTTGAAGCCCAGTGAAAGTGGAGAGGGGAAACCAGAGTCAAAAGCTGCTGAATAAGTGCACAGAAGAGGGTGGTTGGCGTGATAACCTGGTGAGGGGTAGGCAGTGATGGTAAGAACCCAGCCAGAGAGCCAATACAGGGAGAGCAGAGGTTCATGGTGAAGCAGAGATCAAGAGCACAGCCTGGAATATTGAGTGCAGGCTTCTGCTAGACATTGCTGTGGCTAGACAGGCCTGGACTCAGGAGAAGGCCAGCTTTACTGTTCATGACAGAATAGAATGGGTTAGAGGCAAGGGTACAGAGGACATCAGGAGTAGAAACAGCACAGCGTGAAAGCAAGAACCTCACCACTCAACTCTTGCAGGCAGGGCAAGGGGCAGAGAAGGAATAGAGGAGTGTTCAGAGAGAAGGGAAGCTATGCAGGAGATGAGTTTCCTGGAAACCTGGAGAAATGAGAAGATTGAGAAGGAAACAGTGAGCAGCCCACAGTAGAAAGATCCCAGAAGTAAATGCTAAAAGGGCAGTTCATTGGCAACTGCCCATAGTTTCCATGAGGCTTGTAACCCGGTTGAGAAAGAAGGAGAAACAGAGATGCTAGAGCTGTCATGGGATCAATCAGAGGGAAGTTTTTAAGGATAAGTGAGATCAGAGCCAGGGAAAGGTTGGTAAAATGGTAGTGGTTGGCAGTTCAAAGAGAGGAGAAAATTTTTTGGTGTTGTTTGGTTTTTGGGTTTTTTTTTTTTGTTGTTGTTTATTTTTTTTTCTGTTTGGTTGGTTGGTTGGTCTGGGAGTTTTTTGGCAGTACTTGGGTTTGAGCTCAGGACTTCACACTTGCTGAGCAGGTGCTTTACTGCTTGAGCCACACCTCCAGCCCAGTACAGCACATTTAACAAGCTAAGAAGCTCACAGAATGAGTTGCAAGCATTCCTACATTTTCAAAACAAATTTACGTTTTGATTATAAAGAAGAACTTTTTTTAATAGCGTGAAAAAACTAAGAGTAGGTAATAGATTCCTAACTCTTGTTTTTACTACCTGTACTATGATAGACCGTATGGTAGGATTTTTATTGCCTATAATTTCGGGTGACCTAATTACTTGTAAGCAGCCAGACAAGTTGTTCAGGCCCTTCCCAAAGGAGGTGAAAAACATGTGGCTTTTTTTGTTCTCTTTTGTGTGTATGTGTGGGACTGGGGTTGGAACTCAGGGCTTCGCACTTGCAAAGTAGGTGCTCTGCCGCTTGAGACACACCTCCAGTCCTATGGCCTTTTCTTTTCTCTTCAAAAACACCTCTACAACCCAAGTGTTGAACTGGGCTCCTTTGATACCTCAGACAGATATCCACATCCTACTTACATCCAACAGACAAAATTCAATCAACATTATAAACAAAACAAATCATGTATTACATTACAAAGTGGCCATTGCTACCAAAAATTTGTAGATTTTTATATGATCATTTAAACATAGATATATTTTAATGCTGTTCTCCCTCTGATTGGAATTTGTTTCTCTTCTCCAAAGAAGAAACTCTTTCTAATAGAGTTTAAACAGTTCTGCCATAAAACTGTCCTGAATCTTTGCAAACAGAAACCCCCAAAGTTTGGTGCCTTTCTTGTGTCTTTTGTCACTTTTCCCCTAACCCCAGAGTTATGTGTGGATATAACTTGTCTCAGAGTCTCCTTCCCATAGGCAGTTACCATCTTCTTTGTACCTAGCACAGTGGCTTGCACTAGAGGGCAAGAAATGAATGTTCTGATTTTGTAAGGTTGTAAGTATATTTCTTCATGGTTCATAACAGTCACAATGTCTAAACTTAGAAATTAAGAACATTTTGACCTGGGTAAAACACAACAGCAGAGCACTGTCTGATTATTGTGCTATCACATTAAATATACTCTTACTGAACTCAGAAAATTGTCATTTTAATTTTGGAAAAGGGGACAAATCAATTATAGCTGCCATTTGGAGATCCAGGAGATTGTCTTTGTCATTCTTGTTCCCTGTGTCTTTCCTATTCTACTGTGGAGCAGCCTGAGTACACTGAATGAGGCTGTGTGCCACACTAGATAAGAACACGTAACCGAGATGATGCTTTCCAATTTCCCTTTGGATGGAACAGTTCCTCATCTAGATATGAGAAATGGGAGACTTCTTCACACCTAGTATAGATATATAAAGCTGTGTTTCTAGGGCTGGGGGACATAGCTCAAATGGTAGGATGCCTGCCTAGTAAACACAAGGCCCTAAGTTCAAACCCCAGTATCACAAAAAAAAAAAAAAAATTCTGTCCTCTGTATCTGCAGAAAGCTTATTCAGATTATAAAATTAAATGCTGCTGACAGGGAAATGATGTAGAAATGCTGTCAAGGAAAGTAATGGTGATATGGTTGAGCTGGGCAGAGAGCTTTGCCCTTTGGATTCATGTCTTAGAGTGAGTGCTGCTGCACTTGGCAGGCAACTTCCACACGCTCAGTGGTATTCAAGCAGACTCCACAAATTCGGTTTATTTTCAGGGATCCACATCTTACTTTTTATTGACAAGTGTTTCATGGAAGACATTTTGAAAGTCATTGGGCTATTGGAAAGGAAATGACCATTGTTAGACTAATTCTATAGCCACTATTGATTTGTGCTGGATGTCAGCACTGCATCCAGCATTGTATACATTGTGATTTTTATCTTCTAGTCTTGTTGCAGGGATTGTTTCATTTTGTTTTGTTCTACTTAGCAGTACTGGGGTTTGATCTCAGGGCCTGACACTTGCTAGGCAGGTGCTTTACTGCTTGAGCTGCTCATTAGCCCTTTTTATCTTCTAGTTTTTACAGAAGTTCAGTGTGGGACCCAAGAGCCCCATGTACAGATGAGGAAACCCCAGAGCAGAAAGGTTATAATAGCCAGTACAGAGTCACATGCCACTATAGAGCAGTGGGACTGGGATCCAAACTCATGTCCCTCTGACCCCAGACCCTTGATCTGTCCCCTCTGATTACCTCTTCTGCTAGAAGTAGATTTGAACTTGTGAGGCCTTCCACTTTCCCCCATGTTTACCAAGCCTGTGCTACCCACAGTGCTATGCCATTTTTCTTCACAGAACACCAGATGTGGAATGACAGGCTTGGGGACCAGCCTGAGTTTATGATTTTGTGGCACTGGAGAGCTACCATATATGAAAATGCTCTTTTTCTAAGTGGAAAGCCTTGTTTGATCAGTAAGTGATACTGCTGTGATTCTCTTTAGAGGTGAGCCAGCGATTCCCCACCACACACCCAAACGGACGTCAGATCATGCTTACCTACCTGCTGCCTTGGCTGCATAACATTGAGCTAGTGGACAGCAGGCTCCTCCTCCCAGGGTCAAGCCCCAACAGCCCAGAGGATGAAGTCAAGGACCGGGAAGGAGAAGTGACTACCTCTCCTGGGCTAAAAGGGAATGGCTGGGGCTCCCCAGAAGCCACATCACTCGTCCTGAATAACCTCATGTACATGACGGCCAAGGTAACCCAAATAGCACATCAGTATCATCAGAAAAGATGTTAACCAAACCTTACGCTATAAACCCAAGGAAAATGGTGCTTATCATAAAATCACAGAGATAGAGATGGGTGGTGCTGGTGGCTATACAGCAGTGTGAATGTACTGAACTCTACACTTTGAAATGAGTATGAAGAGGGTTGTGGACGTAGCTCAGTAGCAGAGTGCTAACATGAGAGAGAACCTGAGTTCAATCCCCAGCACTGGAAAAAAAAAAAAGGTTACAATGCCAAACTTTATATGTATTCTCCCACAATTGGAAAGCTCACACGCATACAATTGTACAACTGATTTGTGTATTATGAATTGCTATCCACCAAAGAATGGCTTTTGCTTTGCATTAGTGGGATTTGAACTCAAGTCTTCGCCCATGTTAGGCAAGCTCTCTACCTCTTGAGCCGTATCCTCAGCCCTTTTGTAGTTTGTATTTGAGATAGGGTTTTGATAACTTTGCCTGAGCTGGCCTGGGCAGCTGGGGTATGCCTGACAAATGGTATCTTTCTGATGAAGGCCATGTTTCCCTCTTCTTAGGATTTATATCTTGCATTCTTCACATGTGTCATGGGAGCCTGGTTTTCTTTTGTTTGTTTTAGTATGGAGATGAAGTTCCTGGACCAGAAATGGAAAATGCGTGGAACGCGTTAGCTAACAATGAGAAATGGAGCAACAACCTGAGAATCACCCTGCAGTTCCTCATCAGCCTGTGCGGGGTTAGCAGTGACACCATTCTCCTGCCCTACGTGAGTGCCCTGCAGTATACAAGCCTCAGGTTGGACTGTGAGACCTAACACAGGGCATTCATCCAGTTATTTTTAACACTTAAAACATTGATCTGGGTGCCGGTGCCTCACACCTGTAATCCTAGGTACTCAAGAGGATTACAGTTTGAAGCCAGCCCAGGCAAATAGTTCAAGAGACCCTATCTTGAAAAAAAACCTTCACAGAAAACAGCTGGTAAAGTATCAAGGTGTAGACCCCGAGTTCAAGCCAGCACTGAAAAAAAAATAGAAAAAAAACTTTAAAAGCAGCTAAAACTCATTTATTTGTAGGGGTGAAGAAGACAGAAAAGGACTGGATTCCTTTTTTTTTTTCTAACAAAAATAGTTTGTAGGGTTCCCCCCCGCCAGGTTTGTATAATTAAAATTTTTTCTGAAGTCAAGACCTTTGATGGCAAGTTGTTAGCTTAGATTGAATCAATGGGCCCAAGATATGCTTGTGTAGTAAGGAAAGCCTTAATCCAAACACCTGCATCACCCTTGGGGAGCACAAAGATTAGCTCTGAGGACAAGGACTCTGCACGATGACACATTTCTCTAAAGGTGTGGGTTTCCAGCCCTGTGTTCTTAAGGGCTAGACTCTAGAAAACCCATGTTTATTTTCTTCCTCCCAGATTAAAAAGGTGGCAATATATTTGTGCCGTAATAACACCATTCAAACCATGGAAGAGCTTCTCTTTGAGCTGCAGCAGACTGAACCTGTGAACCCCATCGTCCAGCACTGTGACAACCCACCCTTCTACCGCTTCACGGCCAGCAGCAAGGCCTCTGCAGCAGCTTCTGGTGAGGAAAAGGGCAAGTGGGCAGACATCTTTTCATGGGTCTCTAGGTCTAAGTAGAACACTAAATGGATTTGAGTGTGTGTCTGTTACTTATTTTCCTTATTTCTATGGATAATCATTTAAAGATGGGTTAAGAATAGCTACCTGAGACTTTAGGGCATCATTGGATTAATGAGATGATTTTATAAGGATGACCAGGAATCAAGTGACACAGTTGCTTCCTCACCACAACCTTTTTACTTTAGGCTGATACCAACCATGAGTTTCATGGTTAGTCTTGAGTCCTATCTCCAAGAATATCTCATTCTATGTACCCAAAATCTGAAAACAATTTATAGACCTAAGCATTTTGGATAAAGTATCCAAAATGTATCATGAAATGCATACTATTCTCTTCAAATTCCTTGAAGCTTCCCTTCAATTTACCTAAAAATGTAACTGCCTTCAAATTTTTCTTCTTCCCTAATCTCTTATGTCTACAATTTTCCCTACTCCCTGCTGCCAGAGTAGTATTCTTCCAGAGAGGTGCTAGCCTCGAAGTCAAAAGTTCTGGGTACTTAGACTTGCTTCCTAGAACTAGTAGAATATTTCCTGGACCCAGAAATGCTAAAGCAGCACTGAACATGGTGGTGCAAGCCTGAAATCCCAGCACTCGGGAGATCGTACCCAGTTCAAGGCCAGCCTGAGCTACATAGTGAGACCTTGTCTCAAAAAAAAAAAAAGAAGAATGAAAAAGAAATGCTAAAGCAGACAACACGCCCATCCACTTGTTACCTAAGTGGACAGAAAGAAAAGCTTTCAAGAATGTTGTAGACCCGTTTTTCAGGGAAATTAAGGAATTTAGTCTGGCCACAACAAATGTCTAGGATTCTCCTGTTTCTGTGCTGTGGGCTTCTGAGGTTGTTTAGAAAGTCTGAGATTGTCCAAAAGATTTGAAGATTCTTTCAAACACAAGATTCCACAGGAAATCCTTTCCTAAATTACTTGAGTCTTGAGCTTGATCCTTCTGCATGCATCTTTCTCTAAGTATCTTCCATCTAATCCCATGTACAGGAACCACCTCCAGCAGTAATACAGTAGTTGCTGGCCAGGATAGTTTTCCAGATGCTGAGGAGAGCAAGTTACTGAAAGAATCCGATGAAAGGTTGGTGCACACATTTGTTTTAGAGTCCATTCTAACTTTCATAACTCATCTGTACAAACAGTCATTGATACAAGCTTGTAGGGTTTCCCAAATTTCACACACACACTGAAATCCTCCTTTATTCTTAGGGACACAGGCTGACTTTCCAACTCTACACTGTATAGTCCTGAAGATAACAATTTTTTCCTATACAAAGTCAGAGAAGAGGAAGATAAAAGGGGCTTTCTTCTAGTGGCTGAATCGCACCTACCCCAGGGCTTCGTATAAGCCACTGGTCTTTCTGCTAGTGGGCACAATGGCCTGGAATTAAAGGGGATTTGCTTTGTGAAATTTTCAAATCTGATTATTGAATAGTTTTTAGAGTAGTTGTCTTGAGGTGAGTTCTATGAAACATCATTGTATCAGTCAGATCTTTGTTACTCTAATGAAATGCTGAGGTAGGCTAAATAAAGTTATTCAGCTAGCAGTTTGCTGAGGGGTAGGTTTGTTTGTTTTATTTCATTTTTGATGGTACTGGGGTTTGAACTCAGGGATTCATGCCTGCTAAGCAGGCACTCTACCACTTGAGCCACTCAAACTTTGCTAATAGTTTTGGAGGCTGATAGTCCAAATAGCAGGGTGTTAACTCTGCTGAGAGTTCCCCACTGGCTACAGTGTATCTATCTGTACTGGTCTGGTCTTTGTCTTTCTTATGAAGCAACCAAAATCTAATCAGGCAGGCTTCACCCTAGTTACCTTACTTAATATAATCCTTTTCAAGAGACCTACCTCTTAACACCATAGTGGGATTAAGTTTCCACCATTTTAATATCATTAACATAAGACTTTGAGATCTAAACTCAAGTATAAATTCAGAGCAACAACCATAATTAAGCCATAGAATTCATCATTCTTCCTTTACTTTTGCTCTGTCCCATCTCAGTTAACCAAGAATGTTATCTTCCTGCTACACAAATTATCTGTTCCCTTCACATTGGCTCTAGTATGTTGATACTTCTCCCATCCCCAATCCATCTTCTCATTGCCTAATATCTTCTCATTACTCATAGTAATTAAATAAATTAAAGTAAATATAATATGAATCATTCTTTCCTACAGCTGAGTGTGAAGAACAGGGAGACAAACCAGGAGAGCTAGATAGGACTCTGATTTAAAGCAAACAAACAAACAGCAACAAAAAAACAGGTGATCTTCATGTTGTTCAAAACTCCTTCAACTGAGCATTTTATAGCAACAGGAAATGGAGCCATTTCACTTAAAAGTTAGTAGTGAGGATGAAACACTCACAAATTCATGTTGGAGAAGATCAAATAATGCCAATAATTCACTTAGCCCAACATGCACCAGAATGCTTCCTGACTGTCCTTGGGATTTCACATGTGCCCTACAAAAGCAGTAGAGTAGAAGTTCTTTTCCATAGAGCTGTCTGCTGGGGAATTGTTCTCTGACCCAGGCACTCGCCAATTCCTTTCTGCATTACTGGGCTGCTGTGTCGCCTGTGGGCAGTGCTCATTGTATGGACTTTCCTTCAAGTGAAGTCCAAGCCCAGAGGGTCATGAGGCACAGACCCTGTCCTTCATAGCTCTCTAATAAAGGCCTGTTTCTCTTTCTTAGAAGTGAATAAGGTTTTCATATTTCATATACCAGTGACAGTATAAGATTTTTAATTAACGTGTTCTTTTTATCCATATTTGATAGTGTTGTCTTTACCTCATGGTAGAAAAATCCCAGTTTTTTTAATTTTCTGAGTGCTGGAGATCAAACTCAGGGTACTAGACAGCACTCTTAGCAATGAACATATCCCAAACCCCAAAATCACATTATTTGTCTAAAGATACTTAAATATTTTGGCTACTATGCAAATTCTTAATCACTTGTTGTCTAGGCTGAGTTTCCCATATTAATTTTATTTAGAATAGAAAGGTATGTATTCTTGAATGTTAGAATCTCATTACAAGGGCCTGTTTAGGATCAGAATTCTGCCTAAGTTTTTTGATGTGGCCTCTAAAATTAAGAAGCCACTTACCTGTGTAACATCAAGATTGCAGAATATTTTTAAGAGAGGTTGTCTTGTTTTGGTCTTGTATCATCCACTCATTTTTTTCTGAGTCATGGTTCTCACTGTGTTGCTCAGGCTGCCCTCAAACTCCTGTAAGCAATCCTCCTGCCTCAGCCTCCTGAGTAGCTAAAGCCAGACACACACTAACAGGTCTAGCCCTACCTATATTTTTACACCTCTTCATATATATCAGACTATTTTATACTGAGTCTATCTATTTATCTATCTGCATATGTTGATTGATCATATTCATATACATGAATGTTCTAACCCAAAGGATACCACTATTTCTTTAATCCTTCACACCACCTGCACTATTTCTCTAGTATAGTCTCTCTCTTTTCTGTGAAAGTAGGCTATACCTTCAACCTTCAATTCCTTTTCCCTTTGATCTGCTCATCACCCTTCTCTGTAGTCCCAGCCATGTTGATTTCTAGGTACTGTTCACATGTGTGTCTTGGCTATTCAGTTGCAGTTCCTGGAAAGCAAAGGCCAAAAGCCTGTTACTCATGTTCCAGTAGCCTTTTGTGCTGAACATAGTAGGCATTTATGTGTTTATTCATAAGTGAATGAAAACAGGAGAAACAGAACAGCCCCAAAGGTGGATAAGCTGTCCAAAAGCTATCTTGCCCCCCTCTGGCCCTCCTCACCAACTCATCACTCTGTTCTTTACAGTGCTGTAGACAGAAAATCTACATAGGCAATGTTGTTCAGAAGTAATGTGTGGCTGCTATGTCACCAGAATACACAGGCTACCTTGGAGTTGGGCACCACAGCCACTCTGACACCGTGTTCTTTACAATGGTTCTGTGATGTGTTTCAGTAACACTTTTACCATTCCTACTACAAAACAAAGAACAAAAAATATGTATATTCAGATACATACATACACACACAGAGAAAGAGAGCTTATAGTAAAAAATATATATATTGAAACAGATGTAAAAGAAAACAAACCAAGCTAAAGGAGCAAGTCCTGGCTAAGGAAAACTACTATAAAAATCAACATTAACCTCACCTTAATATCCCCAGTAGTCAAAGTAAAAAAAAAGAAACATGCAGCAAATTTTACAACTTCTAATATTTTTTAAAAGAGAAACTATTCATCAGAATTACTAAGAGAAAGTGCCCTAAATGCTAAGAAAGATTTATTCTGTACTTCTTCGCCCACTAAAATGTACAGATATTTTCACTAAAATCGAAAATTTTGGGGGACGGTACTGGAGTTTGAACTCAAGGCCCTGCACTTGATAGGCAGGCACTCTACCACTTAAGTGACACTCCTAGTCCACTAAAACAGAATTTTACATCAATTTTTAAGATACGCAGAAACAACCTTCATGAATACTTTTTATATAGCCACCTTTAATAAAGGCCTATTTTATAAATTTTCGTAGGGAGCTAAAATGATGAACTTCAACCGTATAACTTTTTATGATCTGTATTAATATAGGGATGGAGATTAGATAACCTGTATCTAAATTTATAGGGCTTGGGGGAATTTGTTTGCTTATAGATTTGGGGGAATCCAGGACCTCCTATGTGCTAAGAATGCACTCTACCACTACGCTACATCCCGGGCCCCATTGATAATATTAATATGCATTAGTATACATTAATATGTTACTAACGTGATGGCCTAAGTATTAATTTGATCTAAGTCAGCAAGATAAAACAAGGAGACATTTCATCCTTCTGGATTTTCTCTTAATAGGCTACTTTCATGATATATTTCTTAAGACATGACTATTTGATGTGAAATGACTATTCAGTCTACTTAGTCCTTGCAACTCCTCTAGGGCCTAAACCAAAATCAATTTCTTCAATCCAGGAAAACAAAGGGAAGTAACAGATTTTCCTCTTGGCAGTCAGGTTTTTATTTTTTCTTTGCCAAGTGTACACTTGGCTGCACTGTGGTTTCATCCTTCCCAGAGGAAAGAACAGTCTGGAAGGGACTTGATCCTTTCCTTCATCCCACTTCATAAACCCTACCTAGCTCTTTAGGTCTCCCTCAGAAGAGAAAAGAGACGAATTGCCATCTTCTCTTGGCCTTCCTGAATACTGTTTAGATGTGTACCGCAGTTTGTCAGCAGCCATGGGTGCCATAGAGCCCTTCCCTGATGGGAATCTCCAGATGTGAGTTCTTTCATCAGCCTGCTTTGTCCCGTGCTGAATGATGTCTGAGCTCAGCATGTGCTGTTTATTATACTACATTTATAAGCACAAATATGATTAAGGAACTTCTTCAGAAGGTAATAGGTTTATTGCCTTACTAATTTCAGAAGTGTCGGTCTGATTTAGACTGTCTTGTGATTTTATCTGTGTGAAACTCAGCAGATGTCCTAGATATTCTGTTATATGGATTCACAAAGTAGTAGCCCAAAAGGGCAGGACAGTGAAGCTGGGTGTGATGACTCACTGCTATAATCTCAGATGGTCATGAGGCAGATTTTGGAAGGATCCCCGTTTGAGGTCAACCCAGGCAAAAAGTTAGTAAGATCCCCATCTCAACAAAATAAGCCAGGTATGGTGGCACACACCTATCATCCCAGCTACATAGGAGGCCAAAAGTAACAGAATTATACTTCAAGACCAGCTCAGGAAAAAAGGCCTGGAGGTATGGCTTAAGTAGTAGAATGTCTGCCTAGCAAACACAAACAAGGTCCTGAGCTCAAAAACCCCAGTACCACACACACACAAAATGACATATGACAGCAAAGAATGTTTGTAGTTATTAAAAGGGGGAAAATGTGTGTCTTCTGCAAATATCCAAGAAATGAGTAAAACCAAAGTCAGTAGTCTGTTGCGTTTTCCCAAAACCCCACCTTTTCTTCATGTTCTTGTGAGGACAGCTATATCTGGCAATGTTCTAGAGAGAAAAAAGGTGTGGACCTATTTGTCAACTAGGTCAGAACACCAAGCAGTAATGTAGGGGGACACAACTTTTTTGGCTTGAGTTTTCTGATATTTTTGAATAGCCTTAGGTCTTTGCTTTGACTACATATATATTAAGTAGATCAAACCTCTGGGTATCATTTCATATTTATATACTATTTGGGGTTAGGGGTGTAGCTCAGTGGTAGAGTGCTTGCCTAGCATACCTGAGGCCCTGAGTTCCATCCCCAGCACTGAAAATAAACCAAACAAACACATACCATTCCTCCCAAATTCCCCTGAGCCAAACGCTTGCCTTTCCTGTGGGTCTTGGGAGGATAGACATACTGTTGATTTGAATGCTATTAGCATCCTGCAGAGACAAGGCATTCTAGAAATCCCAGGTCAAAGTGTAATAACTAACACCATATGGTTGGATGGTGTCTCAAAGTTTTAAACATCAGTGCTTTTGATTCCCCACAACAACCCCAATAAAATAAAAGATGAAGAATTATTACTACTCCCTTTTGGTAGTTGTGGAAACTGGGTTCCCAAGGAGGTAAAGGTCTTGGCCACAGTCACAAAACTAATGAGGGACAGTTCAGTCTGTTTTTAAAAACTAACTGACACATAGTAACTGTACATATTTATGGGGTACAATGTGATGTTCTAATATGCTACACAGTGTGAAATGATCAGGTCAGGGTAGTTGCCATACTTATCACTTCAGACAAAAGCTCAGTCTTAAAATCTCATTTCTTCCCCATTGGGGGCAGTGTGACTCTAAAAGTGTCCCTGCACTGCCACCTGCCTGTAGATGACCCTGGACAAGTTGTTTGACCTCACTCAGCCTCAGTTTCCTCATTTGTAAAGTAATTAATACTGATTTCAAAAATGAGATGATGTGCAAGAAGTTATTATCCTTCGACTTCTTTTTAAATTAATTCAACAAGCCACAAGAGAAACAGACACAAGAGTTCCTCTAGAAGATTATGAGATTATCCAACTAGTACTTTTTCCTGAAAATTCTCAGACTGTCTTAAGGGAAATTTTAATTTGGGTATAGGCCAAGATTTGTTATGAAACTATTTTGTATATTTCCAATTCTACCCATTTTGACTTGTTCAGTCATTCAGCAAGTATCTGATCAACGACCATGTGCTGTGTTCTGTAAGTGAGGAGATCATCCATCATCATGCATGCCTCCTTTCCCAAGCAAATGTTCCAATTTTCCAGTGCAAATAAAATTTTAGCCTTAGCATTATTCTCTTTTCAAGGTTTGCACTTTTGCTTATGAGCAAGAGGGACCACTGGCCCACTTAAGGGAAAAAGAAATATCTTCAGCACAATTGTTACAATATTCCTTTAAGAAAGCATCATCATTGTAGTTGACTGCCAAAAAAAAAAATCAACCACTGCATAATAGTATATCTGCTTACGAGCAATAGCGCACATACACACGTGTTGCTATTGCGTGACTGTTGTTCTTGTGTTTGAAGGTTCAGTAACGTTATCCGAGCACACACACGCCTTGAATCAAGATACAGCAACAGCTCTGGAGGATCGTATGATGAGGATAAAAGTAAGTACTGGTGGGCCATAGGCTTTCAGATGGAATGCAAGTGGTTGGAGAATAGAAGGTAAGTATTTCGATTATTCTTAGTCTAATTAGTATAACAGACCCATCAGTTAAGTAATCATTTAATTCAACTATGTAAATGATCACAGTCAGCTTAAATGTAAAAAGAAAAGACAGAGAGAGAAAGAGAAAAGAAAAGGAAAACCAGAGAATGGACAATAAAATTTACAAAACTTCAAACCACTACTGAATCCTATATTTTATACTCTTGGCATTTTCCACGGTGATGCAGTTGGGAAAAGACCAGTAAGAAATTGTCCCATTGAAAGGATTGTTGCAGTTCAATTTTTCACCCTGTCTTGGGAGTTAATTTATACTTTAAGTTTTTTGAGTCTGCTTACCCCCCCTAGGATGGACTCTGATTCCATATAGACTCTCTCAGTGGCATGGTCTCAGTAGCCATGTGAAGCCCTTGCTAAACTGGGACACTGCTTTATTCTGAAATTTCTTTATACCTTTGTCAGTTAGGTCAATCAAAAAGGTTGGTGTCTTCATTGATTTTGTTCTAGACAGCTTCTGTAGATATGGAGCCAGCATAGAGAGTTGGTTGGTCATGAGTTGCAGAGATTCTGGAACCAAAGAACACCCCTGGTGATGTGTAGGTGTGCTAGAGAAATCAGTAAACCATCTCATGGAGTCTGTTTTTCTATTTGGATGGTATTTCATGAGTTAGATTCATTTTGTAAGTCAATATATAAGGCCTTCCTTTGTAGTATCTTTTTGAATTGTTTTGTTTTTATGGGAAATGTGCAGTATCAGGTGAGAGCAAAGTAGTTCCCATGACACCACATTGCAGCTGCCCTTACTTGACTTCCCAATATGGAGATAGGCAGATCTCTCTGCCATTCAAAATACCACTGGAAAGAATGTTTAAAATCTATGTTATTGTCAAGTTCTTAAGTTTCAGCTAGGTCCCTATAAAACTTTTTGGTAGAACTGTCAGTAGGAGGAAAAATAAAGCAATTTGCATTTTTCCTCTTTTCTGTGTCTCAATAGGGAACTGTACCTTCCAAAAACCCACAGTTGAATCTGGGCCCACAGACCATTCATTCTAGCCAGGACAAGATTTGGCAGATGAGTGACAGGTGGTACTTGAGAAATTAAAAGTTGTTGGTTCCAGAGAAGTCTGGTTACTATGGCAGTATTCAGCAACCCAAAATTTGAGGACACAAAAATTGAATCTTAAAGATGTCAAACAGTCTAATGTGATCCCCCAGACTGCAACAGATGTGGCATGACAACACCTGCCACTCTGATGGTGGGGTTTACATGAGGGAAAGTGCTGGACTTTGGCCAGTTGATTCCTTTAAAGGTTCTGGTTATAGGACATTCACTTTGGCAGAAACACTATAATAAATAACAATCATTTTTAAAGTGTGTCTGTAGATCCCTCTGGTGTTAAAACCTCAAATCTTTACATTTATTAAAATAGAGGATTTCAGAAGAGAATTACGAGAAAATGAGATAATTATGTCATTATATAAACTTAGATAACTGACTTTGTGGCAAAAAAGAAAAATAATAGAAGTATTTATGAAGAGAAAAAAACTATTGTTCATTCAGATAAGGCACAAAAAGAAATCTAACCTCAAATTACCTCTAGTTTACCTAAAAATGTTTATAAACTGCTGTATGAATAATATTTTGAGAACTTTGTGGCATAAAATTTGCATCTAATCTTATTTCAAACTATCCTTTACATGATTACTGATATTTCCCAGATTCATGTCATGAAATTTGAGCATTGAGAGCTTATATTTTCACTTGTTTACTATAAGAGAAAATGAAATCAAAACTATCTAAACAGATGATCATCACAGGAAGTCCATACAATATGTACTAAGATCCTTTTCCAAGGTAGTCAAGTACTTTGCTTTGATGGTCTTGGAGGAAGCACCATGTGTCATAGGACACGTATTCCCTGAGGACTTTAGTAACTGGGGCCTCCTTGATGTGTTTTTGGTTCCAGCTATACAATCTTGGACATAGACTATGCCACAAAACAGGCAAAGGTTAGTAGACTCAATCCTAGAATCTTACAGCCTGGTGTCTGGTACAGGTGAAGGGTTGATTATTTCCTCCCTGAATTCCTGAGGGGATCTGTAAAGGGAGGAAGGGTCAAGAAGGATCAGGAGAGACTCAGCATCCCAGTGATTCATAATCTGGGTTTATCCAAAAGGAAGGACTGTGTGTAGCCTCAGAAATGTACTTTATATTAAAGTCTATACTGAGTTTGAGTTAGACTGAGATCTATGAAATAACTCTCTGCCAATATTATGTAAGCTTTTCTTCAAAACTATTTAAGATATCTGGACTATTTCCTAAGGCCACATGCTAATGTGGCCCCATATTAAGGATATGACTAGTTAAACTGGCTCTCAGTTGAGTGATAACTGTAGAAAACCAATTTCAAACCATCGTAATCCTTCTTAAACGTTATTACAAACTGGATAAGATGCAAGGACATCACTGAGAGTAAGAATAGTACATTCTTTCCAAACAGAAATATGGGGTTTTTGAATGAATATATCCTAATAAAAAATTTATTTAAAAAAATAAGAAATAGGGGTTTTTCTTTTTTATTCTTCAGTATTCTCCCCCTTTTCTTTCCTTTTTTCCTCTGCTCCTCTCAAATCTTATTAAAGAGTAGCTAATTACTGAGAGGTACATTTTCCAATTAACTTATCCTGGGCAGTCATCTAAGAAGTTAATTTGCAGAAACTAAAACACTCTTTAAATAATATACAAAGAGTTATATGTAAGATAAGTAATAACTTAAAATTGTAAGCTAAAATTGTTATGGCCAAAGCCTCACAGAATAGAATTATAAGGTTTCAGTTGCTCATTTGTTGGTGTGTGTTAGAAAGAACTAACAATAGCCAGGCATGCTGGCATGCTTCTGTAATCCCAGCAGTAAGGAGGCTGGCACAGGATAATTGCAAGTTTGAGGCCAGTCTGAACTACACAGTGAGACTCTATCTCAGAAAGAAAAGAGAAAAAAAAAACAAAGAGGGCTGTTGGACTGGCTCAAGTGGTAAAGCACCTGCCTAGCAAACATGAGGCCCTGATCCCAAACCCAGTACCAAAAAAAGGAAGAACCAGCAATAACTTTCTAACTTTACCAACCAAAACTCCATCAGCTCATAACCTGGAGAAGGGATATTCTTGGTTTCAGTGCCTGTCCTTGTGTGGAGTCTCAGTTGTCACAATAGGAGGGCATTCCTTCCACCAGTTTTGCTGTGAAGACCAGTGCTCGACGCTAGACCAGCAGCATTGAATCAACAGCAGCCATGTCACATAATGATCTTTTAGTCAGTGGCTGACTGCGTGTGAGCCAGTGGCTGCACCATTCAGCCTAGGTATATAGGGCTACACCATCTGGGATTGTGTAAGACACTCTGCCATGTTCACAGTACAAACAGCCTAATGACACAATGCTTAGAACATATCCCCGTCATTTATCAATGCATAACTGTACCTCTCACTATCTTTCAGATATATACAACCTAGGAAAACGGTATTTGGGGGAAAATTGCCTACAGATGATGTAATACATCTTTCCTTTTACAACATTAAACCAGTCCCAGGATTAAGGCAGATTGTCTGAAGTCATATACCTGGGTAGCATCATGTGACCCGGTGGAATTGGTTGTCTAGAATACCAAGGGCCTATTCTATTTGAGAGCATTATAAAAAATAACTCCATGAAACTTGTTGCTGTACTTACTTGAAAGATATTGTTGATGAAGTCTATTCATTTAGCAAATATTTACCAACTGCCTACTACACTCCAAGCACTGTTGGAGGTAGAAGGGAAAAAACAAGGAACAATACAGAGAAAGCCCCACTCTCATGGAGCTTACTGTAGAGCAAAGGGAGGCCATCAGTGCTGATAAATTCCAGGTCCAGACCAAGGGAGAAAACTGGAGCAGGGTGAGGGGTAGGGACTGATTGGAGTGGGATAGACACACCAAGTGGTCAGGGAAAGTCTCTATTAAGGTGGTATTTGGTCAGAGGCCTAAATAAAGTAAAGGAGTCAGGCAGTAGTCTGGGAAGAATATTCCAGAGGGATCAGTAGATGTGAAAGCCTTGAGGCTGGACAGAGCCTTGCCTGATCACAGAACAGCGAAGAATCAGCAATGAGACGGTGGTAGGAGATAATCCAAAAGAGGAAGAGGGGACAATCTTGTAAGGCCTTAAAGGCCATGGTGTGGATTTGGGATTTCATTCCGAGTGTATATTGGAGTTCTAGAGAGTATTAAGCAGAGAAAAAGACATGACCAATGTTATTTTAGAAGGATGGCTCTTGAACACAGTTTAAGGAACAAGGATGGAAGCAGGGCAATAGTAAGGAGCTCCTGTGAGAAAGGAGGGTGGCTTAGACCCAGAGAGCTATGATGGGGTTGGAGACAAGTGGCCAGATGCTGGATGTATTTTGAAGACAAACCACTCTGAATTTTTAATAATAAGTATAATAATTATCCTCAATTTTCACCTCTCTAAAATAGAGGTAATAATAGGTACCTGTAATTAAACTACAAGAATATGTAAAGTGCATAAAACAGTGCCTGACTAGTGTGAGCCCTCTGTGTTAATTGCTAATATTAGTATTTTCATCATCATGATTGTGAGTTGGATGTAGGATGTGAGGGGGAAATTGGGGTGACTAAGATTCTTGTTCTGAGCATACTGGTAATATGGAATTGTATTTTACTGAGACAAGGAAAATTGTAGGAAGTTTTCACTGTGTTGGGAATTCATGTGGTTTAACATTTTTTCTTTTTCTTTTTATTTTTCTTTGCTCTATAAAATAGCTATAAATTAGTTATAAATTAACAAATCAAGTAATTATTTAACAAGTAATTCTAACAAATTTGATCATGTAGTTCACACTTAGCATATTGATAGGTTAGAAAGTTGTTTTTACAAGCATGCGTTTGTAAAATTCTTCTTTAAAACACCAAATAGAGAAAACAAAAATCTTCTTTCCCAGAAAATAAAGCACTGTCATCTTTCTCACCTCACAGATGATCCAATCTCTCCCTACACGGGCTGGTTGTTGACTATTACAGAGACCAAACAGCCACAGCCCCTACCAATGCCGTGTACTGGAGGATGCTGGGCCCCCTGGTTGACTATCTCCCAGACCATCACCCACGGGGGCCACTGCATAGGTAAGCAGCAGATGTGGGTGGACGGAAGCAATCACTTAGCTTTGACCATACTTCTCTAACCTAGGAGAAGGAAAAAACCTATCCCAGGTCCCACCGAGTGACTTTTCAAGTCACCCAGCAATTAAATAATCACCACTACAAAAAAGCTGCCTTCTGGCCCTTTGAGTTTTCCCTGGTGTCATCTTGATGTGCGTATGCATTGCGTGATGAATTTTAAACAGTGCACAACTCAAGAGAGGGACTCGTCTTTAGCTTGTCCTACCCCTCAGCAGTCGCTACCTGTGACTAGTGGACTCTAGTATGGAACACTAATATTGAAGCACTGAGTTGATGAGAAAAAAACTGGAAGTAGAACTATCGAGTTCATTAGAGAAAGACACAATTGGAATCCTTCAAGCCAGGCATGTTGGGTAAACCTGTAATCCCAGCACTTGCAGGCTTGTGATTTGAGGGCCAGCTTGGGCTACATAGTGAACTCTGTCTCAAAATCTATACATAGTGAAACTCTTTCTCAAATATAATATATATATAATATATTTGATCCTTCAGTAAGAGGAAGATCCAGGAAGAGAACATCTCAGGAAGGAGGAATGCAAGTGACATCAAATGCTATGGAAGGTCAAGAACAGCCCATCTCTCACATTTTTATGAGAACATTTTTTTAAAGAAAAATAAACTTTTATTTTTTCCTAAGCCCAGCTTTTTATGTTGATAACCCAGACAATAACAAAGAAAACCAAACATTCTTTTAACATTTCCTGCAGCCATCTGGGAATCTTTACTATCTGTGGAATCTAAAGAAGGTTAACATTTTGTTTTATGCTAAGACATTCACTGTTTTTGTTCCAGGTTTGGACCATTACCGGCATTGAAGTCTTTGAGCACAGCAAAAAATTACTTCTTCACCTCCTGATTGCCCTGTCCTGCAACAGCAGTTTTCATGCCATTGCTTCTGTGCTCCTGCAGACCGAGAGATGGGGAAGCCAAGACTCTAACGTGAGCCAGCCTACCAGCCGGAATACCTCACACAGGTAACAGAAGGAATGGCAGGCAGCCTGAGACAGGGTCACAAATGGGAAGATAAGAGAATGCGTCAGTGGAGCCCAAGTGAACTTACCTTACACCCATTATCTCCAACTTTCCCATGCTAAAATAAAGCGTGATGGTATCACACCATCTCACCAATGCGAAATTGCCTTTTAAAAGCCTTTCAGTATTAACTGCTTTTAAATTGTTTTCATTCATATATTTTGGAAATTTCTGCTCTCATTGAATATGTTTCCATTGATGCATCAGAATTAATATCTTTTCATTAGTCAAGAGGGCTGGGGGCATGGCTCAAGTGGCAGAGCACCTGCCTGGAAAAGCAGGAGGCCCTGAGTTTCAAATCCTAGTTACTGCCAAAAAAAAAAAAAAAACTAGTAAACTCAAGAATACTGAAGGATGATGATAAGATAAGAAGAAGAGTGATTGTCTCCCTACCCAAACAGGTCACAGCAAGGGTCATTGTATGTTTGTATGCCTTCTGGTTCCCCTGAGAAAATGCTCATTTTATTGAATGATTGACTGTTTCCTCAAAGGCGCTTTTTAAAATAAGAGCTTATTAAAAACATTTGCGTTTGGAATCTAGAAGTTTTCTTCTCAGAGTGGGAAAAGAAGGCTCTAATTGAGTCAAAGCAATTACTCTGCTGTGTCATACTGTGGAAAGTGGCCTTAGATTTTCACTATGGAAGTCATTGGTGTAGATACTCACAAAACTTTTCCCAAAGGGGCTGGAGTGGCAAGAAGTAGAGCACCTGCCTACCAGCAGTACCAGCAAAGAAAAATAACCTTTCCCAAAATGTTGGCCAGTGGTTTTTATTTAGAACAGTAATATCTCAAAATATTCTTAAAATGATGATGAATATTACCAGCTAACAGAAAAGGGCTACTTTCTCTTACCTATTTGTTTACACATTATATTAGCGCTAGATTTTTATTACTTTAGGAAGGAAGGATGTACTTTCGTTCATCACTGGTACTCGGCTCTGCTTGTTTTCTAAAGGAAAACATTTATTGGAAAATGAATATGAAGTCATGGTTAACTCAGATGTAAGGCCCACTGACATCCATTGAAGTTCTTATTTTGAGCCAAGCTACTCTTCACTGAAAATAACCATCAGTAGCCTACAAGAGACACAGAACTCTCTTTACAATAGATGTTTAGGTAAAAGACTATGAAGAATTCTAGTTTTTCAACTCTACAGGATAAGGATGTATTCTATTACATATGTGTGACTTAGGCTGAGAAAACTGTAATGTCTGTTAAATGGTGTATCTCCAAGTGTCAGTTTCCATTCATATATACCACTGATGTTTCTAGAAAATGACTTAGAGTAGGCATTTACAAAAAGACAAAACATGCACACATACCATAGGCAAGACTAATAGCAGCTAAAAGACTGACTGTCACAATAGGGAATAGGTTTACAGAGTATGGGAAATGTCCCTTTTCATAAATAATCACTGAGCACCTAGTTTCACTATAAGTTGTTTTCAAATCCATAATAAAGACTATGTGATAGAAATTATTGTCCTTACCTTATTATAATAGAAAAGTAAGGTAGAGAATTAATAAACTCTGAGGTTTACACTGAAAGCAGCAGAGATGCTATTAAAACCAGGACTCAGCCAGGTACTGGAGGTCATGTCTGTAATCTTAGCTATTCAGGAGACAGCAGTAAAGAAGATCAAGGTTCAAGGCCAGCCTGGGTAAATAGTTCACAAGACCCTATCCAAATATCCAACACAAAAAAAAAGGGTTGGCAGAATGGCTCAAGTGTAGAGTGCCTGCTAGGCAAGTGTGAGGGCCTGAGTTCAAACCCCAGTACCACCAAAAAGAACAACAACAACAACAAAAAAGAATTCTTCACTAATTCACTGTGTCCATCAGACACAGTGACTATATACCTTTTATGATTATTAAAAAGAGAAAAAGAGATGATTGCAAGAAAACATTTTCCAACCCATAGCATAGCTACAGATATAGAGTGTTAACCAAATATATAGTAAAAAAAATTGCTTATATTTCTTTGAATACTATGCAATATAGTTTATTAGAATAAATTAATATGAGGCTTATGGTTTAGAACACTAGAAGCATGTACAGTGCCCTGGATTCGGTTCCCCACACCACTGTATCTGTTTACACATACACACACACAAGTACAAGCTTCTAGGCATATTTACTAAAAACATTAATTAAAACTTTTTAATTAGTCATTAAGTACTGGTATCTTGGGAGGGGGTGGAGGCAGGGGGCAGAAATGACCCAAGCCTTGTATGCACATATGAATAATAAAAGAAAAAAAAAAGTACTGGTATCTTCGTATGTTTAAATTGTCTAACACATAGGAATAATTTGTTAACAGCACAGTTAGTGGTTGACCTGTCACTGTTGAACTGTTCCTTGGTCTGGCCTGTGTATGCATGAAACACACATATATACCTCCCTTTTATGAAACCATCCACTCAAACCCCAGTGTTGAAAACAGCAGATCCACCCCTATTCCCAGCATGCATGCTGGTTTACACAGAAGAGCAACTGAATCCATAAGCAAAGAAAAACTGGCTGTCTTGTTTAATCATAGCCCACCCAAATCAAGTATTTCCCCTCCCAAACTTAAATAACTTGTTACTGCTGTGTGTTCCCCCAGGCCTTCTTGAACATGCTGACAAGCACCTGTTAGCACATCCCTCATTAACCTTCTCCTCCCACCAGGTGGTTTGACTTCCTGAGAGAGGACCAGTCACCCGTGCCAGACTCAGGGTTGAGCTCCAGTTCCACCTCCTCCAGCATCAGTCTGGGAGGCAGCAGTGGAAACCTCCCACAGATGACCCAAGAGGTAGAAGATGTGGACACAGCTGCTGAAACAGATGAGAAGCAAATAAGCTCATTGAGTTTCTGACAACCAGGTAATGAAGGGTCAGGAGTCATGCTGCTGTTTTCAAGTCGGTCTTCTGAAAAAGTGCCAACACTTTAAACCACACAGGCAGAAAAGTGATTCTGGAATTCTGACAAAGTCCTTTTTCCCCTTCTCTCATGGATCTGCTGAAGTCTGTGTAAAAGGCAAATGCTGGTAGACGTTGTCATAGATCCAACAAGAGATGGTTGATGAGCAAGGAGATTTCACAAAAAAAAAAAAAAAAAAAAAGATAATATTTTTTCAAACCCCAGAACCACAAAAAAAAAAAGTTTTATAACCTTGAGATGAGATGTACCACCAAATTAACTAGGAGAGTTTTTTAAAAAATAGATTGGAGGCAGAACTTCATGTGTGCTTTTAAAAATGCAAAATGACTGATATTTTTGACATTTTGTGTGTTTTGTTTAAGGGCATTCGGTCCACTCTGGTGCCATGAAGACTTACACCAAAAATCAAAATTCAAAGAGTGCTGAACAACTGACTAACTTTCTGCGTCACGTCGTATCTGTATTTAAAGATTCCAAGTCAGGTACTTCCTCCTGTTTTCCCAAATCCCTCTGTCAGCATTTTTCTGTTGTGGGGTCACTCTTTTATGATGAGACATATAATGTAGTCCTGACACTCAATAGCTGGGGCATAAGCACATTCAGAGCAGAGTTTTGAAGTTTGTTTCAGGTGCTGCCTAAATGAATGGTAGTTAACTGAGTGATGGTGCCTTCTCTATTGCATTCTGTTCTGTTAAATATATTTCCCTCATCTTGTTTGTTCCAGTGCTCTGTTTTTAAAACCTTACCTTTAGTTAAACTGTACATAATATTAATTTTATCTAAAGAAAAACCAAGACATAGATTTTGTTAATTGACTGTCATCAGTCTCAACTGTGGAAATGACTGGTTGAAATGATCAAACAGTACAGCTGCCTATAATCCCAGCTACTTGGGAGGCTGAGATCTGGAGATGAGGTGGTGTGAGGCCAGTCTGGACAAATAGTTCACAAGACCTCATCTCCAAAATAACCACAGCAAAATGGATCAAAAGACTGACTCAAGAATAGAGTGCCTGGTTTGCAAGTGCAAAGCCCTGAGTTCAGAACCAAGTCACACCAAAATAAAAGAAAAGAAAATAATCAAAACTGGTTTAAAAAATAAATAATAATATGTAATATGAAGCTGGACTGTAGCTCAGAGAGAGTCTCTTGCCTGGAATGTTGAGTCCCTGGGTTCATTGCCGCTACCAACATTTAATTTTAATTGATTAATTAATTAAATAATAAAAGAATTTGTAGATAACATGTTTCGGCTTTAGAAGTGTTTGCTAGCACTTCCTAGTACAAATATGGCCATCAGTTTCTGAACACAGGGATGATCCCATATCAGGAACTCATAGCAGTCTCATAGTATGTAAATGTTTGCCAAGCCAGCTGAGATCGCCTTCAGATCCAGGCTCAGCTTGCTGATTTTGTGTGCATAATATTAAAACTTGGTTCCTCAACATTGAACGTGAAAACTGTCTCTATCTTTTCCCTCACACCAGTGCGGCAACATTAAATCCAGGCTCACTTGCTTTTCCCATCTGCTCTGAGATTAACGTGATTTTCCTGAAACTTTAGAAAACATTCCAGGGCTAGCCACATCTCTTCATAAGAAATACTGGGCTGGAGTGGGCGGCCTTAGCAGTAGTAGCAGCCCCTGCATCACAATCAAAGCCCTAAGTTCAAAACCCCACAAACCACCCCCAAAAAATATATTATTAACTGAAGAAATACTAATATGCTGAAATAGTAGTCATTTCAGAAATAGGATTGCCATCTTTCTTGTTTTGAGTTTTCCCCTTTGGAATGTTATTTAAATAATTTAGACCTCAAAATTCACTTAATTGAACACAACCCAAAGGACCATCAATTTATTTGCTAGGTAGGTAGTCTAAAACTTGAGTCATCCCTCCATATCTATGGTTTAATGTGAGCCACCATTAATTATCTAAAACCTTTGATATCGTGTGAAGATTATAATGATAAAGTGTACAAATGCCTCATACTTAATGCTGAGGGTACATCAAACTACTTAAAATCAAAGTCGTTCTCTTTATACCTCCATCATGCTATTGTTACCTATTCTGCTTTGTTCACATGCCACTCTCAGCCTCGTTTTGCTGTACACACACAAGGAAAGCCGTGTGGATTAGTCAGGAGCGCATGGCTGCTGTAACATACAAGCCACAGAGCTCAGAGCTTAACACATCGATGGTTTTTCCTGGATCAGGTGCTTCAGGGACCCTGCAACCTTGGCCCTCTGCCTCCAGCCAGCAGTTGGAGGAAGAGACGGTGAGAGGAGGGGTACTCAGGGTGTTTCCAGGCCAGGTCTGAAAAGGGCACCTAGTGCTGCTCCCCACATTCCACAGGCCAGAGTGCAGGCACCTAGACACACCTCACTGTAAGAAAGGCTGGGAACTGAGGACTTGCTGTGTGGCTGGGGAGAAAAGGAGCCTTATTCTTATCCCAGAGGACAACGTCAGAGTAGTAAAATGTGTTAAAGTCACAAAAGACATGAAACAACACTAATTCATAAGTTGCAAACTGCCTATATGGATTTCATCCTCAATTTCCCATCTTAAATATGTACAAATATGAAGATAATAATAACACGTTTGTGAGCGCACATTATCTGTCAGACTTGATACTGGGCCACTTTATAAGTAGTTTAATTTTTCACAGCTATGTGAAACGGATGCTATTGTTTCCAAGTTGAAGAGAAGGAAAGAGCATCTTAGGCAACACATGTCTTTGCCAGAGTTTACAAAGACCCTAATTCAAAACTAGGAGCATCCTAGTTTTGTCTACCATGCATTGCTTCCCAAGATTTATCCAATATTTGCTTTTATTTATTTCATTTGTTTTTTATTTTAAAATGTTTCTGGATTTTTTTGTTTTATTTCTTGTTTGTCTGTTTGTTTTTTGTATGGGGGTCTCAGTACATTGACCACGCTGCCCCTGAACTCCTGGGTTCATATTACTCTCCTGTCTCAACCTCCTGAGTAGCTGGGCACGTGCTACTGTGCCCAGCTTAAAAATGACGGATTTTTTTTTTTTTTTTTGCGACACTAGGGTTTGAACTCAGGGCCTAAACCTTGAGCCACTCCACCAGCCCTTTTTTGTGATGGGTTTTTTCAAGATAGGGTCTCATGAACTATTTGCTTAGGCTGGCTTTGAACCACAATCTTCCTGATCTCTACCTCCTGAGTGGCTAGGATTACAGTCGTGAGCCACTAGCACCAGGCCAAAATGACTGATTGTTAACAAAGTGCCACCACTGGGTAGCTGTGCACTGTGAGCCTGTTTTAAACCTGCAGGGGACTTTGATGCCCCATTTTCAGCACAGAGACTGACCTGTTCTTTGGCTCTTCTGGCCCTAGGTTTCCATTTGGAGCAACACTTGAGTGAAGTCGCCCTGCAGACAGCCCTTGCCAGCTCTTCCAGGCACTATGCTGGTCGTCCTTCCAGATATTCCGGGCCCTCAAGCAACCCCTGTCAGCTCACGCCTTGTCCGATGTGCTGTCCAGATTGGTGGAGGTGATTGGAGAGCACGGAGATGAGATTCAGGTACGGGAGGAAAGGCCTGTGCTCACAGAGGCTGAGCTGTCATTTCCAAAGGGAAGTGAGCCTTCTTTTTCTCACTAGTTACTCCATCCATTTGAGCAATTTATTTTAAAAACTTTTAAAAGGTGACTTTAATATTTCCAAAAGTCCTCCACAGGCAGTGTTGGAATAATTCAATGGATGCTATTCTGTTTTATAAAACAAACACTGAAAATCGTTTTGTGGCTCCTTTTTTTGTGTGGGACTGGAATTTGAACTCAGGGCTGTGTGTGCTTGCAAAGCAGGCACTCCACGGCTTGAGCCACACCTCCAGTCCATTTTGCTCTGGTTATTTTGGAGATGGGAGTCTCATGAACTATTTGCCTTGAATTGCTATCCTCCTGATCCCATCCTCCCAAGTAGCTAAGATACAAAGCATGAGCCACCAGTGTCCTGCTTTCCTTTCTCATTTTTGTTGTTGGTTTTAGTTAGTGGAGAGTGGGTTATTTTATATTGTTTTAGGGTTTTTTGCCACCCACCAACGATGCAGTGATACAATATTCCAACCCAGAGCAGGGATCACCATTGTGTCTATGCAAAGCACCACTTCCCTGTACAGTCTGCCTTGAGTGGGAAAAGCTGAAGACAGTTGGAGAGTGATTTGCCACAGGCAGGCTCTATAGGGAAAAGCCCGGAACCTGGGTTGCTGAGCAAGTGGAAAGCCAAGGGCATTCCAGGGTCTGAGGCTTGGGCCAAGTCATTCTCCCACCAGCATGTTCCTGCATCTCAGAAGCCTGTGCACCTATAGGTTCTACTTTTTTCTTCTCCTGTGGCCATTAGAAACCTTCCTACTCCTCACATCGTAATCTCTACTTCCAGGCATCGTTGCTCTGTATTTCAGTTTCCCACCGGCTCCCTCAGCAAGAAGCCATGCTTCTCCCTCCCTTTTGGATCTCAGACCCAAGGAAATAAGTCCTTATGATTATCTGCTAACTCCTAAGCCATCAGAATTTCCTTACATTGCCCTTAAAATTTGTATTTAGGCTTTGTAAATTAATGTACCAATTGTCTAGCTTTCAGAAAAATTAGCATTGTTAGAATACAGTTTGCATTAATTAAATTTGTCTTTGGAAGTGAACAGTGACTATAAGCAGGACAAAATGTTATCTTTGTGTTTTGGCAGGGTTATGTAATGGAAGCGCTCCTGACTTTGGAAGCTGCAGTGGATAACTTGTCTGAGTGCTTGAAGAATAGTGATCTCTTAACTGTGTTATCTCGGTGAGAATCATTTTGCTGAAATATTTGGAAGATGCTGGACTTTGGGGCAGAGTACAAAGAACAAATTTAGTTTTTGAAGTATATTTATGACTTAAAAAGTGTGTATGGTATTTTCTTAAGTTTAAAAAAAAAAAAGGAAGACAGTGGGGCATGCTGGCCATGCCTGTAATCCCAGCACTCAGGAGGCTGAGGTAGGAGCACCAAGAGTTTGAGGCCAGCCGAGGCTATATAGCAAGTTCAAGTCCAACCTGAGCAACACAGGGAGATCTTGTTTCAAAAACAGCAGTGTTGGCACACGCCTAAAATCTCAGCTACTTGAGAGGCAGGAATAGGAGAATGGAGGCTCAAGGCTAACCCAAGCCAAAAAGAAAAAAAAAAAAATAGTGAGACTCTCTCAAAAACAAGTCAGGCATGGTTGTGCACACTTGTAATCCCCACACTTGGGAGACTAAAGCAGGAAAATCTCAAGTTTGAGGCCAGTCGGGAGTACAGAGCAAGATAGTCTCAAAGGCAAAAAAAGAAAATTATAATGCAGGTAAGCTGTAAGGACTTTACAATTTCGAGGCGGGAAGAACATGTGCTGGCACACACCAAGAAGGCAGAGGCAGGGAGATCATGAACTAATCAGTAGACAGACACCAAATATTACCTCCACATGAAACACATAATGATTTTTCAGTTTCTAGTTTTTGTCCTTGAGTATTTTTTTTAATTATGTAATGATTTATCCTATTTCTGACATTGGTGAATACAAGCTAAAACTGTGTATCATTTTTAAATGAATATATACAAAGTTCACTAAACCATTTCTACAAAAACAGTTGGAAAAATGTTGACTTAAATTCCACCTTGAGATCTTTTTTTTTTCACTTCTGCCAGTGTTTTAAAGACCTATTTGAAATTATTTATGATTCCCTGTTTGTATAATTGAGCTCATCTTGAATTGAATCAGTAAAGTTATGTCCTTGTGGGCCTTGTTTTATTTTTAGTTTGAGCACTTTCTAGTAATTTTTATATAATTATTAACATCTCTATGAACCTGCAGACTTACCTAAGTCAGTAAAATTTAGCAAGAATGCGGATATTTTAATCTTTTCAGCATGAGTAAATTTAGAAATTATTTTTCATAAATCTTAAAGTATAAAAAAAGTTCTTTGGCATGAATATTTATTAATTTTTTTCTAGATAATATCATTTCTTATCCATTAAACAGAATTTTAAGTTCATGCACATTATTTCTTTCATAATTATACTTGTTAGAATTAAAAAAGGAAAAAAAATCATGAAAGCTCAGTATACTGCTGATTTTTTAGGTTTTCAGTTAGGTGGAACTCAGAACTGGGTTTTGTTTTTGTTTTGTTAAGAAGGTTGTTCTTTTTTTTCTTTGTGGTACTGGGGATTAAACCCAGGGCCCACGCCTTGGGGTGGACTCACCATTTGAGCCATGCCCCCTGCCCTTTGGTTTGTATTCTGTTTCTGAGATTGGGTCTCAGTAACTTTGTCCAGGCTATCCTCAAACTCAGGCATCTCCTACCTCAGGCTCCTGAGTAGCTGGCTTACAGGAAAGAACCGCCACACCCAACTGAGATGGTTGTTCTTTTTTGGTGGTACTGGGTTTGAACTCAAGGCCTCATACTTGCTAGGCAGGTGCTCTACCACTTGAGCCACTCCACCAGCCGTTTTTTTGTGTTGGATTTTTGAGATAAGGTCTCAGGAACTATTGGCCTGAGTAGCTAGGATTACAGGAGTGAGCCATCAGCATACGGTCAAGACAGCTGTTCTTGATAAGGTTTTTTCATAGCTATAAGTTTAAGGCTTAAGAAAAGGGAAAATTAATAGAAAGTAGTTTCCAAAGAAGATGATTTCAAATTGGCTTTTCAGCTAAGCCTGCTGATATTCTACTGAACTTAACTATTTTTACCCCAGCTCTTCATCACCAGATTTAAGCTCTAGCACTAAACTAACAGCAAGCAGGAAGAGCACAGGACAACTAAATGTGAACCCCGGAACTACCAGCGGCAATACCACGACTGCAGAACGGAGCCGGCATCAAAAGAAGCTTCTCCGTGCCCAAGAAATTTGGTGTTATTGACCGATCCTCAGACCCACCTCGAAGTGCCACACTGGACAGAATTCAGGCTTGTACCCAACAGGGCCTCTCCTCAAAAACCAGAAGCAACTCCTCCTTGAAGGACAGTCTCACGGACCCATCCCACATCAACCATCCCACTAACCTGTTGGCCACCATTTTCTGGGTGACTGTGGCCTTGATGGAATCTGACTTTGAGTTTGAATACCTGATGGCCTTAAGGCTGTTGAATAGACTCCTGGAGCATATGCCGCTGGATAAGGCTGAGAACCGGGACAAACTCGAGAAACTCCAGGCACAGCTCCAGTGGGCTGACTTCTCTGGGTTGCAGCAGCTGCTGAAAGGGTTCACATCCCTCACCACCACAGACCTCACCCTGCAGCTTTTCAGCCTGTTGACCCCTGTGTCCAAAGTGTCCATGGTGGACTCGTCCCAAGCTATTGGTAAGGCCAACCAACATCGTCACTTGTGCAGTCTGCTGGAGGTTGTGTTCATTCCTCAGTGTAATTAGATAATATGGACTTAGATGCTTTTACTAATTCTGCTACTAACTGGTTCTTTGGGGTGGTTTGTTTTTTCTTTTCAATTCTATATCATGGGGCGGGGATGTAACTCAGTGGCAGAGTACTTGCCTAGCATGAATGAGACCTGGATTTGATCCCTAGTACTGAAAAAAAATCTATTATGTATTCTTATTTATATTATATGCAATATTTTTAAGGCAATAATTAAAATGGGCAGAATTTGTATAAGATATTAATGATTTCTTTGTTTTTCAGGTCAAAGTGAAGGTACTATTAATTTATTTCATTGCTCTTATACAGGCTTTTTTTCTTAATTTCCAAATCTTTTATTTTTTTCTATACCTTTTCTTTTCCTCTTAAAAAAAAGGAAGGCTTTTTTTAAAGCCTTGGAGGCTAATTGGGAGGCTACCTGGAGGCATGAGATTAGGAGGATCACAGTTTGAGGTCAGCCCAGGCAAATAGTTCATGAGCCCAATCTCCAAAATAGCCAGAGCAAAATGGGACTGGAAGTGTGGCTCAAACAGCAGAGACCTGCTTTGCAAGCGTGAAGCCCTGAGTTCAAATCTCCATCCCCTACCGAAAAAAATGATTGGTTTCCTGTATATTTTAAATTAAGCCAAATAAAACACACCAGAACTTTACATTATACCATGGCAAATAAGTACAGAAATTCAATCTTCATGAACTAGATTTTTACCCAGGTAACCAAATCATTTCTTCATCATTTTAAACTATGTGACCAAGATTTAAATTGGGTTGGCGTTGCTGCATATCCCACACCGTTTTTCTTAAAAATGATTTTTTTTAGTAAAAATTTCAAACAAGTGCTCAACTTAGTTGAGTCTCGCCAATAAAATCTATTTACATAATCCTTATTCACACAACAGTCCACAGCAAAGATGACCTCTGAGTGTTATAAAACCGCAAGTCCACTTCAGTGCCTTTTTGCCTTCAGTGTCATTGTGGTTATATTTTTTTCGTGGATTTTGTATTTAATCATATTTTAACTGCTTGCAAAGACTCGATTTACATTAGTCTGAAATAAAATCTATGGCATGCCTTCCATTGTCACAGTCTGAAAAGTACCATAGTCGCCACATCCCCGTTGTCTTCTTCTCTAATCCAGGGTTTCCACTGAATGGTCTTGTGTCTCCTGCCTCAACTGATCCAGCATTTCGAAAAATCCCAATCAGTTCTGCTAAGGTATACTGAAAGGATTGCTCAGGTATGTGTTACAGTTCCATACCTGGGCAAGGCATTTGGACCTATTGGGAAGGCCCAGGTGTCAGACAGAAATTACCAGGCCCAGTGAAAGCAAAGTTTTTTTCAAAAACTGTTATCACTAATAATGGACATTTCTGAGTATTCAGTGCTAACTGTCTTCCTTGCTTTCGTTTTTAAGAAAAAACAAGGAGAGGAGAAATTTGTGAAAAAGCATTATATTAAGCTAATTACTAAGCTAGAAGCTACAAAAAAGTATCAATGTGCTTTCCAGACTGTCAGACAATATAGCAAGGTTGCTTACACTTCATCTTATTCATTGGAGTACTTTTGTCCCTAATTGGTTCTCTTATCTTAAAAGGTTTGTTTGGAAGAGAAAACCCCCAAGCATCGTTCTAACATCTTGCACATGTTATGACTCTTACTTTCACAACACACAGCTAACCACAGGGACTGATGCCCACATGGGGATCAAATGTGGTCATTGCGATATCTTCACTGAAAGCATACCGCCAAACATTTAACACATTAACACATAGGTCACCTAGCCTACGGCAGAAGGTAAGCTTTTCAACATTTGTAGGAGTAACAATCTCATACGGCATCCTATCTGGCGTAAACTACTTTTACAAAAGAGACTGCTACCATAGGCGCACTCGATTAATTGCGAGGAGGTACACCTGCACTGTCGTTATGGATTAATCCACAATGACCACCCTGATACTTATTAATGTATGAAAGCGAATTCAAAAAAGCTACTAATTTTTTAAAAGCCTATTCATAAGTTCTCACTCCTGTCTACTTTGCGGGATACATCACCCTCCACCCAGCTACACACCAAACCCCATCACGTCCCCACCACCCACCCACGGCACAACCGCCCACCAGGGACCAACTACACAACAAACCGTTCACACCACCACCCACACATAATCCGTACACTTCCCGCGAAAGCGCCCACCACTCCCGTACAACACTCATCCACACACCAGGACACACCCCAAACAACCACGCCTATACGGCCCACGCCCGTGACCAACACCCATCCATACGCGCGCACTCGACAACGCACAAACCTAGGCAACAACACCATGCCACCGCGATACGCCACAAAATCATGTTACGAACATAGATCCCACAACCCAACTAAGCACCCGAACACCAGATCTGCACGGCCGACCAGACCCCCGCGACAGCGACGACGCCAATGCCACACACATGTACCCTACAGGTCGTTGCTCCCATTACCCTCCAACACCAAGAAGTACTCGGAAAGTTCCAACCACCATAAATCCACTGCTTTACAAAGGCAGTGATAATCAATTGCTGTCATTCAAAGAAAGTAAGGGGTATGAACAGCAAGGAAGGCAACATACTTGTTTAGGAAATTCAGTCATATATAATGTTTTAACACTGTAAAACCTGGATCATGACTTGATACACATTCACAATTGGGATATTATTCACAGTTCAAAAAGGAAGAGCAATTCTGAGACACCACTTGCCACATCACAAGATGAGCCTAAGGACACCATGAATGCAAAGTGAAATAACCAGACGCAGAAAGGGCAACTGATTCATACAATTCCACTTACACGAGGTACATAGAGGAGAAAATTTATGCAGACAGAAAGCAGAGCGACAGTCACCAGGAGCTAGTGACAGTAATGGACAGTTATCTTAGAGTGCCTGATTTTCAGTGTGGAATGATGGGCAAGTTCTGGAAGGAGATGGTGGTGACGGCTCCAAGGTGGAAGTGTACCGAATGTCGCTGAATTATAACCCAAATGGTTAAATGGTATAATTTTTACCACAAAAAATATTAAAACAGGTACCTGATTGCTCTATTAGCCTTATACAGCTTTTCACTGAAAATTCATGTAACTTACCCAACTTCCTACGATTATATAATATATGTTAACTTCTATTTCAGTTAGTCACATGTGCATGCCCATGCACAATATATTATAATGTATAATTGTTGTGTGGGTATTCCCCTTGAACCTGCTCTGTTCACTTAGTATTAACTTTGTGTATGTGTTTCCATGTGTTGATGTAACTCATCGGGTGATGTTTTCAATTGACTGGAATTCTGTAGGTTAATGTAACACTTTGCTTAATATCTCCATTTTGCTGATTACATTTTGTTTTCTATTACAAGAGGTCTGTTAATGTGGATTTGTTTTTTTGTACTGGGGTCTTGCACTTGCTAAGCAAGCACTTTACCACTTGAGCAAGACCTATGTTGACCTTTTATCAAGTGACGGTTGATGTTTTATCAAAAGATCATTTATTTTACCAATATTATTTTACTAATATCAAATGATCCCATTTCCCAAAATGGAACTATCCAGTCCAAGGGCATAGATATGTGGATGTTATTTAGTTAGTACACTTGAGAAATTGGTCTTTACAAAGACTTTCTTAATTTATAATACTAAAATGATATGTGAATATTTTTGTTTCCCATGGCGCCAACAAATTTTGCCATTTCATTCCTTTTTTTCAGTTTAACACTTTTTAAAAATACTTTCAGATTCTTTTCTTTGTATTTCCTTTCTAGCAAAGATTGCCATTTTTTCCACACAGTAGATCTATGTAATTATCTATAATTGTCTACTTCCTTGTGTTCTAACTGCTCAGTTATTTCCCTTGATGACTTTTGATGTGGAATTTCAGCATTTACTTCAATCATTTCTACTCATTCTTTACTTTGAACAGTAATGTTTATCCTGATGCCTATCTACATATTTTTCATTATTTTATTTTTTTTTGGATAATATCATTGATTTTTTTTAGTTATAAAAGCAGTATATGTTCACAACAGAAAATTTGGAATTGAAAAAAAAATGTAAAGGAAAGAAAAAATTATGGGAAATATATTATTTAAAGAGAAACACCTTCACCACTTGTGGAATATCCTTTTCCTAATCTCCTTACCAGACAATTATCAGTTTTAATCTTTTGCCAATTCGAAAATGACAAACTGTATCTTTTGTTTTGATTTGTAATTTCTGATTGTGTTGTTTGATGCTGTTCTTGAGGTTTATTTTCTTTTCTTTGGCATTAGAGTTTGAACTCAACACTTTGCACTTGCCATTGAGATTCATGGTGTGGACTTTATATTTGTGTCTTCAGACCTCCCATGTTGTCTTTGGTAGTGTCTTCGTTTTATCTGATAGTTAGGGTTTTCTCTCCCCTCCTAAGAGAGCATGCAGTGACAAAGCTATTGGAAAGCCTGGTGCTTTCTGTGGCAGTCTGGTTAGAGCTGACTCCAGCTGTCCTTTGTCTCCCAAAGCTGCTAGAAAAGGGTCTCCCAGCATGCAGCAGCCGCTCGGTGATCTACAGTTTGCTCAGCTACATGGACCTCTCCGTCGTTCCTGTCAAGCAGTTTAATGTGGAAGTTCTGAAGACCATTGAAAAATATGTACAGGTGAGTATTTGGTGTCTTCACTTCTCAGCAAAGCCATTCCAAAAAGACTGAGGCTTGGTACACATCCATGTGGGCCCAGAGCACACATTCATTTCTTGATGTCCATGTCACAGCCAGGCAGTTCAGCTGTTACTTGTCCTCACCCTGAGTGACATTCCGAAAAAAAAGAGCAAGGCCCTGGCACGATCATCACTTCAGAGGACACAGTTCTGCCTTGCAGGAGTCACAGGCTGGGTGTCAAAGCACATACCTGGCTGGGAGGGTGGGGGCAGGTCCTGTATCAGTGTCCCATTGTAAAGAAGGAGCATGAGTGTGCACTCACACATGCCAAGTTCCAGGCCAGAAAAGGTTCAACATAGCAAAGGTTACTCCACAGTTAAAAGCACCACTTTGGCATTGAGAAAACTAAGATGAAGAAACTTGCAGAAATGAACTTAAAAATACTCCAACAAACTAAAAAATGTTGGGGGAATAATTAAAGCAAAGTGAAAAAATGTGAATAATTAATGAAGAATACAAAGGGGAGCATTATGCTAGTCTCTGTTTCTGTTTATCTTAATATATTTCCATAACAAACAGCTCTGAAACGTGTAATAAAAACAATAACAAAAGCAAGAGACTGGCCACAAGAACGTCAGGTAGTGAAGAGTGGACCTAGTATTTGTACCTGGCTCCAAGGTCACTGGTGTTGTTTCATTTGTACATTTCAACCTGTCCCGCATGATACTTGGTGAACATCAACAAACACCTACAGATTGCTTCTTTAAAGACATAGCCTGAGACTATCAGGAAAAAATAAATGAAGATAAAAATCTAAAGCAGCACACAGACTAGAACAAGTTTCTAGAACCTCCATGGGGTTCCGTGGACAGGCCGTACTCAACAGCATAGATGCAATTTTTTCCCCACATCTTCTCAGTTCCTCTCTTTCTTTCTTGGTGAGTTGTAGAATTCAAGAGCAATGCTAGGCTTTCTCTGGTTAATCTCATTAACAAGCCATACCGTGTAAAATTTAGACATGCCTTTCCATCTTTACTTCACCAATCACATTGCTTAATTTTTTAATGCTAAAAGTGATTTCCTGTCTTTTTTTTTTTAAGTGACAGTTGTGCCACATGGTAGACATTCTGGCTCAGCACTCACAGGAGACAGGGGTCAGTTCACATCTGTCATCTGACAGTCTGTGGCCCATTTCCTTGTGGCATTAGGATGCATACGCTGCCTTAGGCCTTTAGGTCATCTCTGACACTTGATTTCATTTTCAAACTACAGTCTCCCCTGTATAGATTAACAGGGAAGGAAATATGTTATATTTATTGTATTATTGTTAAAAAAAAAGTAATAAGCACTTTTACCAAGTTCGTTTACTTATGTTCAGTGTTTTTGTGGAGAAACACCTCTCCCATAGGCACAGTCAGACTGGGGGTTGTCAGGGAAACTAAGATGGTAAAATAAACTGAGACTTAAAGGAAGAGAAGTAAGTTGGTGAGCAGAAGAAAGTCATTCCAAGGGAGACAACAGCACGAGGAAGAAAGACACAGAGGCCGAAGAGACCTTGCCTGGGTTAGGGAACTCCAGGTCCCTGCAGGCCCTGCTCAGGGTGAACTACACCCTGTCCACCTGAGGGAGCTCTTGAGGGTGGTTAGGCAGGGAGATGGTCTGAGGAATTCTAGAAAGGTCTCTGTGGCTGGATCTGAAGCCAGTTAAGAGGCCTTTGAAACAGTTCAGGCGGGGCCAGACTGGATTCAGCTGAATTTCAAGGAGGAATGAAGAGGAAGAAAAAATTATCGGAACAGGAGGTAGGAGAAAAGTTAGGAAGGGCTCCCGGGTTAGGTAATAAAGAAGATATGATGTAAGGAGAAAAAAAAGATCAAAATGCCCAAGAAACAAATGGGGCAGGAAGACCCAAAGAAGTAAAAAAGACCAGGCAAGACCAGAACCTGGAGGTGGGGAAAATTTTGAGAAAGAGTGAATGGTCCATAGCTCAACATTTTTAGGGTTTGGGTTTTTTGCTTATTTTCTTTTGTCAAAATAAGGAAGTGGATCCTTAGCAAAAATGGTACCTTGTAATTTTAAACTCTTACTTATTTGAACATTGACAAAATGGGTCTTTTTAACTGCTTGTTTCCTAAATGTAGTTCATTTTATTTACAAATGCTGTTTTTATATCATTTGCCTCTTTCTTGTCACAGAATTTCCTGCACGTTTTAAGTCAGTGAATTCTGACAGGTTGTAAGAATTTTCAGCAGTGGTACATTAGCTTTCAAAAATGAAATTATTTGTAACCCTTGGATGTTTTACTTCCTGTAGAGTGTTCATTGGAGAGAAGCTTTGAATATCTTGAAGCTGGTTGTTTCTCGATCAGCCAGCCTGGTGCTGCCTTCCTATCAGCACAGTGACCTCTCCAAGATAGAAATACACCGAGTATGGACCAGTGCATCCAAGGAACTGCCTGGAAAGACATTGGACTTCCACTTTGACATCTCAGAGGTGCCTGGCGGTGTTAACTGTGCCTGTGGGTTGAGGGTGCAAAGGTCAAAAGTAGAAAGAATAGAAGAGAAAGGAAGACTTTTTATACTTACTGTAAATGAAACTTCTAAGGTCTAAATTAGGTTCTGCTCTTAAGTAAATAGATTAAAAATTGGACTTTCAATTGGCAACTTTGAAAATAGAAACTAGACTTTTTTTTTTTTATTCTTAAAAATGGAATGCTTGAAAACATTTTAAACCATGACCCTAATCAGGTGTGATGGCACATGCCTGTAACCCTAGCACTCAAGAGACTGAGGCAGGAGAATTATGAGTTCCATGCCAGTTTGTGCTACAAAGTAAGACCCTATCTCAAAAAAATAAAAGATCTTCACTCATTATCTGACATCTGTCTCGTCATATCTGCCTGATTCCTGTCTGAGCTACCACCAGACTAGCAAATGTCTGAGATTTATAGCAGTATGAAATCCACCTTTATGGTGGTTCCCCAAAGCCACGTTACTTCTTAAATACATAAAACTAAGTTCTTATCTTAAGGAGAGATGGCTAGGGGCCCAAGCTAAGGAAACCAAGAGGAAAGAAAGTAGCATGGCCAAGCACTCAAGCCTGTAATCCTAGCTACTTGAGAGGTAGAGACCAGAGGATCATGGTTCAAGGCCAGCCAAGGCAATAAATTCACAAGATCCTATCTCAACCAATGACTGGACACAGTGCTGCACACCTGTTATCCCAGCTAAACAGGGAAGCATAAATAGGAGGATGGTGTATAGAGCCAGCCCAGGCATAAAGCCAGACCCTATCTCAAAAAATAACAAGAGCAAAAATGGCTAGAGGCTTGCTTAAGTGGTAGAGTGCTTGCCTAGCAAGCACAGTCCCCAAGTTCAACCTCCCCTCCATCCGCAACAGGACTGCCAAAAAAAGAAAGGGCAGAAAGTAGTAAAATTTGCCTGCTAGGCCCCAAGAGCAAACTTTTGAGCAGCCTGTACTTGAAATAACTTAGCTATCTTACCCCATGATATCTCACCTCCCCAAAGCAGAAACTGCACTCCGTTGATCTCGATGGTCAGAGCCTGGTGCTGTAGTGTCTGGTCCAAAGTATATCATTAGTATTTCCAAACCACTGAATGAATAAATTCACTAGGAAATAAACTGGATCTACTTATGTAGAACTTACTTGCACTGTAAAGGAGGTTATGTCAATGTTTTTGACACAACAGTATTCATTGACTTTTTATGCTTTCAATATATAGATGAGATATATTTTACTCCACTGGAGACCTGCATCTATATTTATTACATAAATGATATTAAGGTTTTAATCCAACCTTTGCCCATATTTAACTTTTTTTAATATTGCTGGGGAGATAGCTATTTTTACTTTTGACTTGAGTTTATTTTATTCCAAAAAAGGTACCAAAAATGTGTAACCAGTTAACTGCATCCCTCAACCCCCAGAGACCAAGAACTGGTCTACAGTAATGGGCCTTGGGAGCCAGGTATAAAATTACTAGTTAGTTTTCTGCCATTGCCAGGCCATGATTCGGTGTCTGTGGAGACCTTTTTGGGGCTAACATTTGGGAGGTGCTGCCTACACACACCACCACCTTCTAAGGCTCTCAGAAAGTGAAATTTCTAAGGTGTTACCCAAGTACTCAGCATGACCTCATCCATTTGAATAATTTAACACATATAAATAATTTTTAAATAATTGAGAGCATATAAAGAGCAATGATTAAAGGTTGGCAGGAAGAGAAGGAATTTTAGTCTTTTGTTCTAAAAAAATCTTTCAAGAAAATATCTGAAAATGGACCTTTGCTGTGTGTTTTGCTTCTAGTCATTATCAGTGCTCTCTAAAGCATATTGAAAAACAAGACCTTTGCTGTGTGTTTTGCTTCTAGTCATTATCAGTGCTCTCTAAGCATATTGAAAAACAAGTCACTGGATTTGTTTCCTGCTACTAAAAAGAGTGGGAAAATATTGCAGATGCAGAATGATTCCAAATGCGTATTTGAACATTGACAAAAATGAGCCTATGTGTAACCTTGAACACTCTGATCTGACTTTTAATCACATAGCAGTTCTCAGTTGCTTTGGGGTAGAAAGGTCCATATACTACAGAACTATGAATGAAACAAAACAATGTGTATTTTGTATTCCTCTCTCAAGACACATCATCGGGAGGAGATATGATGAGCTACAGAGTTCTTCTGGGCGGGATGGAAAGCTAGGGCCATGGCTGTCACCCGGAGCACATCGTCCACTTCTTCAGGCTCCAACTCCAATGTTCTTGTACCTGTAAGCTGGAAAAGACCCCAGTATTCCCAGGTATCTGGTTCTAGATTTGCAGCATTGGAAGGGTGTTTAGGGACCTACAGAGCCCAACTATCCATGTGGATCCCTCTGTTCACTGCAACATTGACCCCTCTAGAGAGATGCCAGAAGCACTGAGGTCTTTGGGCATCCAGGGGCATTTGTTCTGTCTTTTGACTGCTCACTATGTGAAGTTAATTCTGACTCTTTGTTGCTTCTACCATTGGTTTCTAGTTCTTTTAAGGATTAGAAAACAAAAGGTGATTGACCTTAAATGTGTCAGCATGTCAAATATTAAAGAAATCCTACCCTTCTGCACTCACCAATGAGTCCTTATTTCTCCAAATAATATGTCCACAGTTCTGCCAACCAGTTCTGTATAGCTCAGCCTCCCTCAGTACAAACGCAATGTGAGCTTCAATCTATTTAGTCTTGTAATAGTCACTTAAATTAAAAAGTAAAAAGAAAAGGCAAAACTAATTTTAAATAACATTTTACTTAACCTTAAAATCTAAAAATATTATTATTTGAACATGTTATCTGTTATTTTACAATAATTGAAGAGCTGTTTTGTATTCTTTTTTGCATTACCAAGTCTTCTGTATTTTATATTCTCAATTCTCAGTGGCCATTATTTCAAGCACAGCTACCTGCTAGTGGGTAGGGCAGAATTTTCCCATAGGACCCCCGTAATAAAAAACTTGCCTGTGTTACTTTTTTCAAGAAAAGAACAAAAGAGAAGTTGGTGCACGTCCTTTCTTTGTGTGGCCAAGAAGTAGGATTAAGCAAAAACCCATCTGTAAGTTCTACACGTGTCACAATTATTTGGTATCTCTCTCTTTTGCCTTTGGTCTGTTTGCCCACTGATCACATAGTTTTGCAGATTCTACTATGAATGCCAAGTATGATATCCACCATCTACACCACCAAACCTCTAGATTGTTCCTCCCACACCAGGTTATTTTGTAACTGCCACTTTGACAAGCTAGACACCATGATTTTTAAATTCAGTTAGAACAAAGATTTTGTTAGTCATTGCTCCAGTTTTCCTGTGAAATACTCATATTTTCATTTTTTTTTAATTTCTTAGGTTTTTTTTATAAAACATGCCTAGACTTACTTACAACTCATGTGCCCAGTATCCACTGTACTACCACTTATGACACATACACTCAGTCCTCTGGGATAGAATTCTCTCAACACACACAATTACTGTGATGTCATATTTACCACACAACAAAGATGAAATAATGACATTAACAAAAATTTCGTAAAACAATTATTACACTCTGCTAAAAATAACACATTACAAATATTTCTGAATGATACATTCTCATGTTTTTTCTCATCTAAACTGTCATGGTGTTATAAAGGGAAAATGCCATTAATCAAGCTTCTAAAAACTTTTTAAAATTCACAAATTCAAATCTGTAGCAATAACAGTAAAATCTCAGGGCCTGGTTTTCACCAGGTTGTTTTCTTTCTTATATGTCCACCCAGTATCTTTATTATTTTTTTCTTTTTTAAGAGCTAGGGGGTAGCTCAAAGTGGCAGAGCATCTGCCTGGCAAGTGCGAGGCCCTGAGTTCAAACTCTAGTAAGAAAAAAAAGAAACTTTTTTAAATAAAGAGGTTAAGACCACTGCAATCTGGGAACATGATATTGGTGTTCTTTCACTACTGGCACAAGGTGATGTAAAAGATGCTACATCATAGAAAAATCACTGCAGCTAAAGAAATGCATGTCCTTTACCTTCCCAATTTCCATCTGCTATTCCAGCCAAGTTAGTGTCTCCCTTTCTGTAAGTGCATCTTTATTATTTACAAAAAAAAACAGCCAGTTAAATAATTTACTAAAGTAAGAATTGACCAACAAATTTCTCGAGTATTTTAAAATTCCAACTGTATCTTACTAACATAGTTCATGAGCAGGCGAAATATTAGAGGCTCATAAATACTTACTCAAGTACAAATTGACATCTTTTTGTCTGGGGAAGCACCGCAGCCATCGGCTGAACTTGTCCTCTGTTTCGGTTGTTATTGATCAGTGGGTTTGTTGCGTTCTTCCAATATTATTATAGAGCACAGAGAACAGTGACAGAACCAGGTTTCTCACCAGGTTGTTTTCTTTTTATATGTCAAGTTAATCTTTATTATTTTTCTTTTTTAAGAGCTAGGGGATAGCTCAAGTGGCAGAGCATCTGCCTGGCAAGTGCGAGGCCCTGAGTTCAAACTCTAGTAAGAAAAAAAAGAAAACTTTTTTAAATAAAGAGGTTTAGACCACTGCAATCTGGGAACATGATTGGTGTTCTTTCACTACTGGCACAAGGTGATGTAAAGATGCTACATCATAGAAAAATCACTGCAGCTAAAGAAATGCATGTCCTTTACCTTCCCAATTTCCATCTGCATATTCCAGCCAAGTCTAGTGTCTCCCTTTTCTGTAAGTGCATCTTTATTATTTACAAAAAGAAACAGCAGTTAAATAATTTACTAAAGTAAGAATTGACCAACAAATTTCTCTGGAGCTATTTTAAAATTCCAAAACTGTATCTACTAACATAGTTCATGAGCAGGCGAAATATTAGAGCTCATAAATACTTACTCAAGACAAATTGACATGTCTTTTTGTCTGGGGAAGCACCGCAGCCATCGCTGAACTTGTCCTCTGTTTCGGTGTTATTGATCAGGGGTTTGTTGCTGTTCTTCCAATATTATTTAGAGCACAGAGAACAGTGACAGAACCAGACTGAGCCTTCTAGCTCCCCGTGGAGAGAAACTAGAGCCTTGTGCCTCTGCCATGAGTACAGCCAGCAAGGGCTGCTTCTTATTGCCATTTTGGGTGGCCTTTCTCTTTCAGGTTCATACTGTCTGCCCTGTGCTGAGGCCTTTCCAGCTAAAACATTTGCCTGGAGCACTTCGCAAATAAAACAGCACCAACTGAAAAAAGGGGGCCTTCAGCTGAGAATTTCAGAATTTTTTGCTTATGTGGGGTTTTTGGTGGTTCTGGTTTGAACTCAGGACCTTGTGCTTGCTGGGTAGGCACACTACATTTTGAGCCACACCTCCAGCCTGAAAAATCAGAATTTTGTGTCTCATCTCTCACTGACTACTCCATGAGTTCTCAGTGCTATTTATCTAACATATCATTTGCAATCCCTGCTCCAAATTCTGTCACATACCATTCATCAGAACACAGGTTGAGTATCTCTTATCTAAAATTCTTGGGACCAGAGTGTTTCATACTACATAGTATTTTGGATTTTGAATATATACATACTGATTTAGCATCAATCTGAAAATTGGATTTTTTCAAATCAGGGATGCCCAATCTATACAGTACACGTTTTATGACTATTCTTAAATGCTAGAGAAAAAAATAGTACATTTAACTCCAGTGCTCTTTATACTTTGGAAGGATGTTTATTGTATTTAAATTCTATTCTATTTTTCAAAGAAAACTAGAATATTATAATGGTTATATAAAGAATGCTGTAAAGTTTATTTCATCAATCCATGTTTGGTAGAAGCTGGCCAGGAAAAACATTTAGCTTCATTCACAGTTCATTATTTCTACAATGTTCTCTTAAACTGGCCCAATGAAAAGAACTACACACAGAAGTATTGTACTTTTTGGCTTCAGTTTTTAATTCCTTACCATTTCCTGGTTTCTCTCTAAAAGGGTTAAATCTTTTGTTCCCATGGTTCATGCTATAACAACATGTCTTGGCATCATCCTTAAAATATTATTCATATGCATTTGAAGTGTGTGTGAATGTGCAACGTCTAACCTCAACCAGGAACAGTGGAAAATTTTCTCATATGCTACACACACACACACACACACACACACACACGCACACACACCCCATCCATCCATACAGGTACTGTCCCATCTTCATCCATTAAGAGGCAGCAGTTCAACTCTTGAACATTTTCCTGGTGCATGAACTTGCGCGTGTGCGACGAGTTTAATCCAAAGGCTCCTGTCCAACATAAATAATAAAAGAACATTCTAAAAATACCCACTTAAGGAATTAGGTGTGTACTGGAAATACAGTGCTACGAAGAGCCAATTAACGTTTTCATAGCACAAACAACCAAAGAGAGACAGGTTTCTCAGAAGAGGGCTCTTTTGATTCATAGGTGATTTTTTCCTCGTGTGGGGACCTGGATCTGTTGGAGCATCAGACGAGCCTGGTATCTTCCGAGGACGGCGCCCGGGAGCAGGAGAACATGGATGACACAAACAGCGAACAGCAGTTTAGAGTCTTTAGGGACTTCGATTTCCTAGATGTGGAGCTGGAGGATGGAGAGGTACAGTACATTCTCTGTAAAATAATCCTCTCAACTTGTCCTTGACTAAAAACCAGTGTCTTTTTACCTGCTAATTAGTCAGTTTCTGTTACAAGGTCTTATAATTGGAAAGTTGTGAACTCTATTTTGAATCAACTTTGTTTTTTTTGAATCAACTTATTCAAAGTACAGCTGCTTAACTTTGGCAGAAGTTACCACACCCTTCCTGTCTGAGCCCATAGCAAAAGCTGCCAACTTATTTCTAAATGGCAAAGTCCTGAGTTGTAATGACCACACAAAGACTGTGTGTATGTAGTCCAAAGGGGACTTTAAAAAAAAAAAAAAGTCACAAGCACATTAGTTCTAAGTCTTTTTGCTAGCACCTGGGCAAAACATGCTAAGCATTTCATTATTTTAAATGTAAAGTTACTGAATTATTTCAAAGCTTGCCTGCTACAACAGGAGAGTAGAGCCTCAGGGCTCCAGCATTTTTGTGCTATGTTTGATGAAATTATTTGAACTTGAAATGAAAGTTAAAGGACATGAGAGAGAGACAGAGATATTGAGAGAGAGAGTGAGCTCTCTTGCTTTGATTTAGTTTGGTGGCCAGCACTTTAGACACCTGGAGTAGCTGATTCAAGTCTCAACAAGTACACGCACATTCCTTTATTGTGAATGATAATCATGGTATAAGATACTCTGTGCTATGAATCATGTTTTTAAAAACAGGGTCTGGAAGGAGGAGCAGCTCCCTGCCAGTCACATTTCTATAGCTCAGGGCTGTGATCCAGCTGAGAAGTCATCTTTTGCCTCACGAGAATAAAAACTCAATTCACTTTTGTGAAATTGGCCTGGTACCTCGCCTGACTCGTGGTGTTGCCCAACATTGGTCAGTTCTATTTCACAAAATGTGCTGTATTTCTCAAGGGCTTTCTGCTCATCTTATAATTAAAATAGAGGCCCAAATTCAAAGTTTATTATAGCTTCTGGCAGGTAGGCAGCTCCTAACTTAACCCCAAGCTTGTGGGGAAATAATGCTTTGAGTAGCTTCCCTATAAGTATATGCCCCTGACCAACCTGCTTATGTATAGTTGAGGTCAGAAAGCTATCAGCTGTCATCCTCTCTGGGCTATGACTACCCTCGTCCCAGCAGGAGACACCCATGTCCTCAGAATAAATGTTTCTTTGTTGATTATTTCCCTGAGAAACATATTGATCAGACCCAGTCCCTAAAGAGGAAAAAAGCACTGACTGAGGCTAGGGTATATAGCTCAGTAGTAGAAAGCTTGCCTAGCATGTGCAAGCCCCTGGGTTCCATCCCTAGCACTGGAAAAAAAAAAAAAAAGTATCCAAAGGCACTAGCTGCAAGCATACTTCAAATAAATGCCAGCTTAATTTTCACTTTAAATTGTTCTAGAACCAATAAAAAGGATTGCAGAAGTTTCTGTTAACCATTGTTAGTAATAGAAAACATTTGCTGTATACAGGGAGGACTGTTTTAGAACTCTAAAGCAAAGTACAACTGTTTTTAAATACCTTGTAAATGTCTTTGAGCCAGGGCTGAGTGCTCAGCTAATGTCAAAAGATTATCTCCCTGATCTGGCAACTGAACTAAGGTTTCTGTAAAAGTCAAAGCTGTGCATCCTTCTTTCTGGAAATTAAACAGGGAGGGGATAATTGGCAGAGAAAGAGAAGCATAATTTTCTGTCTTATCCAAAGAAAGATGTTATGCCGAGTGACCCAGCAGGAAATGAGGTAAAGCAAAGGGTCAGACACAATTTCAGAACTAACGTAATTTCTATGAAAATCAAGGAGAACCTGAGATAGCTCAGTATAGAGCATGTACTGAGACCCAGAGTTCTATCCCCAGCAGCACAAAAATAAATGTAAACACATAAGGGAGGCTGGGGTGTGCTCAGTGGTCGAGCACTTGCTTAGCATGTCAGGTCTGGGTTCTATCTCTAGCACTGTGAAAGAAACAAAGAAGAGGGTGTGGGGGGTGGAAGGGAGGAAGGGAAGAGAAAGAAAAGAAAAGAAGATTAAAAATCAGAGGTACTCATCTCTAAAAATAAATAGACTAATATTTTACATGGCCAATAAATACCGTGCCTTCCTTTTAGTTGTTTCTCTATTGTTCTATCCAACAACAACTGTAAAGTCACAGAGATTATTTTATCTTCTATGATTTAAGATTTTATAAGTAACTCCAGAGAATAAGAGAGTATATTTTATCCAAATAAAATAAGATATTTGAAAGCCAGGTATAGTGGTATACATCTATAGTCTCAACTACTTGGGATTACAGGCTGAGGCGGGAGGGTTGCTTGAGCCAAGGAGTTCAAGGTAAGCCAGGGCAACACAGCAAGACCCTGTCTCATAAATAAGTAAATAAGCAAACAAGCCAGTTGAGAACATGCCAACATACTTACAGAGCAGCAGAGTGACAGTTTTGGACTTCATAGTTCATCAGTTTCGTCTCTGCCAGTGACCTAGACAGATGAGTACAAGCATGAGTGCAGTTCCTCTTGGTTTCTGCATGCTTATCTGTTCAGTAGCTATAACCAACCTGCCTACAGAGCGGGCATGAGCATCAAGTAAGCTGTGTAGAGCTTCCAGCATAGTATCAGGCACATAGTTGGCATTCTCAGTGTCACTCCCCTTATACTCTCATAGGTGAGCAATTTTAGTTTATCTTAGTTGGAGACAGTTAAGCATATTTGGCTTCTCAATCAAAACCCAGTTGTTAAAAAGGACAAGTCATTTTTGTCGTGTCTATTTCTTTTCATTAAATAGGCTTAGGAATTTGTTGAATAATATCTGTAATTTTTCAGAATCTTTTAAAGGTGCTGTGTGTTTGCTGTTAATTACACATCTGCAGCAAACAGCATGATCACAGACACCTGGCTTTGTGAGCAGGGTCAGATAATGTCATCTCTTTTTTCTAGTTGGTGACCCTCATTATTTTTTCACATGACATTTAACGGTTTTCTCACAAACTTATTTAGGTATTGAGAAACAAAGGTGTTAAGACCAAAGTTGTTACTGAAATGGAAAGCTATTTCAAAAATTGTGCTTTTCACTTACTACCCCCAACTGCCTCATCCACCAGTAAAAAGTGTGGAACTTTGGGTGTTTAATACTGATATTTGTCTTCAGGGTTAGTGTGTATTTACCATTTTTTAAAGTTGTGTCTACTCTATATTGTTAGCATTGTTAGTTGTTTTAAAACTAAGACAAATGCACTTGAGTATCTTATGTAATCATTTTAAATAGACCTTTTATTTGTTTTTTTGTCCATTGAATCTGCTACCCAGGAACTTCAGGTAAGACGATGCTACTTTTAATTCTTGTGCTAGTAGATGTTTTGCATCATTATAGATCTATAACAACCTAATAGCTTTTTTCCTCCCTTCCAGCAAACGTATGCTTATTTGTGTATACATTTCTATTTAAGTGTGTGATGTAAGATGTATTTTTCTTGGCTGCTTTAGTATGGAAATGTTTTCTAAAATATAAGTACAAGATTTTTAAAAAACCTTTATATGCCTAGTTCTGGAAGTGCATGATTATATCTCTTCAGGAGAAATGAGTTTTCAAATATGGTTTATGGAAATCCTATACTGGATGGGTTTTATTAGATTATTCTATGAAAGGTGAAATCTGGCTGGGGTGTGGCTCAGTGAATATGCATGCCTAGCATGCCCAAGGCCCTGGGTTCCATCCCTAGCACCACCCCAAAAAAAGGGGAAGTCAACAACCCACAGATAATGAAATGACATCCCATATCACTTCAGGTGAAATCTTGCTTCCCAAAATCGCTGTATGGTGACTAGATAAATGTTCATCCAATCCAGGGCTCTTACAAATGAAAAGGGGTTCTGATAATTATGCCCAGACAGCTGGCATAAGCCAGGATCATCCTTGGCAAAATGACTTGTGAGCACTCTGTCCTATCACACTCAACCCTAGCAGTTTCATTTGGAGAAAGTATCTAACCATAGTACACCCAAGTTCCAACAGCAATTCTTTTTTGTTCGAGTGTGGCTTAGTATCAGACCCTTAGCATTTGCAAGACCCTGGGTTCAATTCCTGCACTCCCAGAAAAATAATAATAATGGTTCTCCCTGACAGGATTCCAATATGAAAAAATGAAAAAAGAGTATTATTTCCAGCATTTCTAGAATATTTAGTTCTTAGTGCTTTTTTATCCCAGCATAAATCCTGATGGCACACTTAAGTTTGATAACTATATATACAAATTATCCATCTGTAAGAGTTAGCCATCCTCTACATTTTCTCACACGTAATCTGGCATCATCCATAAAACACTGTTTTGACTTTTAACTTAGTGTGACATAAAATGCAAAAATCTGACATTTGGGGGAGAGGCAGGATGGAGGGTGACCCCCCAATTAGGAGTGTTCCTGTGCCATGCTGACAAAATTTGACTGACTTTTAATCACCATGGAATTTTTGTGTGTGCTGGGATTGGACCCATGCCTGATACTTGCTGAGCACATGCTGTACCTCTGAGCTACTCCCTCATCTCCTCTCACCGCGGACTTAATTGGAGGTAGACGCTGCTCCATCTTAATCCATCCTCAGCCACAACCAGGGAAACAGTTTCAACACCTTTACCTCTAATGGAGTTGTTGCATCCTCTAGCAAGGCAGACAGATCTTATTTCTGTAAGAACAGCTTTCCCTGCCTCCCTGCCCTCATGCCCAGTGGATTCAGGTCATGACCAGAGTGGCCCCCACACCAACAGTAGCAGCATTTTCTTACCCTAGACATCTCTAGCTCTGTCTCAGGATCAGTGTGGGAGACTTCCAAAATTGCTGCTTAAAATAGCTAATCCAACCTATCCCATTCCTTTGGTACAATGAAATCAGTTTTGTGAATTTACGTTTGTACATTTCTCCCAGTGAATTTCAATCTTCTTGTATAATGTCTTCATTTTTCTGCATTTTCCTTTTCTTCCAAGACCTCTTATTCTTACACATTTTTAAATTTTTCCATGGCAACAGTTATTTTTAAGTATTAGTATAGTGGTTAGCCATTTCTACCAGGGAAAGCAAATAAATTACTTGGTTAATCTATCACAGCAGACACAGGTAAAACAGATATAAGTTGAGTGTCCCTTATCTGAAATGCTTGGAACCAGAAGTAGTTCAGATTTCAGATTTTTTTTCCAGATTTTGGAATATTTACATATATACAATGAGATAGATATCCTAGGAATGGGACCCAAATCTAAACATGAAATTCATTTATATTTTCTATACAATACTTTTACTGATCCTATGCTTTGACTGTGATCCATCACATAAGGTCAGGTATGGAATTTTCCACTGGAGGTATCGTGACTGAACTCAACGAATTTTGGATTTTGGAGCACTTCAGACTTTGGGTTAGGCAATGCTGGGCCCATAGATACAGATGAAACAGCAGATCCAGAATATGAAAACCATATTCTAGTTCTGCTTTCTCTTTATAATCCAGCAGCATGATGGGGATGGATAAAGATAACAATTTCTATGATATCCAGAATGATATATTTAGGGTTTGTACCCATTCCCTTCTACTATGAATAACCAAAACAGACTTTGGAAAAGCTGAGCATCCATTGTAGAAGAAGTCTGTGATAATGGCAAACTTGTTTTGTTAGGAGCCAGAAATGATGGACTTAAACCGGGGGAAATGAAAAACCGTCACACTCACTAAGTTGAACAGTAATTCCCATCTCTCATATTACTATGATATTCACTGAGCTCCCATCAAAAAAGTTATTTTATTTCAGGGAGCCATTAGTCTGTGCTTCAAATGACCAAGAAATAAAAAGATGCAGTGCTAGATTTTATTCAGAATACCTTTTTGTTTAGGTTACAGTTTGCTTATCAGTAGGATGGATAATATTTCTTTTCCTTTATTTCTATCTTAAAAGACAGAAAAACAAACCCTAAATTCATTTCTACGAAACGAATGTTATGTTAGTCAAATAAGCTTATTCAATATCTGATGGTGTGGAGAGAAAGTATAAGATACAACTAAAAGCTTTAACACTAACATGACCACCTAAGCCAGTTGTCAATAAATTACAATGTCTCTGTCAATAGTAATCTTTGATGAAGCAAATTAACTGTTTTCCAGGTTGGGACAATTATTTAAAGATCAGCCTAAAGGAAAAGTGACGCCGTAGCTACTCTGGCCTCTGCAAAGCTCATATCTGTCAGACTTTGCCCAGCTCTCTGACAGTCTTTAACGCTGCATTTTATCTGTTAAAACTGCTGTGGCTGAATAGGCTGGAATGTTTACCTAGTGCTCTTTTACTTAATAGCCAAAGGATTCTGGAATGTGCTGCACGCATAGTTCCTACTTGTTCTCCTTCCCAAAACTGTACTAAACGGGGGCTGGAGGGAGAAAGGAGCACTCACCTCTTTTGAAGTTGTTTTAATATTAACTTTCTTTCTTATAGATTTTTGAAAACACAGATCATTTCTAGGGTTAACCAAAATCAGTGTTAAAAAAACCATATTAACCAACATGCAAAAGAAATGGGTGCAATCATTCCTACCTCTGACTTACTCCAGATTTATAGGAAAATAGTCTGCTTTAGTGTCTTTTCATGTTAGGTAAACTATAGTATGCGTATCAAAGCAGATGAGGGTTTGAGAGTTGTTGATGACTGCATTCAGACATTTTTAGCTGTGTGTGAAGGTGTGCAGGCAGCAGGGCTTAGACCTGAAAAGTCGGCTGTGGTGTGATTTCAGGGTGAGAGCATGGACAATTTCAACTGGGGAGTGCGCAGGCGTTCTCTGGACAGCCTGGACAAGTGTGACATGCAGATCCTGGAGGAGCGCCAGCTTTCAGGAAGTACTCCCAGCCTAAATAAGATGAACCATGAGGATTCCGATGAATCATCCGAGGAGGAGGACCTCACAGCCAGCCAGATCCTGGAGCACTCAGACCTAGTAAGTAAGAACTCTCCCACTCCAGGAGACTTGTTTCTTATAACCAGGGCAGGAGTTTTGTTCCCAGTTCCAGCTAAAGAAACTTTCTGTAGGTGCTGACATAAAATCTGACCTGTCAAGTCCTATCTAAGTGGCTTCTCTGTAGGCGTCAGGAGGAAACAACTGAAACCCATCCAATCTTGGAAGGCCTAGCTTTTTCCCAAAAAGCTTTTAATGATGCTAGAATTTTCTTTTGAACTCTTCAAGAAAGGGTTAGATCAAGAAGAATTAACCTAGAAGGTAACACACATGCACAGGAAATCAATGTGAGTCAACTCCCTGTATAGCTATCCTTATCTCAACCAGCAAAAACCCTTGTTCCTTCCTATTATTCCTTATACTCTCTCTTCAACAAAATTAGAAATAAGAGCAAAATAGTTTCTGCTGGGTATTGAGGGGGTGGGGGGAAGAGGGAGGGGGGTGGGGCGGGTGGTAAGGGAGGGCGTGAGGGGAGGGAGGAGAAATGACCCAAGCATTGTATGCACATATGAATTAAAAAAGAAAAAAAAAGAAAAAGAAAGGTGCTGTGGTTATGTGACACTGCAGGTCCTAAAGAGCCGTGCCTTGACACCAGATTAATATTAGACTGCCTGCTACTATACTTAAGGTCCAAATATGGCCTCACATAGAAATTAGAAAATTACTATCAACCAACAACTAGAGAGCAATGGTGTGTAGTCTTATGTCAAGAATAATTAGAGCTTTTAAAGAATGGGAGTTTCAGCTGAGCACCGGCAGCTCCTGCATGTAACCCTAGCTACTCAGGAGGATCACAGTACGAAGCCAGCCTGAACAAATAGTTTGCGAGACCCTATCTCGAAAATATCCAACACGAAAAACCTGGTGAAGTGGCTCAGATGGTAGAGTACCAGCCTAGCAAGCATGAGACCCTAAGTTCAAATCCTCCTACCACACACACACACACACACACACACACACACACACACACACGCACAAAAGAGAACTTCATACTATGCTTTTCTTCCTCTATTTTTTAAACAGATCATGACCCTCTCCCCCTCTGAGGAGCCCAATCCCATGGAACTGCTTGCCACTGCCTGTGACCCTACCTCCGTGGACTCTCATTCCTTCAACACCAGAATGGACAGCTTTGACGCTTCTTTGCCTGATATGAATAATCTGCAAATTTCTGAAGGTTCAAAGGTGAAGAGATTGGCAATTGTGATTATAGTTTCCTTTAAAAAAAAAATACGCTGATTTTCTCAGAATTCTTAGGGAAGGGAGGTCCAGAGTAGAGGGACGTTTTTTCTTTCTGATTTTAGTGAACTAATTGAAGTTTGTGCATCTGAGCCCATATTTCGAAGATGTTTTATACTGACAAATTTGAGCAGCCATCCCCTGGGCTGTCAGATTTGATCTGAGGTCTTTGGAAAATGAAGTCCTTTGTGTGAACACTGCTGATTGAGGGCTAAACAAAGTGGCAAAGGTCTAAGATCGCTGTCACTGGGAAACCATTGTTCTTTGTCACGGCTTTTATAAAACAATATGCTAAGTGAGGTGTGGGTGTATGCATGAATTTGGGGAAATTTTTTCCTGTGTAGGAACCAATTATACAATTTGTACATTGATTCAATGCTAGCCTGTTGGCTTACTAGAGGAATCCTTAATGTCAAGCACAGTATTATACCAAAACTCTCCTACTGAGACTCTCTGAGGAGAAAAGTTAACTGATGAATATAATGTCCATATTTTAAAAGATTAACTTTAAAAAAAAAAAAAAAAGCTTTACAGTGTATATTTCATTTAAGGTTTGCTGTACCAAAACTTTCAGAAAATATGCTGTCCATAAAACCATCCACTTATAAACTCAAGCACACTTATGCCCATCATAATTTTATAATTTATAAAATTATAAAATTTTAGTTCCTTATCTTAAAAATGCCAAAATAATCTCCTGTTAAGATAGAGTAAACCTTTCTGAGTTTTGTTACAGTATATATGTTTGAAAGAGAAAAGAGGAAAAAAATTATGAAAGTGTATTGTTCTGACACTCGTAAAGGAAAAGGACAATATTCCCTATTCTGTATTGTTTTGTAATATACTAAAATCAGTTTGAAAAAAAACTATGTTCAATTACCTAAAAACATTGATGCTTAACAGCTCCCAGTGGTTCACACCTGTAATTCTAGCTACTTGGGAGGCTGAGGTCGGGAGGATCACGGTTCAAGGCCAGCCCCCACAAATAGTTAGTGAGACCCCCATCTCCAAAATAACCAGAGCAAAATGGACTGGAGTTGTGACTCAAGCGGTAGAATGCCTGCTTTGCAAGCACAAAGACCTGAGTTCAAACCCCAGTCCCACCAAAAAAAAAGTTGAAAAATAAGAATTATCTCCAAGATTATCCCATTGCAGAGGGACTGTAATCAGGATGGTTAGAGTTAGCAATATCTTTTCTTTAGCCTAAAAAGGAGCGACATAAAGAAAACCTTGTTCTAGGTTAAAATACTCTTAAAATAGTTAAAATAGTGTTACAGTTAAGAAATTAAATTTCACAGAAAAAAGTCATAAATACATGTGAAGTTCAAAGCATATGATATTTTTCAGCATTAGAATAGTCATTTTCTCCATTTTCTTTTTTTATGTTACTGGAGTTTAAAGTTAGGGCTTCATATTTGCAAGGTAGGTGCTCTTCTCCCAGTGATTTTTCTATTTTAAATGCTAAAATGTATATATTTCTCATAGAACTCATCTAATTCTATCAAGCAAAGCTTGTGTCTGTCTTTTTTAATGGTACTGGGAATTGAACCCAGGGTCTCATGCATGCTGGGCAAGTGTGCTACTGCTTTCACTAAGTGTTTGTGGTTTAAGACATGGTCTCAGTAATGTTACCTGGGCTCACCTTGAGCTCTGAGTACTTCTGCCTTTACCTCCCAAGAACTACAGGCATGTTCTACCACGCTTGTCTGGGTGTGTCTCATTTCTAAAGAACTATCCTGTTTTCTTCATAAACTAGGTTTCTGTGGTATTTGATATATCAGATATGTTAGAAAAAATAAAGGTGCTGTTGTAAGAACTCAGCCCTTCCCTTCCCAAAAAGCTGAAGTTTATGTGCACTAATAACCTGGACTAGTCCTCAGAGACCAGTCTCATTGGGCCATCACAGTTAACAAAGCAAAAAGCAGAGACAGCGTTACAAACATGAGTTCTCCTGTTCTGGTTCCCCTGATATCTTTAATATTCTTGTTAATTTCCTCTACTAATCCTAGATTCAAAATACTAACAGTGGGCAGCTAGTTGTTAACCCGTTAATATGTTAAAGCTCTAATTTATATACATTTCTATTTTGCTTTAATTTTGTTTTTGTTTTAAGAAAATGACTCTGAAACATGTGCATGTATTTTCTTCCTCTCCTCATCTGATGTGTGACCTGGTTGCCTTCCTTCCTCTCATAAAGAACAATCAGTTCTCCAGCTGTTTTCCCCCTGGCTCAAGTTCAAGCCCAACCTCTTTTTCCATTTTACTTGCTATGTCTCTTTCCTGCCTCTCACTGATCCTGGTTCGGCCTGCCCTAGGGTTGTTTCTTGTTACCTCTCATTCCACACACTGTAGCATGGTGAGAGCAGGCACTCGTGTCTGCTATCTGCAAGGGCTAATCAAGAATAAAGCATATAGGCAAGTGGATGTTAGAGTATTTTTCAATACAGAAAGCCTATCAACCCAGCAAGCTCAGGAAAGGACTCTGTATCACTGATTCTAAATTCTAGTTTCCGTTGATAAAGGGATTCCTTATTGAAGCATTAGCTCTGGATAGGCCTGCTTCTAAGGTGAGGATTGTACAGTGGAAAGAGTTCTGAATCCAAAGGCCGTGTTTCTCTCCCCAGATTCCAGATAATTACTAACCTTCCATGAGGCAAGTCTCTTTTCCACATGCGGCATCTTTTCCTCATTTGGAAAACATGGAGATTGGTCCAGGGGGTCTCTGTGATCTTTTCCTAGGTTAGCATTTATACCTGCTAAGCACGGGTCAATTGTGACAATCTATTGGAAAACCCTTTTGGAACTATTTTAGAAGAGACTAAAGGGAAGATAAAGAACAGTACTTAGGAAAACTTCTGAATCCAGTTTTAACAATTGATGGTATTGTAACTAGGAAACAAATGCCTGTTTCTGTCATTCTCAGTATTTTATTTCTGCTCTGGATAAGCAGGATTTCTTATATGGATTCTTACACATAGGGGTTCTTTTTTGTTTTTACCCCTTCAGGCTGAAGCTGTGCAGGAGGAGGAGGACACTGCCGTGCACGAGGACGATCTCTCAAGTTCAATCAACGAGCTCCCTGCAGCTTTCGAATGCAGCGACAGCTTCAGCCTGGATATGACTGAAGCAGAGGAAAAAGGCAGTCGGGGCCTCGATCAGTTTACTCTTGCCAGGTAATAAAGCCCTTGGTGTAAATGAGTGGCATGAGTGTGCACAGCATTGTCCTGCCTTCACACTGAGCTCTGTGCCATACCTCAAGGCTGGGGCTTCCTAAGGAAGGAGCCCACATGTAAGCATCAAGCTAGAAAACATGTGATAGAGCCTCTGCCTAGCAAGTGCAAGGTCCTGAGTTCAAATCCCAGTACTGCACAAAAAAAAAAAAAAAAAAAAAGCCAAGTCCCCAGAGCACCCTGAGAGGGAAGAGTGGGCTGAACAGAACGGATACCTTGTCATGCTCACATCCAGGGCTACCATTTATACAGCCAGGTAGAAGAGAATCATACTTCCTGACAGGGTGATTTGCATGTTTTCCAGCTTTGGAGAAGGTGACAGGGGAGTGTCTCCCCCGCCCTCGCCCTTCTTCTCCGCCATCCTTGCTGCCTTTCAGCCCGCAGCCTGTGATGATGCCGAGGAGGCCTGGCGCAGCCACATCAACCAGCTCATGTGTGACTCGGATGGCTCCTGTGCTGTGTACACGTTTCATGTGTTCTCCTCTCTGTTTAAGGTACGGGACTCACTGAACAGGGGAGGATTGTGTCTCTTTGGGGAGCCGGGTAGCTTTGGATTTCAGACAGGACGTGATTAATCTAGGATTGTCCTAATTCTTCTAGTTACCATATCCTATCTTCAACCTAATGTCAACCTCAGAGTGGTATAAAGATGTTGAACTCTGATGATTTGGGGCTGGCTGCCACTCTGGTTTTTATTGACAGCCTCAATCCTGGGTAACCATGCATAAGGACCATTAAGGGGATCTTCTGCCAGACCTATCCTTATCACCTTGCTCCCCTCCTTTTTCCCAGAGAACCTTATGGTAACTGGATATTTTTATAAAGATTAAAAAACACTGAGAGTGGATTTTGAATGTTCTTACCACACACACAAAAAATATATGTGAGGTAATGAATATATGTGTTCATTAGCCACAATATATAACAATGTATATTTCAAAATAAGTTGTGTGCAAGAAATAGTATGATTTTTCTGTATTAATTAAACAACCAATCAACCAGTAAAACAATTTTAAGTTCTGCCCCCACACAAAATATTTTCTGGTATGCGAGTTAAACTTGGCCTTTGCAATGATCATCCTGCCTTGCAGAATATTCAAAAAAGGTTCTGCTTCTTGACGTGTGATGCAGCCAGCTACCTTGGAGATAACCTCCGGGGAATCGGATCCAAGTTTGTCAGCTCGTCCCAGATGCTCACCTCCTGCTCCGAGTGCCCCACGCTCTTCGTAGATGCCGAGACGGTGAGAATCCAAGCTGCGCTGTGGCAGCGAAGGACCTGCCTGCCTCGGACGCTATGCTTGTGTAAAGACACCTCCCACATTGCGAGCAATGCTGCACTGTGACATGACTCCTGAAGGCCTCTGGGTCTACAGGGTAACTAGTGTGTACTGCCAGCCCTGGCCCAAGCCAAGCCATTCCAGGGGATCAGGAGAAAAAAGTCTACCTCTGTGCTCCCTCCATATCCTTGGCACGTCTCTCTGACGCTGGCTTGGCAGCTGTGCATGTGGCTCGATAACGACACCCTCACCTCAGCTGACCTAGCCATGTTAGCCATGGTCCTCCAGACCCAACGTCATCACTTGCCCCATCCCTGAGTCTCAAACAGAGACTCATTACACTCTGAAGTCACTGAGCCAAACCACAAATGATTGTACAGGATGATCTAAGACTGTCTGACTGACTATTGAATCCTGACTTTGTGACTCCAACACTATCAAATGAGGTTTAAAACAGAGGAAGATGTGCCTTAAAAAAATTTTTTTGTTTGTTTGTGTTTCTGAGGAATGAGCCCAGGGCCTCATACATGCTGGGCAAGCACTCTTCCACTTGAGCCATGTCCCCACTGAAAATACATTCATTTTAAAGACAGTTTCAATATGTACCCCAGGCTGGCCTTAAATTTAGAGGTCCTCCTTCCTTAGCCTCCCCTAGTAATGAGATTACAGGCATGTGCCTCCATGCCTGGTGTGCCTTGGTAGTTTCATCTCTATAGAGTCAGTGCTTCCAAGAACCTGATTGGTGGTTGGCCATGTCAGAGCAAGAAATACAATATGAGAGATCATTCTGTTGTAAATTATTTAAAATACAGATTAAATACAAAATCAGTTTGAAAGTCCCTTTGGGGTTCTGTCTTCATACCACATGGAATATTACTATAGGATGATGACAGTAGAGTTCAAACATAGAATGGATATCATATCTTAATGTGGGTTTTCATGGAATACTTGATAAGGTTTGTCTGCCTATACTGAGATGGAAAAAAATTTTTTATGTAAGTCTTGGATTAGGAAGCTAGCATTTTCAATTCTAATTGCAGCTGATGGTGGAGCAAAATCATCTATTTCACTGCTTATTAAAATGAATGATACTGTCCCCCCTTTTATGTTACTTCTAAATATATTTCTTTTCTAAATATGTAGCCAGACCTTTGTGTTAGTGGCTCCTTAGATATTTTAATACAAATTATCTTCCTGTCTTTAGCTCCTTTCTTGTGGACTTCTGGACAAGCTCAAGTTCAGTGTTTAGAACTGCAAGAATATTTGGACACCTACAACAACAGAAAAGAGGCCACTCTCTCCGTAAGCTATTGTGTTTCTGTGCATATGCATTCAGTTAAAAGCAAACAAACCCAACCACACATCTTGGAGGTGTTGTGAATAACCTGAGCTGGACCCTGCAGAGAAAAGATGGACTTCACTTTTTCCTATGTTTGGAATTACAGTTCCTACTTAATGGTGACAAGACGACCTATAATAGTGATTATATTACAATGGAACTTCCAAGAGAGGAAAATTTCAACATTCACTTTAGCCTTCTAATATCCCTACCAAAAAATCAGAGTATATCCTTTGCATCTGCTTTATATGTCTCCTTATCGATGTTTTAACCTTTCTTTTCTCAGAGATTTGAATTTGTCAATGACTTCCTTCTAGTCTTAGCCCCACCCAAAACCAGTTGTACTGGATGTCATCTCCTTCCTCCTGTTAACTACTCTGGGTAACTGTTTCTCCCTGCCCCATAGCTTTTCTTGGCCTTGGCTGTTGCTCTTTACTTTTTTCTTCCATTGTAGATCTAGATGGTAAAATGTTAGAGACAGAAGTGATCTAGAAACCATCTATGCAGACCACCTGTTTTCTGACAGGTTGGGACCCACAGAACTCAGTGGTTCAGCAGTAAGAATAATTTTATGTTATATCTATTGGTATCTAAATCTTCCTATAACTTTCCAGACAAATGGATTTGAAGTCAAATGGACTTGAGATTGAATCACAAGTCACTGAGCTTGCGTAAATTGCTTACCATTTCTAATCTCAAATTTGTCATCTGTAAGCCAGTAGTAATAATAACTCATTTGCAGAACTGTTGTCAGGATATAAGAGTTATGATGGCCATAGAAACTATCATTTCCTGAGTCCATTCTGTGTATCCAACAGCCTGATAAGAGTTAAATGTCTTAAAGTAAATCATTTAATGCTGACAACTGTGCTAGGAGTCACTATTATCCTCATTCCTTAGGAGGATTAAAACACAGACCTTCGAGACTCAAAGGTTCATGTTTTTAACAATACCACAGTATTTCCCTGAAAATAGAAATAATATCTGTAAACTGCCTAGCACCATGCTTCATATATGCTTATTCATTATAAAGTTACTTGGTTTAGGATTTTATTGAAATCATTTTTATTGATCTTCTCATGGCCTGTCCAAGGGCAAGATTTCTGACGTTGCCCCATAACAATTCTGTCTTCTATTTTTGCAGCGTTTTACCTGTCATTATTTTCCAACCTCTCAGTTATTGGCCAGTAAAAGCAATCCTTTCATTCTGACCGGCAAACCAAACTAACCTATTGACGTCAAGTGTATCTTTCAGTGCTCACCGTTTTCTGCCCAAAGGTTCCTTTTTCATATCTGTGAGTTACTAGCCCAAGTGCTCAAGACCTGTAGATCTCTGTAGTAATAGCTGAGCTATTGTTAGAATAGCCTTTCTTCCAGTGAAGGAGCCTTGCCCCATAGAAGCCACCTGATCCTAACTAAGAAGTAGGATGTCACAAGACTGCAACCACCCATCTAAAAGGAAGTGTTAGTTCTACCTCCTAATCTTAGCCACATTTTCACTTATACATAAATTTAGGAATGGCCTGGTGAAATCATTCCCCAGGGTGATATATCACAAGGTTGAAATTTTTAAATGACTATCACTGAACCCATACAAACAGGGTTTGTGGTACTGGGATTTGAACTCAGGGCTTTGTGCTTATAAAGTAGACACTCTACCACTTAAGCCACACCTCCAGTCTTTTTTGCTCTGGTTATTTCGGAAATTAGTGGGGAGAAGAGGGGTCTCATGAACTGTTTGCCTAGACTGGCCTCGAACTTCAGTGCTCCCAATCTCAGCCTCCCAACTACCTAGGATTATTGGCATGACCCACTGGTACCCACCTACACAGATATTTTCATTTCAGTTAATCATTTACCTTCCAAAACAATGATCCTTTGCTAAAAGTCATTACAGCAAAAAAATTTTTTTACTATCATTAGAAGCATAAGTTTTTCCTGACGGAATTCATTTTTTAAATGTTCTCAGTACATCTCCAAACTTATGCGTGTCTCTCTTTCTGACAACAGTGGCTTGCAAACTGTAAGGCAACATTTGCAGGAGGATCAAGAGATGGAGTAATTACCTGCCAACCAGGGGACTCAGAAGAAAAGGTAATGAAATCCTATTAGAATGTATTTCCTCTGTGGTCTGACACTGTGTGTTGTTTTGATCCATCCAAGAAGCATGGCACTTGAGAAAGGAAGAGGTAGAATGAGTCATCATTCACATTCACATAAAACCAGTAGAGAAGACAGAGTGACATTGAAGTCATGCATGACTGTGCGTGATGAGATTTGGGTTTTTTGGGTTTTTTTTTTAATAGCAGGATAAAAATAACTCTAACCATACTAATCATTTTCTTAAAAACTGGATCTTAATTCAGAATATAAAACCAAATTTCATTATTCTTCAAAGAACCACTTAATTCCTTCAATGAAGAAAGTCTCTGATGACCTTTCACCAGTCACTATAAAACAAATTTTTCCCATTTAGAATAGTTTTCAGTGCATACCACATACCAGCTATCTCATGAAGATAGGACATACTGTAAAGGCAGTTGGACAGAGCATCTGAGCAGATTAAAGTCATTCACTCTGCAGTTAGATGTCAAGTGCCTCCTACTTGGCCTACATGATGGATACAATAGTGAGCAAGAGAAAGGCCTCTGTCCTTATAGAACCTCTCATCTCGTCATTGGGCAGGCATTACGTCATGGAGGTGTAGACTATGGTAAGTGTCATTAAGGACAGGAAAGAACAGTGAGTGGTAAAAGCATACAGCAGGGCAATCTGATCAAATGGGAGGGACATTATTGGAGGGCTGCTCCATGTATGTGTCAGCTAGGTGGAAGTCCAAACTGTGAGGTAAGAGTTAGCAAGTAAAGAGGGGTGGGTAGAGAGCCTGTGTAAAGGTCCTGAGGCAGGAAGGAACTTGGCCTTCCTAAGAACCAAGATGAGGCTATGGAGTTGAGTGCAGAAAGTGACTTGGAGAAAAGTTTAAGCAGTCTGGAGACACAACAGAAGCCTGTCCCTGCAAGGCTTGGGTGTTTCATGCAATGGTGAGCAGTTGGAAAGTTTAACAGTTAATGGTGATCAGACTAAGTCTGTCCCACTCGATCCACTGTGGAAATAGACAAAGGGAATTTAGGAGGCTGCTGTCCAGTCTTGACAAAAAAGGTATTTCCTTGGAATTACAGCTTTATTATTGGGAAGGCATTTTATAATTCACACCCTCTGGAGGATCTGAAATCACTTTCTTGTGATTTCAGACTTTACTAATGTAGAAAGAACCAAATAGGGCTTGGAGTGAAAATTATAATCTAATACCAGTGATTCAATTCCAACTCGTAATTGTCACTGAACAAGCTTACAATCCTGGGAATACCTGTCCTTGCCAGCATTGCATCACGAGGTAAGCCCCTTGATCCATTTTGTGATGAGGCCAGAGATTAAACAAACTGTAAGACTAATAAGTATCTAGATAGGGTATTGAAGTGTAGTTTCTGCCCTTCTTGATAACACACATTTATATTTCTCTTCATGGTTTACAGAGAACTTTCCTATCCATCAAGTCATCAGTCTTCTCTAGATAGGAGGCAGGAAGGTGGCATTAGCCTGTTCTATAGTTGAAGAAAACAGTTTAACCTCTCTAAGTGTCCCTGACTACAAAGTCAGGAAACATAGAGATATACAAAATAACTTATTTGAGTAATATTTTTAAAATAGGTATTTGTGATATTACATGATAAATTTCCCATAAACAATGCAGTCATGGTCAAATGTGCAGCTCAAAACATCACAGTAAGCTCTAGCATTTCCATCATGATGTGCTCTTTTTACATATCTCAGCAGCACCAATATATAGGTGGTGGCATTAGCCTGTTCTATAGTTGAAGAAAACAGTTTAACCTCTCTAAGTGTCCCTGACTACAAAGTCAGGAAACATAGAGATATACAAAATAACTTATTTGAGTAATATTTTTAAAATAGGTATTTGTGATATTACATGATAAATTTCCCATAAACAATGCAGTCATGGTCAAATGTGCAGCTCAAAACATCACAGTAAGCTCTAGCATTTCCATCAGTCCCAGTCCCTGTGTGTGCATTCATGAGTGCTGCTTGTTCAGCAGCACCAATATATAGTGCTACTGAGAGTAAATGGGGATATTCTTAAAGCAGTGTATCCCAAAACTCAGCTACATATTTGAATCACCTGTGATAGGTTTTTTTCAAGACCGGATCTCATGAACTATTTGCCCTTGTTGGCTTCAAACTGAGATTCTCCTGATATCTGCCTCCTGAGTAACTAGGATTATAGGCATGAGCCACTTTGCACCCAGCAAGGTGCTATATTTTTGAAAAGTAAAGTATTACTCAGGTGTCGGATTTTATGGCCACCCAGTAGCACCAGTCTTGATTCCAGCTCAGTTCTTCTCCCATACCTTCCTGTTCAAATTCAGTCCAGAAAACAGCTACCAGGTTAGGATCAACAGTTAGCACAAGCCTCATGTAGCTCATAGTATAGTTTCTATAGTAGCATATAAAAGTAATTAGTTATTTAAACATTTACTCTCAACCATCAAAGCCTATTACACTCTGTAATAAAAAACTGGGAGAGTGCATTGGCACATTGCAGATTTTTTAGAAACAAGGGTTGAAACCAAACCTTTTATTTCTTTGTTTAGAATTCCTAGTTAGCCCTATGAGTAATTGGAAATTCTAATAAAGTGATACTATTTTCCAAATATCCTAATTTTAAACTGTGAGCCTATTGTGCTCATAGTTTATTTCTATGAAATTGTTTTAGTTTGTCCTTACTTTCCTCCCCTCAACAAAGATCTCCCTTGTTATCGCTTATTCTTCCTACTCATTTTCTCCTTGTCCCCCTCTATTTTCTTTGCTTCTTCAGTTGTGTGTCACTTAGTGATGGGGCTGTGTTCTGAGAAATGCACCAGTAGGCAATTTGATCATTATAGGAGCATCATAGACTTTACACGAACTAAAGGCTCTAATGTCATCAGGCATTACTAAGTGACATGTACAGGACCACCATTACATATGTGGTTTTTCAATAAGTAAAATGTTATTCAGCATATGACTGCATTTTGTAGTATTTATTCTTCCCCATCTCTTTTCTTCATTCATGTAGATACATGTGACAACTCTGATAACATTACAACAAAGGCTTGAGAATGCAAAAGGGAAGAGAAGAAACTAATGTTTTTCGATTATCATTCACATATAATCTCTTTCGATCCTTTACAATAATCCTTTGAAATAGGGCTTTTCCATTTTGCAGATAAGAAAACTGAAGCTAAGAGGAAAACTCTAAAGACCATGTTCCTTACATTCATCCAGGCTTTCTTTCACTTCCAGATGTAAAAATATACACATAGGAAAAAAACTAGAGAATAATTTCCAGTAGATGTTTAAATGTCTTAAATAGTTTTAGGAATCTGCATAAATAATGAGGATGTATAAAATACTCAGGACTGGTGAGAGTGGGATTTGTTAAGGAAAGAATGTTGGAAGTGCAAATTCTAGTCTAATGTTGACTGTGTTTTAGTAAAACCAACCCACCTTGGGCCCCCCTGTTAGTATTAGCTTGGAGTTTCACATTTTCCTGAATGCCTCATGGGACTCCTTGGTGACCAGAGAACTCAAGCAGTGACCAGTTGTCATGAGAAAAATGCTTTCAGTCCCATGTATGTGATAATCCTGGGTTTTGAAGCTGTTCTGGAAGACAAATAGTATGCTGCCTAAAGAGAAAGGTTGGCAATTCTAGTAAGTCAGACAAAGTTAGGTAGTGTAAGCCATGTGGCGACTTGGTTAAATTCTGTTTGAATTTCACAGTATACCCTGGAAGGAGCTGGCCACAGGGCCACACACTATCAAACCATATATTCTTAATTCCACCAGTCTTTACTGAACCACTGTTGAATTTGAGGTCTGCCTTTTGCACTAAGTGCATCACAGGAGACATTCAGACAAGGCCAAAAATGGCCTAGGAGAGAAAAGTGGTAGAAAATCTTTACACATTAAAGGTGGGCTTTGAAGAGAAATGATGTTGTCAATCCATTTAAATATTGAGACCTTATAAACAGAGTTGGTAGAGATATTTTGCTGATTAGAACTATCATTTGACTTCCATTCCAAAGCAAAACTCAACATTTGGCCTGTAAGTGATCCTTTCCATTTCTCTTTTTTAGGTAGGTTCAAAGGCTATTCTGAGAGCAGCCTTTGAATGGGGACAAGTAAAATGGGGATAAATGAATGTATAAATTACCAGTCCATGTCTGGATGTCACCTACAGTGTAAGTTTACCCATAGTTAGTACATGTGTATATTCTTTTTCAGAGAAGTGTGCACATTGTGAAAGGATTAGTATTTTACCTGACTAAACATAGCAAAGTAAATTCCTAAACAGTTACAGATATCAGTCTGTCAGAGACAGTAGTAACAGTGTCCAGACAGGATATGAAGTCTTCCCAACCCTCAAGACCTATCCAGTCCAGTCTGGTCTTTGCCAGTAGTCAGTTTCTATTCATTGTTAACAAGTGACAAAGGTGAGGATTGCTGGGAGTTGAATATTTTTCAGTTTCTCTTCTATTCTAAACATGAAGTTACATACATCAAAATAATGAAGGAATGCTACATCCCAGTAGTCAATGAGTTATAGCCAGTTCACAGGCATGTCTTATTAAGCTTGCACGATATTTTTTAATTGACCCTGCATTCAAAATTTTTCAAATGCATCTATGCTAAAAATAGGATTTCTAGGGTCTCTAAATAAGAGGATCTAGGCCCACCTTCCCAAGTGGTAACCTTCCAAGTGGTAAGAGCAAGGGCTGGCCACCAGCTCTCCATGTGGACTCTCCAGCCCACTCCCAACACTGAAGGGGAGAGCAAGGCGTGGATTATCACCATGCTTACACTGTTGTTTTCCTTTTGATAAGAAATTTGCTCTAGTATTGAGGGGGGGAGTGGGAGGGGGTGGAGTGGGTGGTAAGGGAGGGGGTGGGGGCAGGGGGGAGAAATAAACCAAGCCTTGTATGCACATATGAATAATAAAAGAAAAATGAAAAAAAAAAAAAAAAAAGAAATTTGCT